ATACGAAAAACCAGCTTACTTAAGTACGTCCAAACAGTTATTTTCTGCCACTAACAATGTAACTCACAGCATAGTTCGTAGGTCACCATATGAATACTCACTGAAATCGCTGTTTTCAAGTTCTGCAGATGAAATTGGAGCATTCAGCAGCTGCTAAAGTTATGACTTTGTAGTATTTCTTGAGTGGTGATTCACCTAAAAGCATTTTTACTCGACAGTCTCTAACGCGTAAGTTCCTAAGTGTGAAAGTTAAGCAACTTCAACACATGATATTATTTAAGATGTCATGTGGGTTTTTCAGCACTTGTAATCAACTGTACCTAAAGTAGCCAATTATCTTGTAATATTATTTTGAAAAGGTGCACAAATGTCTGCTGTAGGTAAAAGTCTAAAAAAGTTTTAAGAATGTCATGACAACGTTATTCAACTGATACATGTATACTAGTTTTCTCCTCACTAGACTATATGAATTTCATGAAGGTTGTGTTCTTGCTTAGTTGTTCAAACAAATTTCAATAGATGGGACTGTGTTCGAATCCGTGACTAGTTGAAAGTCGATTGAACTGGTTCTACTTGAACTTGTGAACGTTTAGCAATCTCGTGAACATATTAGGCCAATATATGTGTCCTTTTTAATTCCTGTCAATTATAGCAAAATATTTTCCTTTCAGACCCTTCTAGGAGCTTACTGCTGCACTGAGGTGCCTGGTCAGTTTATTTGGCGTCCAGGTCCACTGATATCTGCCTTGCTGCAAGGTTATGGATTAATTTTGGAAGATATTGATCGTGGCTCCTCAGAACTACATTTATTGGTCACGTATGTGTTAAGAAGGTTGAACGATTGCTCAGCGAGTTCAAAAGCCGGCGTATTAGTGGATCCTGTCACTGGCAATCCCATCATCCAACATAACAACTTTCGTCTTTTTATGACCAGACGCTTTATTTCTTCCCACGGTGGGGATCTTCGTCATGAGTTCGGAAACCCATTGACTGAGTTACTAGATCGCTATTGTTTTGTAATATCACTGCCGAACTTCTCTAAAGACGAAATATATGTTGTAAGTTCTCTGATATTTTTTTTTCAGGAGGACTAATAACCTTTAGTTAAGTTTGTTTAATTTTCATGGATGTAGAACTTTTTTATACGGCTCAGGTCAGTACTCAACGGTTCAATAAGTCGGTTATGTGATACCTTAACCAGTGTCTGCTTCAGCACCATGTTAACTGGATGAGTGATGGGTTTCGTAACAACCTAATGGGGGACCACGTCAAGAGTCGATGTACTGCTATTTATGCCGATGGTTTTCAGTTATTTGAGCCCTTTTTACTTTCTCCTGGTTGTCCATTCATCCAAGTCAACATAGGGATGGACAACCAGGAGAAAGTAAAAAGGGCTGAAATAACTGAAAATTATCTGCATAAATAGCAGTACGTCGACTCTTGGTGTGGTTGTGCTTATTTAAAATTTATTGTCCTAATTGGTACATATTTGGGACGAATCCTGTGTTGTCACTGCTTTGGTTTCGTAGCGTGAGTACCTTGGACTCAACACTGCCTGATTACAGATACTTAAGGTCACATCTAATTTTGTATTAAAAGTCTGCTTTTGTATGACTATCAACTGTTTACTTCCACAACTTGGTTTCGGGCTCTCCAACCAGTTCATGGTATGAAAGTCGATTTTCCAGGACTTTCTATCCATCAAAACCCCACGATTGCGTATTAGAGCAGTAACTAGTTAAACTTTTCGTCAAATTAGTGGACTCGAAATTTCTGGTTTGAGTCATTGCACCTATGAATGAAGCGCACGCGAAACTATGGTGTGGTCATATTCTTCATTTCTACTGACATTATCTACGCAGTTATTGCCTGAATAAGCATTGACCACTTAGATTTCTGGCGCATACATTTAGCTAGTTTTGAGAACAGGCGATCAAACCAATCTCTAAATTACTTAACTGTTGACCTCACCTACGTCAGGTAGGTTTCTCAAAATGTTAGTCCGTCAGCTAATATTAAAAGGAGACCTGACGTTATCATATAATTGTCCAGATTGTCATACCTTCCATCAGTACATCAAGGTACAAGCTAGTATTATGATGGATTGAAAAATAAGGATGAATTTCGATCAGAAGTTATTAAAGAAGAGGATGGTAGAACTAATAACAAAACGACGACTGGGGCTGAGATAGTGATGGCGTATCTACTTAGCTGGGATGGATTCTGTTCCCCATCACCTAGAGTTTCCAACCTTTGGTTTTTGTTTTCAGCCAAACCCGAGGTGGTGAGTTTACATTTGCCCACACAATTCAGACTAACAGTTAGAGAGTTAATGAACTGATGGTGTCTTTTATTTTGGTCACTTTCAACCTAACTGTACTTCAGCTAACTTTGCGCGTCGGGTTAGACGGTAGGCTAGCGTCACGCATGTCGAAGTCATATCAGTCGATGAAAGTTTACGATACAGTGGTTGTAAACTCTGGGTGATATCTCTGGAAACCGATCAAATTGATGCAGATATATCCAAAACTTATCATTTTCAGGGTTCTAAATATCTTACTGATTTTTATTTATATGTCGCGCTATTACTGTTCACTTTCTCATTCTATGCTTTCGCGAGTTGTGGCAACTCGAAACGATGCCTTCGTATGCCTTATATGCCTACAGTAATTAGTAATTGTTTCTGCGGTATTGAGCAGGAATTCAAAGAAACATTGTTGTACGTTATTCATGCAGCTGTTGACTGGTATAACGATCAAGGTTAATTGGGAGCTGTAGGCAATAGTTTTGTTAAACGAAGTAGATATATCGTCATTAGGCAGTTGTTCTGTCAGTTCGTTTTTGAAAGTTCATCTACTGATAGGTTTCTAGCAGTTCCCAGTTCACTATCGACACCCAGTTATGAATAATATGGAATTTGGCTGAAGAGTACTAGTCACGGTAGGCAAGTCAGTCGATGAGGTTATAAACCTTCATAGACAGGTGGCTTGGGCATGTGCTGTGCATGCCGAGGCACCGCCTACCTCGACCTGTAATGCTAGGAGAAGTTGAATTAGGTTAAAAGAAGGCTCAGGATGACCAGACCGAGACAAGGCATTAGTCCATGAAGCCTCTTACTTTTGGTCTGAGGAGTATGATGAAGTGTAGACTACCTGGTCGTGGTCCTGTAAACGATAGGAATTAGGTGTTAAGGACTCTTCGTGACGTGGCTGGAAGTTGGTCACAATAACCTATTCACTTTTTAGCGCCTTCGATAGCTGTATTATTTTCACTAACCTTCGTTTTCAAGTACTTTCTCGCGCACGCCTTTGTCTACTTTGATATCAGTCTTTTTCTGTTAGCTTGTTCTCTGCATGATGCTGTGAAGTACGGCGATTAGAACCGATTCACCTGTAAACAAAGTTCTGCGTTGATTTTGACTGTCTGTTTGGTCATAGGAATTAATGGGGGGAGCTAGCAAACTTTTCTTTTTGCTTTTCAGTCATTTTCTCTTATGCATCTGGGATAGCCTAAATGTTGAAGACATGACTTTCAAAGGTATATAACTTTTCACATTGTAAAAATACAATGCAGTACTTTTAATTACTACCTATTTAATTTCATTGAAGCTCATTAGCCAACAGTACCCGTCACTGGTGCCTTTTATCGACCGTATAATGAATATTTATCTATTTATCTTGGAATCCTTTCAAAATGACAGTATTACTGTACAAAATCCACTAAATGCTTCACGAATGCGTGCCATTTCCGTGCGAGATCTGCTGAAATTTTGTTCACGTGTATCATTGTTGACTGAGCAAGAGAATTTCAGTGAATTATTGCTTTTAAATGCAGTCGATTGTTTCCTATGCTCAATGTGTAATTGTGTGAGAAAATTGGAAATAGCCTGTCGACTAGCTGGAGAGTTAAATTTGTCAGTGGAAAAGGTAAGTTACGACAATCTGTCGAGTATATATATATATATATATATATATATATATATATATATATATATATATATATATATATATATATGAACTCGATAGAAATCAATGTAAGAGTAGAACCTGGCTACTGTGGTAGTGAATGATTCCGTTTGTTGGATATTTCGCACAGCAAAACAGTATTAGTTGCTAGAACACAGTTTATTGTTCATATTCCTATCAAAGATGAGTGAATATGAACAGTGAATTTTGTTCAAAGTGTCATCCAGTAAATAATACTGTTCCACTGTGTGAAATATCCAGCAAAGTGGAATTCTGGGAATCAGCAGCTGAAGTTTGTTGATGATATTCCTCAAAATCCATCACGTGTTTACTCAGAAATAGCCAAAATACACTCAGCAGCCGCGTACACGTTCACATGGTTGACAACGAGTCACACCTGTAGTGTGAGAGTCGATGGTATCCCTTGGTTGCTCAAACCTCAGTAAGTGGAATAGGCTTTTCAATTTATTCGTTGCATAAATAGTTCAGACTTTTAATTTATCCACTGAGATACCAGTCTGAATGTGCTTTTGACTCTGCAGTGGGGCAATATTGGGAAGCGTCGTTTAAACTAGGGTTCAGGTACAATAAAAGTAAAGCTTGTCCACTGTGTCCACTTATTCATGATATGTATCACACAGTGAAACAGTTTTATTTACTAGACTACATTTCGCACATAATTTATGGTCTATGGTTTTTGTCAGGGTAACTGCACAACTTTGAGGTACGGTTTATGTACTTCTAGTTCTCTCTCCTTTGTGTCAAAGTAGTTGATCAGGGTTGGTTAGGCCATTCAAGTTCAAAAGCTTAACTAAATCAAGATTAGTAGATACTAGTAAGACAAGAAATCTAAAGAAAAGCTCGGTTATGGCTGCGCATGCAATTACACACCAGCAGATTAGAATAGAACGAAGTGAAATATTTTAAAAGTAATTTATTTGGATGGAAGAACAGATCGATAGCCGAATCTTTATTCATCGAATCAACATCATTTACTGGCAACATGAATAATTCTGCACGTGTTTTAGTCGAATAGAATATTTCACTATTAAATCTACATAAACCATGTCTCAAAGTTGTTAAGTTACCTTAGTATAACCCAAAGACAATAGATTGTATCCGAAACCAGATTCAGTGCATGATATTGTTTCACTGTATGATACGTCTAATGAGTCAACTGTGCTCTTGGTTTGTAAATGCTACCTATATCTATTGCATACATATATAGTCGGGCTTTGTTGATATTCTGTTGTTAATGATTGTTTTCAGGCAAGAAATATGTTATGCTGCCGATCAATCGAAATAAGCTTACATCCGCAAAAGAGTATTTTAAAGGCTGGTCGTACTATTCTACCATGTCGAAGAAGCTCGGATTGGGAGATGAAAGTTGCCGGGTATATTTCGTTTTTCGTTCAGTAATTTTCATATGAATTAATAGGTGGTTTCTATTATTATTGCTTTTAAAAATTGTAGTTATTATACATTTTTTCACTTTTTTTGTTCACTAGTAAAATGTGGGTCATAAGCAGACATTTTGCAATCTAAATTATTGGGGCTACCGACAGAACATATCTTACTATCAACAGGATACTTTTTTGTATCCTACTATTTGGCTGCAGGATAGTAGGAGGGGACTCGAAGTAATTTTAGTTGCTGATAGCTTCTTAGTTTCCAGTACGCGTATGTCTTATTAGTCTAGGTGCTTGGCTTTCAATAGATAGCCCACGGGTTCGGCTCCCGCCCAACCTACCGAGGTTTGGGTTGCCGAGTCATATCATTCAGCCCCACACAATGAGTGTGGCTCGCTGCCTACCTCATGAATGTACATGTGGTTGGTGAGTGCATAGAAAAATCGCATGTATGCAAAAACGTTTATGTACATCATGCAAATGTTACTACTCGTGGAGTGCCCTCTTCAAAGATGGTGGACCACTGAATGTAGTCGTACTGAGTACGGTATAGATGATTGGGGTGTTTTATCCAGTCGTTTCTCTCTCCATATATACTCTGTTGGTTGAATTAAATGCAAACATAAGCCTGAAGATTACCATGTCATCATCAGTGATGACCTAAACCATCTCTATAAATAGGTCGTACGTCCTCTTTTCTAGCTATAATCAGGGTTTAGAGAAACCAGTGCAACAAATTTAGTGTAATCTATTTATTGGTCGAAACAGAGTAAGATATCTGCAACCTAACATGTGAATATCCTGATGTGTATAGTACTTGCTTTTACATGCGTTTGCCAATGTAAACTCGAACATTTAATTTAAGAGAGACTCACTGGAAACAGCACTAGTTTACTATGTCTAAATATGTCCATTTATTACCATGTTTGATATTTCAATCTGTCTAAAATGCTATTGTCTTTTATTTAATGCAGAGGGAGTTCAATGCTTCAAAGTTCTAGCGATATTATTTGGCCATTTGCTTCAACTCGTTTATCCTGTTCCCTTTTGGAACGACTAGCTGTTGCTGTACAACACAAAGAACCTGTTCTACTCGTTGGTGAAACTGGAACTGGAAAAACATCCACTGTCCAACGGTTAGCCTATCTTACTGGTCATCGTTTAAAAGTGATCAATTTGAATCAACAGTCGGATAGTGTAGATCTAATGGGCGGGTAAGTATTTTTCTTCTAAGTGTCTAAATAGAGGAAGAAAAAGTAGGTGTGTGTGAATTTGATCAGTTTTTATTCTTGAGAATCATGTTAGTAAATATCAGAATTACATGTATACGAGTTCTTGTACCAGGGTATGGAAGTTTATTTTGTCAGGTGTTCAATGACACGTACGCTTAACCTTTAAGAAAACATTTAGCGAACCAATTGTGTGATCGTTATGAGTTCATTTATGACGACCGACACTGACAAAATCAATATAGAACCTCACACACAGCTGTATCTGCTCAATTCGCTACACTTCACAGTAATATACAAAGAACGGGTGCATAAAAAAGGAGTGATATCAAAGTAGATTAAGTAATGTGAAAGAATCAACGATTTGAAGATAAACGTTAGTGTGAATATTCAGGGGTTAAAAGATGTCGAGGAGCTGATACATTTGCACATTGTGACTGATTTTCAGCCATGCCATTTTATCAAGAGCCATAAACTACTGATTGCTTTCGTCTTGGGGACCCCAACCAGGCAGTCTACGTTGCCACGCGCGACTCAGACCAACAGTTTGGGACTTTATAGACATGCTAACTCTTTATCTGGTTACCTTGAAATCTCTTCCAACCTAATGCAGCATCCTCTAACATGGCACATCGAGGCAGGCGGTGTATCGCATCCGCATCACATCCAACCCATCTCAAACGACTGAGGTCCACAGCCTCATAAATCGACTTGCAAATCTTACCTGGTACTCCTTGTTTAACCTCAGCATTGTTCACACAGTGATTCTATCACAGGCGAGCAATGTTACGAAGATAGCTGTGATAAAAACCTTGCGGTCGTGTCATGTCTTCCACTTTCAACGGCCATATCTCATAGCCCTATAACTGTAGCATAGTATACTCATCCTTTGATAGATAGTCGGATATCTCACAAGTTGGTATCACATATAACTCAAATTGTGGGGGGTGAAGGGGGGAATCCACTAATATTGCACTGTCTGTTCATTTGTGGGTTGATTCCTCCCTCTCCCTAATCATACTATAAAAGACTGGTCAGTTAGATATGCGTTCTTATTATATTGATGTGTTGGTGTTTGTATAAGTCCCAATGTTGACAGAAACGAACTGTTCAGCAAACTTGAAACTATGTTCACCTTACACTTGTGAAGGAGAACATCAAAGTACAAACTCAATGTAATCAGGTGCCTGGCTTTTAGAGTAAGATCGATTTGTTCCAAGGAGTGTGTGGGGAAAAAACTGCTGTGTATCCGTGATATTCTAAGAGAAAATGGTATCCGGATGAGTTCATCAGAACTAACATCAACTACATTGGTCCTAAATGAGAACTGACGATAGTGGGCAAGAAGCCTTTGTTTCTACGCTTACAATTCAAGGGGGATGTTGCAAGTGACATTCTATCACGACTAGCTAGAGCAGTCAACAGGACGTTTTATGCAAGTAGGCTTTGTATATCATTCAGTAGTCGGCTAATGCTCAGTCCGAGTTTAAGTGATAGAGTACTTAGTTGTAGCTCTTCATTTTGCATATATCAATTTAACTGTTTCGGTGGAACTAGTTACATAGAGCATACGATTAGGTGGGTGCATCTCCGGATACGAGATCATTTACCAGCTTGGTTCGGAAAGGGCAAAGTTAAAGTGCTGAAAAGTTCAGTCCTAGTGCATCTAGTCGACATAGGGCGTCACACAGATACTAATAAATCTTCCAATGCCACTCATCGTGTTCCAAAAACGACACCACGTGTAGCTCGCCTACGCCTGCTCAACATAACGAAGGCTGTCGTAATAAGATTTATCAAGCCTGAACTCTGCATTCAGAAAGAATATGCCCAAGCGTTACGTCTCCCTTGGCCTTCAGCTAACTAAAGACCACTCCTACCATCTTATTCATTATCATTTTGTTTCACCATCATATCATTCTTCTGTATATGTATCATCCCAATATTGACTCATTTGAAGAAGATAAATCGATTTCCTTACAATCCCTAGATCTCACTTCATTTTGAAAATGTAACTGTCCATAATAACATGTCTTGTGTTTACGCTGTACAAATACATTTTATAATTGTAGAACCTGAGGAGAATTTATTGAAAAGAATATTCGTTTAGATTGTTGCTTTTTATAAGAGAGAGAGAGTCTTTAGTTGTTTGATATGTGACATTTCTTCTACTATAAATACAACTGTCCAGATTGATGTTAGAATTTCAAGTTGTTATTCATCGTAGACTGACATCAGTTGGAGGAACAAAGGAAACCTGGGGTCACTCGACAGCTGTTTCGTCCCAGTATGGGACTCCTCAGCAGTGCGCACCCACGACCCCGCCAGGATCGGACCCGTGACCTTCAGGTTCCGTAGCCAGCACGTTACCACTTAGCCAGTGGGTCAGAATCCAATGGTCCATATTTCCAACTTCTGTTAGCTCACGATATAGCGCAACCGCCACCCAATGTCATTGTTGAGTACCTGTCCTCACGACCATCAGACTTTGCCCTCCACCGGTCACGACTTCTCATTGAAACTTCGGGAATATCTCTGGAAGCTAGCCGTTTGTTCCTCCAACTGATGTCAGTCTACGATGAATAACAATTTGAGATATCTCCAAATCCCCACAACTCCCTCAAAATAGATGATAAAATTGTTAAAAAGATACATTTCTTCGCTGATAAAAGAATTTTGTTCTTATTAATGCATTTTATATATTATGTATGTCAACGTACGTATATTCTAGCCTTTACTGAATCGATTTATAAACGAAGTATTATTTGCCTACATATTTTGTTGTTTTAGATTTAAACCTGTTGACTTTCAAGTTTTTATTCGACCATTACGCGAGAAATTTGAATCTCTGTTTACCTGTACTTTTAAATTAGATAGCAACCAAACCTTTCTTGGTCATATAAATGTAAGTCGATGCTTTTCTATATAATATATGCATGATCTTCTGCTGTCTATTTTTTTAAATTATCGTTGGTTAATTGTACAATTTGTTTTCTTGATTCAATGCAATTTATAACAATGTGACAAGATTTATTTTCCTTTCCGGTTGACTGAAATGATATTAAGCTAGTCGTTAATTGTCGAAAACTTTGAATCACTTTACAATAAATATTCTTATCATGCATACAATCTGCTGTGTAACTGGTTAACTTTGAAGTAACATTCGAAATTGTATCGTTCACTTATATTTTTTCTCGATACTTTACATTTCACGAGTAGAGTGCGTATCAGGATTCTTGGATTATCGATGGTGATCATATAACCTGTGATTCATTGATTTAAACAGTCAATCTTCAACTGCTGGATTACTAGTCCAGGTTTCGAACCAACCCATCAATATGTAGATTTGTAGGTTATTAATATTATTAAGAGCCAGCGTACAAAACATTGAATTCCAATTAGTTATTATAGTACTGGTAACTGCTAACACTTTAATGTGTGTTCTGTTCAATTCAAACCTGTTGAAAATTCTATCAATATTTATTTGGTGCATTTCGACAGCATTTTGATGTCTGAACACTGTCACGTTCATCACACAAGCTAGCTGACTTCAGCTTGTGACTTGCACGAATAGGTGTAAATCACTCACACTAAGCAGTAATGCTTACTATCCAGATGGGTATGATTTAGACATTGGATAACTGTTTTACGTGTTTGATACTATACTAATCATTGATGTACTGGGACTAGGCTGGTGAGCGTGGGGTGGATTAAACATTTTTTTCGTAACGCCATTTTTGGCATCAAACGCATTGAATTTCATGATGTGAACGTCTTCATTTTCAAGGAGGATAATACTAGGATCTTAAGCGATCTTGAGATTGACACCATTCTTATTTACTGATTGAAAGTTTGTAAAAAACTGTATTCTCTTGGTAAAAACATAAATCTCCTGTGCATTACGTCATCGGATTCTATTTACTAACTTTTTGAGGCTGTTGATATGGAGATCACAAAAATCAATTATTCGTAAGCGCTATACATCATCTACGCGTAATGTCATAGAAACTTTCGTCTAGTTTAACCTGACTGCCAAAATCTTCCATTTGGCAGTCAGCTTGTCTGCATTTCAGAAACGCCAAATGCGTAGAATTTAGTTCGACGACTTGATGTGTCAATTCGACTGTTATATTCATCATTATAATTATTGCTATTGTTATTATTACTATTATTATTATTATTATTATTATTATTATTATTATTATTAAGAATGCTGTTTCAATGATATACTCAAAACGCCCATCTTCGTTTCCATTTTTGATAACTGTGATAACACTGAGTGTGTATAAAGCCCTTATTTCAAGATAACTCCACCAAGTAAGATGAGACTGTCCGCATACGCACAGTTGAAAACCCTTTCTCCTCGTATCATATCTACACCATCACTGGTGCATTATTTTCGATACCAAGGAGTCAGTTTTCCTGTTTATCTGAAACTGTGAAGTGCACTCTGAGAATACACTAAAATACGACACGCACATATTTTTATTTTCTTGCTTCCTCATGGATTATTTTTTATTTCGAGATCGCTTGTTGTACGTAACAAACAAACTGTAATGAAGGGCAGTAGAAAGCAATTCATCAGCTGCATAGAGTTGCATACACTAAGTTATTAACCGCACCTTGTTGTATCATGCATAATGATACTACCTGTCTGCTCAAACCTTAACATGGAAGAGTTTCAATCGTGTGTCCGGGTGATGGATAGTCAATTGTCTGAGCCAATAGAAACAGTGGTTATGCGCAAAACCTACTGACCGATAAACAGTAAACGAAACACAATTGGGTGCTGATTCCTACCCTTTGAGTGTGAAATATAACCGTAAATCTAAAAATCTAAGAATCGTAAAGTTGTTTTCCAGCAGGAACTTTATCTGGTAGTATCACAAAGTTGAGGTTATTGATTGAGCTTCTTTATATATCTCTGAGGTATATATATACACTGGAACGTCAATAAAATATAGTAGTATATTTTAGAGACTAAATGCATTGCTAGCAAAAGTATCTCATCTTTCTGACATTGTAGGGAGTTTGGTAAAGCTTTAGTCTACGAATTTGCGGGGTATTAAAACTTGTCAATATAAACAGTGAAACATTGTCTGCGTAGAATGAGTTATTTTTTAGTTGTAATTATTGGATTAACACAAATACTTTGACTGTGCTTCTTCAGTAAGATATAATTCATCCATCAACTAGCACTGGCCTTCATGACATTGGTTGCTGTCTACTGACTAGTCAATAGATATGATCCAGTACTTCAGGAGAGATCACCTGTGATTCAAATAATTCACTGTTGATTTCTCTGCTTTTAGCTTTAAGTGACAGCTTCGGTTCCCATGAGTAATATCAGTCCACATACTGATAGGCTGAATAGGATGCATACATTTCAGGTTGAACACAGTTATTTCTTGATTGCCTTCAATAATTTTTCTTAAAAACAACCTTTTTCTTGGTTGACATATGTTAATTTCGATGGTATGAAAGTAATTTTTATACATTTAATATTGACTTATAAGTATCTATCTGTTTTTGCAGACTTGTTTCATTTCTGAACGTTGGCTTGACCTAATCAGTTTAATGCGCCATCCAGCTCAGGTGGCTGTACAACGTGAATCATGCGACTCGTCGGAATGGATAAAATTTTTGAATGAATTACATCGTGTGGAGAAACGTTTAGAAAATATTACAAAATCCAATAAAACTGGATTGGGCTTTGCGTTTATTGAAGGCGCTCTTGTTCGTGCAGTTCAAGAAGGCGATTGGATACTGCTAGATGAAATCAATTTAGCTCCAGCTGAAATGCTTGATTCGTTGAGTGGTCTTTTGGATTCAGAATATGGTAGTCTTGTTTTAACAGAACGTGGGTAAGTCTTGTTGTTGTGGGTTGAGGAATGTAAAATAGCATTATTTTCAAGTTTTTACTGCAACAACTATTACTCTGTGTTGTATGATGGTTGTATAACTGTTAAGGTGGTTAATGTTCACTTAAGTAGTACAGAATCGATGTTGCTTGTCAAAATACCGATAGTATTGACTACTAGTTGAGGAAAGTTTACTGAGATGAGAGATACTTCACATTTAGCAGTAAAAACTATTTTGGTTAATACTTGGTTGAAGTAATAAGTCGGTTGACTAATTCTTTATTTGGATTACCTGGTGGCTGGTAGTGGAATCTGGGACGCACCTTTTGTTATATTTAGGATTCATCAGTTGGATTTACTTGGACCCCAGTGAGTGATGGTGTTCCAACTCATTCGAACCTAATGCCCTTCGCTCTAAGCACCAGAGCGTTATCCACTAGACCGATGAGCCTGGGTATGGATGCTTATAAGATCATATGATCTGCAGACTCAATCATTTTTCCTTCCAGTTCATTAGTGTGCTGTGTCTATGTATCAGATATATGCATGCAGGAAACTGTTATTTGTTGTAAAGTAGTGATGTACTCTATTTCGAGTGTATTTTAGATTACTTTTATGCGCTTTGGATATTCAGTCACTTTATTTTTGAAGAGATAGTTGATTAAAGGATTAGAAATTCGGATTGTAACCAGTAGATCATGATTCTGGGGCCCACTTCACCTACGATATTGAAACAATCAAATGGTATCACTAATCAGGTTACATAAGACATATGAAGTATCTTTTTTACGCAAACCTGTACACTGATGTTGACGTGTATATCTGTATATTTTTAAAACTATAACCATTTCCCAAAAGAATTGTTTGTGAAAGGCCTTGAAACCCAGTAATTTTAGTCTTACCGGTTGAAGAATTTCAACTTTTCGCTCAAGTTCGAATTCGGGTGTCAAAATACACCAGCTGAATGACTGATCTAATTTCGTCCTACGCATCGTCCGTTCGGAGCGGTAATGATCAGGTTCATGTTGTACCTGCTTTTCCTTCCTTCTCATACTTACTAGTGACTGCGTTTTTGGAGTTGTAGCTCATTGGCTTATGGAATCGACTTTCAATCAGTGGACCGCAAGTTCAAACACCGCTCCGCCTACAGAGGTTTGGGCAGCCAGATAGTCTCATTAGCCCTCACGCAATAGGTCTGCCTCATTGCTTACTGCGCGAATGTGCATAACCTTGTTGAGTGAATTTCTGTTTTTATTCGTATCTTTCCGAGCGTAGCATACTTTTCTTATCAAGTGCTTAGTCGTAAATCATAAATCGGTTTATCAAAATAGCGTTAGTTGATTCAAATCTAATTAAGAGAATGTATGTTCAAGGGATACATTTTTTTTCATAGATTTCTGTTTCACATACAAACTCGTTAAGCACAATGCTCAAAATAAAATGTTGTTTCCTCTTTTTCACTTCTGTTTACTTGTATACAGCGACAATGAACCATTAAAACGTCATCATGATTTTCACCTTTTTGCTGCTATGAATCCAGCTACAGATGTTGGTAAACGTGAACTTCCTGTTGGACTTCGTAATCGTTTTACTGAATTCTATGTGCCTGAATTAGATCCTGGTATTGATCTAAATGTTAATAACAAGTCAGAAAATCCCATCAGTAATGATTTAGACAATAGTCGGCATGCAGAGATATTACGTTCAAATAATCGTGAAGATCTGGCAACATTGGCAAAAGCATATCTAATCGGTTTGAATCCGACTCCATCTCAGTTATCCACTATTGTACGACTGTATTCAGCGTTGAGACAAGCTGCTATAGAAGGATTAGTGGACGGTGTCGGTCAAAGACCTCATTTCAGGTGAGCTGTGAATTTAGAATATAAATTATTATTATTTGTTCCTTGAGTTCCTAGTGGAACATAGGGCTTCCGTAGCACGTCTCCAGTGCACTCTGTCCTCTGCAATCTTTTGAACCTCGCTACATGACAGCCCACAAACTCATTTCTTCCTCACAAGATCTCCTCCATGTCACCCTCGCTTCGGACGCCCAACTCGTCGTTTCCCATCTGGGTTGCACTCGAGCAACTGGCCTGGGGCGTGATGTCCCCGAATGGTCTTCTCAGTGCATGCTCAATATATCTCCACTTCCTTCCACTGCATATTTGTTGAGCGATAGGTTCTTGGTTGGTTCGTTGCCCGGCCAGAGTTCCTTTCTGGCTATCTGAGCTTCAGCAACTAGCGTAGGCAGTTGTTGATGAATGTTTGTAGTTTGTTGGAAATGCCTTTCGTAACGTGCCAAGTTTCTGAATCATATAGAAGCCCTGACTTGACACTGGTGTTGAAAATCCGGATCTTGTTCCATATGCTGAGTGCAGATCTCCACACTGGTTTCAGGCTAATGAACGCCTGTCTTGCTTTTCCGATCCTGCCTGGCTTTGAAATCCTCGTCTGTGCCGCCTGTAGTTGAAACGGTGCTGCCCAGATAGGTGAAGGAGGTTACTTCCTTTAAGTTTCTCCCGTTGATGGTGATTGTGGCTTGTTGTTGCTGTTGTTGTTGGTTAGGTATCTTCATCACCTCTATCTTTCCTATATTCACTTGAAGTCCCGTCTTCACTGCCTCTTCTGTCAACTTGTTAGTTTTTGCCTGTAGATCTTCAAGTTTGTGCGACATTAGACACAAGTCATCGGCGAAATTCAAATCTTCTAGGATCTTTTCCCCGGTCCAGCCAGCGTTTCCCCCTCTTCTTGCTCCTCACAGTTTGTTGCATGATCCAGTCGACCACAATCAGGAATATCATGGGGGACAGTAGGCAGCCTTGTTTTACACCTGTCTTCACTTAAAATATAAAAGAAACTCATTATTTCTGTTGTCGTTAGCGTTGATTCTAAATGCTCTACAGCTTTAATGGAAGCAGTCGCTTAAGTAAATCTATGTTTTTCTCCAAGGTTGCCTTGTCCTTACTTATCAACGTCTGATTGAGTATCATTGAAAATTTGATTACTTTCGATTTCTCTGCCGTCACCATTATCGCAATATTAAGTCTAGTTCAAGATCGCTGAATATCATAGCGAGCATCATTCAATCACTGGCTTTTATTCATCATTGTAAATGATCATGAAACTATTCTGGTTATCAATATTTTCTCTAGTATTGTTTTATTTTACTACAAGGTGGTATTTATCACAAACTAGTATCACTTTAGAGAACCACTGAAAATATGTTGGCATTGAACAGCTGTTTCTTCCCATAGTATGCTACTACTCAACAAAGCTCACGCAGCGATGGATTATGCGTAATGGTCGTTCGTTTGCCAAACTACCTCATCAGCAGAGTTTGTTAAAATCACCTAATCAGTTGTGTTATTGAAAGAGAATCCATTTTCATGGTTTGATTTCACTGGAATGGATATTTTTATGATATCTAACGATAGTAACTTTTTGTTAAACAGAATTGTAAGACATCTTAGCAGAGTGACTTTTTAAAAATCATCGTAACAACCAATGTCCATTCAGGCAGTACAACTATGATTGAACAAACAAGTTTTAAGTAAAATAAGCTAATTATTGTTGCTTTCACCAACACTAATAATCGTAATTATCGAGTACTGTGATCATGCTGACAGTATGTGCTAACTACTGTATGCGTCTAAATTGTGCATTAGTGTTCCCATTGTAACTCAGGCCCTAGTGTTACCTGTGGTTTGGAAAGTCAATATTGTGTCCTCTTGGACTCTAAAAATTGGAGCTGTTCCCTCTAGTTCAGGCGGTTTATTTCAGTAAGAGTCGAACATGAGATGCACTCAGTAACTACGTGCACTTTCGTGCAGTAGACAGTGTGCGATACATGTTTTGTAAGCGATAATGATTTTCCTAGCAACTTGGACCTGAGTAAATGGGGCTGGATTTTAAATCATGACCCATTTTTTGGAAGGCACCTGTCTAGACCAGCTCTAATATTTCAGCAGTCTCATCGATTCAGTTTTGTAAACAAACAGCGGTTATTTCAAGTCTTTAACACGTACCATCTTGCAGTACACCTAATAGTGAATGTTCACTGTATGCCCATCGTTAATTAGAATTAAGCTTGGAATTTAGCTACCATGTACAGGTTTTGTGTACTGAGTTATGAGTTATGTTTTACTTGAAATTTCAGTCATCCAGGTAGAATAAGGTCTGGCTAGGTTTGAACATCATACCTGTTGGTTCGGAGTCAGATGATTAAGTTATTGAACACCGCTTATACACGCACAAACCCACAAACTGTAGCTTAGATAAACATGTATATTTGCATACGAAGTACAGTTTCTGAAATATAGTTAATAAAAAGGAACATCTATTTATTAAAGAGTCGTTTTTATCATATGTTGTGATCACTTTTCAATGCTACTCTCAGGTTATTTGAGAATTAATGACTGGTGGTCGATGCTATTTGAAATCTCAGTTGGTTATTGTAGATTGCGAAAGCGCTACACCTCATTACTTAATGAGGCTGGCCTTTCTCAAGGTTCGGTCTTTTCTCCTGTTTCCTTTATGATTTACCATCTTTAGCTAGCATCAATTTTATCAAAATGCTGATGACCGGACAGTTTCCAACAGATTGTTTCCAGCTGAACGATTTCCTCTCTACTGTTAGACGATGGTCCTCTGTGAATAGTCTTGTGCTTAGTTCTTCAAAATGTCAGACTATGAACCTCAGTTTTACACATGAGCATAACCTACGTAAACTGCCTCGGTCTCATGATTCCTGTTTTATTGATGTTTGTGTATTAGAGGATGTTACAAGTGTAATTTATCTTGGACCTTTTACGGTCCTCCCATATCTTACTAATTTCAGAACCATTTTCTGCCTAACTTTCTATATTAGGAGACTGAGAGTATCTGGTATAGCAGCCTCTTTGCTTGCGTTTTATAAACTCCTGCATCTTGCCTATTCTCCTCTATTGTTCCCCTTTTTTTTTCGCGGGTTGCTAAGAAAAGACTGCTGTATTGCGTAGCACTTTGGGGATTGTCAGAAGAACTAATGGTGTACCTCGAAACCTAATTGTAGGACCGTTGTGGACAAACATGTTAACTCATGTAAACATCTGGGAAGAGTTATTTTATCAGATGACCAGCATCCTCTTCACTCAAAGCTCTGTGTGTCGGTCGTCAAGAAAGACCTGGAGAAACAGTATAAGACTTTATGCACATACTACTGTGTTGAAAACTGGATTGCTGGAAGAAAGTGTTAGAAATGAGCTAACTAGTCAACTTATGTTTTGAAAGCAAAGACAGCTTAGTATTATTTGTGTATTATAGATCTATTTGCTAATGTGATTGTTTACGTAAATTAACTGTATATCTTCAAGAAAGTTGTAGATTGAGTAAATATTCTTATCTTTTATATGTAGTTTCTACTTATTTCATTCTATGTTTACATATACACTGTGTCTAACTGATGTCATATGACATGCTGAAAATTCTGTACAGCATTCCCGAAATATTTTCCAGAATTATTATTATTATTGTTATGTTATATTTCTAAAATTTTGTTCTATCTTTTACCATATTTTTGTTGGTATAGCCTTCGAACACTCTGTCGAGCTTTGCTCGAAGCTGGTCGAGGTTATCATGGCAGTGTACTACGTTCTTTGTACGAAGTAAGTTAATTTTATTTACACGCCGTAATAATACTTATACACTGACAAAAAAAGCTGTTTATTGAGAAAAAAGTGTAGAGAGTATGTTATGTTCAGCTTTTGATGACTATTTTGTCTAAAATACTGTTTTGGTGAAGAAAATCACTTCTTCAGAGCAGCGATAACTTGTTGTTGGCACCCACTATTTTCTAATTACAACCCTCAAACTGCCTCGGTTTGGCCGAAGGTGGGATGGTTATGATCATCTCGAAACGCTGTTGTACGGCTACACGTTGATACCCTGTATCAGGGTACTTCTACTGACTGCCTTCATGAGGTGTGAGTTTCTTTCCGACAAAAGTGAAGGAATAAAAACAAATGCCCTGAGTCATTATCGGGTTTGGGGTTATGGAAGATTCACGTGAAGAAGTCGGTAAACCGTTATTCCAAATCATTCGTGCTCATGTACTTCAAGATTCACAACGGATGAATGGCCTATGAACGTACATTTTTCAATGCCAGCCATGGGAATGTAGCATCAAATCTTGCTCCGCTGCCTTGTGGATCATACGTCTATCAAAGACTGAGCAGTGATCCCTAAAATAGCCACCTTTTCTTTGAGTGCCCGAGCGGTACCACAGCCAAATAAAAAGAATGAAATTACACTAAAAACAAGAAAATGTCAATACATTGCTCCAAATATAACGATCACTTTTCTGTGCACATGAATATTTTTGAGGTTCGGTATTGATCAGGAAATCCACAATTTCTGGAATGAATGTGAACCGTAGGCTATGAATTCATTATTTTGACAGGCTGCGCATTCTCAGTTTTTCACTATAGTTGCAAAGTGCATAATTCTACATATTTTTTTTTACTTCATCAAGGCTGTATTACTTCATTCAGCTGTAGAAATCAAATGGCATTTTATTCAAGATTATTTATTTTGAAGTACACCTAATTACTATACTTTTTAAAGTTTTGCTGAGAATGAGATTGCTTGTGAAACAATCTAAAAATCAAAATTTAAATCAGTAAAGCTGATAAAGCTGTGTCGTTCATTGGTTTCAGTATTGAAATCATGTAAATTCACTGAAAATGTTTTTTCTCGTGTTATTTTGGTGCTGTGTCTTGGCTACTCTTCATCTTTCAATTAGTTGAGTTGAATAGTATCATCAACCGTCACACAATAAATATGACTTATCGCCTACTATATGAACATCCATATAGTTACTGATTCTCATAAGTTAACAGATAGTCGGTGTTGTAATGTGAAATTCAGATTCAGTTGTATTATGCAAGAAGTGCAATGCAACTAATATATGTTCTACATTATATTAACTTGGTACATCTTTGGAAGTAATCGTATATATCGAAATATTCTTTTTGGTTCACTCAATATTTTTCATCTTCCCCTTCTTGTCTAGGGTTTACTCTTCAGTTTTGGATCACAGATCTGTCGAACATCCCGACCTATACTGGATACTTTAATTCAGCGCTACCTATCATCTGGTTGGAATACAGAGTGTTCATTATTGGTACGCTTACTGAACACTCCACTGCCAGTACCTCCTTTGAGCAGTTTACCCGTAGACAATATTGATAACCTCAAGGTATCTAGGTGTTCTGAGGATTATTTTGTTAACGTTGAAGGTTATTGGTTGCCTAAAGGTTCCCAACAGCCTATCTCAGTATTCAACAGGGATGCAATACCTGGCAATTATATCCTGACCCCAAGTGTTCAAGCAAATTTGAAGGATTTAGCACGGGTTGTGTCTGCAGGGTACGTTTTCATTCATTGTACAAAGTATATTTCTTCTTTTTGCTGCTTATTATAATAAACTGATGTCGAGTTGCTAAGACCACCTATCTATGCCTAATTCTTTTTATTAAACAAACTTGAAATTTGACTGATCGCATGCTGGCACTAATTGGTTGACGGACCCATACAAAATGAAAGGAAGGAAGGTTGGGTATTATGATGTACACGTAGTTGCACGCATTTCTTCCCCATGTTTTTTGATCTATATGAAATGAAATACAGGTAGCTTTTAATTTATTGTCAAGCTAGGAAACTGGCATCCACTTTGAGATTCCAACTCTCACCACCCGGTTTCGCAGTCAACGGTGTTATTATTGAGCTATTCTGACCGCAGCCCTACCGATTACCTCCAACTAACCAATATCCATCAAAGTGCACCGCAATACTGAGCTTCCTAGCTTAGTGACCGAATTGCAAATCGGTCGATAGAGTTTGGTGAACCCTCGAGACTAGACAATATAGTATTAGTTGCTCTCTTGTGACCAACCGATGTGAGCATACGATCGTTCAGTAGTATACTGTAGTCGAGGTCCTCATGACAACCGAAGTCAGCGGTTGATGTGGTTCAGAATCCATTTCAACCATATAGATACATTCACACATTACCTCACTTCTAGTCAGCATACCTCATTTCGTTATTCCTTCTACCCTCCTTCTTCTCCATTGACTTTCTACCACTTTCATTACATTTACTTCCTATTCCTCTTTCTTGTATCTTGATGTGCTGATGTGAGTGTGACAAATCGGGTAACTGTGCAACTACATTGCTGCAGGATCTATATTAACACTGACCGGCTGATTTGGGTCGACCAGGTTTACTGTCACGAAGGCTATGATAGACTTTTCTCATCATAGTGATATATGTTCTTGTGTACAATTACTTTTCGTGGTCGGGATTACACTATTCTTTTATTGATTCTTTTTTAATTAGTGGTGGTCTTCCAGTCCTACTACAAGGTGAAACATCGGTTGGCAAGACCTCTCTGATCACCTATCTAGCTAAACGTGTTGGTCAAGTGTGTTATCGTATTAACAATCATGAACATACAGATCAACAAACTTATTTGGGTACGTATACAGTTGCATCAACCACACAAACTGCAAAAACTGAGAATAATGAAGGAAAGTCCCCAAATACAGCACCATTAGTCTTTAAAGATGGTCTGCTAGTCAAAGCTATGAGACATGGTTATTGGATAATATTGGATGAACTAAACTTGGCACCCACAGAAATTTTAGAAGCCTTGAATAGAGTGAGTTCAACGACAAAAAATACTTCTGTCTAGATTTTACCAGGTCAAGTTGATTTTATATATCTCTTTGCAATTCATTAACTCGAAGACTGAACCATCAAAAGTGTGTTACATCTCTTCAAGTTCTCATACTGACGAACAAAGTATTCCTTTCAGGAGCAAAAAACTTCCAGAAGGTAGGTAGCATATGGTATTCAGGGTTGAGAAGAGAGTAAACAATAGATTCTATGCAGCAAGATTCTCAGTCATCATATTAAGAAAAAACGACTCGGAACATCTTTGTTAGGTATCGTGAATTGCAGCATGCAAAATATAACAATACTGACAAGTGAGTGACAGAAAAAACGTGTAGAAGCAAAATATCAATGGATTATTAATACAGCAGTCGGATAAATACATTCAAGGAAGCGTCCACTACTTTTGTTTACCTTTTCGATTGTCGACGAAACGAAATAACTGCAGGGTAATCTTCACTGGTTTCGATTTTAAACCTAGTGTACTATCGTCTCAAGTCTTTTAGCTGCATGATCTCTCATATTCTATCCAGAGTCATAGAATACTAACAGTCATCAACCTAAACCAACTATCCTTCATCCTACTGCGCTACGTTGTTCACTGACCACCGCTTCTTACAACAATTAAAAATATCCACTGGTATAAGATTTTGAAGTCACTGAAACCGGTGTTTCTCAGTGAATAATAATATGTCACGGTGTTCCGGCATCTGAAGAAGGTTGAACAAGTAGTCAATGGGTCCACCACCTGAATTATATTGTACCTCCTCTTCACTGATCAGCTTCTCACGCGTTCAGTAGCACCTGGGAAAAATGGTTGTAGTCAGTATTTTAGAAACCACTGGTATCAAACTGATACCCTGTATCTTATCACTTACGTCACATAAAACTCAGTTTAAAGATGGATATAACTATTGGGGCATTTCCAGTTTGCCATACCTTTCCAAACAACATAGTTTCGATAAATCTAAGTTGAGAATTTAAGACTCTGTGATGGAGTTTACTTTCATATTGGACTAGTCAATGTGATACCAAATTAATTTCGGTTTACGGCATTCGACTTTTGTGCAGTGGGTTTCGGATTCAATCCCCTCTCTATCTATTTTAGCTTGCGCGACTGCTTAGTATCATAAGTCCTTACACAACAAGTATGGCTCTTAACCTAGCACATACACACGTACTGGGACGAGTTACATAATAACTGTTATTTTCATTATGGATTTTTCACTTATATTTCATCTGTTGTTTCTTTTAACTCAGGTTTTAGATGACAATCGATCTGTGTTTATAACAGAGACACAAGAAACAGTGAAAGCACATCCACACTTTCGATTATTTGCTACACAAAATCCACCGGGTCTTTATGCTGGACGCAAGGTATGTTTGTGTTGTTGTCAGACCTATAGTGCTCTTTTAATGAGGTAGTTTTCTACCAACAACTATCAACTTCTTGTAGTCATTTGTAATTGAAAGGTAGTATTTACCAGCCACTGACATCAGTTGGAGAACCGTTAAAAGCCTAGGAGCATTAAGCAACTGTTTCATCATAGCATTGGACACCTCAGCAGTATGCCTCCATAACTGTCAGATGTGATGAAGTGAGCACGTTAGCACTGAGCTATTGGATCAGAATCTGATGCTCCACATTTTTATACTTTTGTCCATTCATGATATATCATCTAATGTCATCAGCAGGTATTTTTCCTCACACTCAACTATATTGATCCCACAGATCATGGCTTTTCATTAAAACTTCAAGGAATATATCTCATAGCATGTAAGTAATGAGCACTAGACTGTAATTCAGTTGGAGGTTTATGGAGACTGATTGATCTCAAGGTAGTATTCATGAGAACCGATGAGTATACTACTCATATTCTTGTATAACTTGCATTCTATGTAGAGACGCTTAGTTATGATATACATACCTCCAATCACTCTAAGGGCTTAGCCTAGCGTACTTGAATTCTACAGTAAACCTGTTAGTCAGGTGTTCAGATCCAAATGCACTTATCGAGGTTTAGTTTAGTCATTTGGGCAGCACCAACGTAGGAAATAGCATTACTGCGTAACTATCCGATTTGTCACACCTCGTATGAGCACATCAGTATGTCTGGCACACAGATGTATGATAGCGATTTGAAGGTGATCAGCATTGATGGAGAGTCGTATAAAGAAGAAGATTATGAATGAAACAATAATGAGCTTCAGCGCAGCGATTAAAATGAAGAAAATATGTGGAAGCATCTGTGCCGTTGAGATCGGTTCCTGACAATATCGCCTAGCATCTCAAACCGCTGATATCTAGGGTGATATTTCCCTACTCAACTCAGGCCAACAGTCAAACACTTAATGTGTTGATAGAGTATTTTAATCTGGCAACCTGAAATTATTGCTTTTGTATTATGAGTCCTCACAGAAAATTCTACAATCCAAGCCTACTTCAGCTAACATTTTGTAATGAAGCAGACGGTAACTAAGCCTACTAGGACATGGACTAGCCATCCGAATCAATGACGATTTATAACCTCAACTGACTTACCTCTTTCTACTCCTGACTCTGCATTACTACAGAGGTTTGATTAACCACGTTTGACTGACTGTCATCAAAAATCTATGAGATAACCTTAATGAAAGTCTCAGTATTTATTGATCTCTTTTTAAAACTGATTTTTCTGTTTCGTGTGAAATCTTTGTCAAACTTCGAAAGGCATTACATTTTAGGATTCATTCTGTAGATATGTCTCATTGGTTTAAGAACACGACAGTGAAGCACAGACAGAGACAAAATCAACGTACAACCTCGCACACAAGTGCACCAACTCAAGTTGTCACACTTCACAGTAGTATGTATACAAAGAACAGATGGATAGAAAAAGAGTGATATGCGTGCAGACTAAGTTGTGTGGGAGAATAAACAATCTGTAGATAATATTAGGTGCGAATATTCAAGCTTTAGAAGACGTTAAGGAGTGAATACATCTACACCACTGTTACGGATTTTGAGCCATACTATTTGACCAAGAATGCTCTACCACAGCTTTCTATCGTCTTGACCACCCCAACCAGGTAGTGTACACCTCCATCGGAATATGGATGAGACCGATAGTAAGAGATTTGGGTCTTTGTCCTGGCCACTTTGAAACTCACTTCCCTTGTTATGACACATCGAGGTAGGTAGTGGATCGACATGTGGAGTACATAACCATGTGAGTCGACGAAGGTTCACAATCTCATCATTCGACTTGCTTATCTTGCCTGGTACTCCTTGCTTAACATCAACATTGCTCACATGGTCATTCCACCACAGGCGAGCAATGTTACGAAGATACCTGTGATCAAAACCTAATTGCGTCATATCCGGACATAACGGACTGTAGCGCAGCATATTCATCCTTTGATAAATAATTGGATATTTTGCTAGTTGGCACTACAGATGACGATTGTTAGCAAATGCCAAACGGACCTTCTGTATCCGAGCTGAGATTTCCTCAACAAGCTGCTCGTTTGAGCTGAAGTAACTCGCCAAGTGAGTGAAGTTGTCGACACATTCAACTTTTCACTCATTCTCAAACTGAGAGTTGTTGCAGACCAGTCCTGGAGCATCATCTTACATTTGGCAGGTGTTTATTCCGCTCTACCTACTTGTATCTAGTTAACTGGATATTCCCCATACGCAAAGTTTGGCTCACAGCCTAGTCCATAAACATGTACGGGTTTGAGTTACAACTTATTCTCAGACTGTATTATATTTCAGTCTCATCCATCATTTGTTGTGACATGTAGATAGGTCCAGCTGATTTATTCTGAATGAGACGAAGACATGTATCCAACTATTCCCGAAAAATTCTCTTTAATCAAATGAAACTATCTATATAAAAGATATTTATTCCAGTGAATGGTTCCCAGAATACATTTTGATCTCTCGCATGTAGTTAAGTATGGTAATTATTATAGGTTTCGTTGACCTTGCACATAACTGCATTGGTCTGCAAGTCACACTAATTGAATATGCGGAAACTTATCATACCACCGCTTATTTGACCTGATAGAGTTGAATTAGTTGAGCATTGAGTAAAGTGATTGTGAAGAAAATATATTTATAATATCGTAAACTAATTATATTATTTATTGATCTGCTTATAATTCTCCGTTGTTTTACTGGATTGAATTTTTCTACCTCTATTGGCATGTGGGCTCCTCTTATGCGGATGCCTCAATATTTCCTGAATATTAATTATAGCAATTTACTTGGTTATGGCTAGTATGTCCTGGGTTCCTCTTCTAGCCACAATCAAGCAATTTACCATCGTAACTAATGTCATTAATAAAGTTCATGTATACAAAGACAAACTGAATTTTTCATTCATGATATTTTTGTCACACTACACACATTCACAACCTGAACTCATGGACCAATAACTGATAACGATAACATTTATTTCCGTATTATTATCATGTGTGCACAATGTGATCTGATTTGTCTCCATTTACTCTTCATTAGTCCGATAACTTGTAGAGATTTCTTGTTCTTTGAAAAAGTGACTTCCATGAGGTTGTGAAACGTCAGAAATTCGCCAGCTGACATAGTTTTAATCTGATACTTAATTGTTAGTAGTCGAGTGTCTATTTACTGCCTATATGTTCTACTTACAAAAAGTATGCGATTTCTTGTGTACTATTCATTCATTTATGCTTATTTATGTTGTTGTTATTGTTGCGCATTTCAAGATGCTTTCTCGTGCTCTACGTAATCGTTTCATCGAATTACATTTTGATACAATACCTCGAAATGAATTGGAGATAATTTTGGAGAAAAAGTGTTTACTACCACCTAGTAGGGCACATCGTTTAGTTGAAGTGATGCATCGTCTTCAGGTAAATTTCTATCACTTTCAGTATATTTTGATTCACTGAATGAATTAGACTTTACAGTGTATGAATTTGTCAGAGAGAATAGTTCGTTTTATGCTTAGTCTGATTTTTGGAATTAGTAAGGTGGCGACTTTTAATTGTTTGCGAGTAGGGTTGATGAATTTTTTTCAGTTGATTTACATAGTTATGAACACTATTTGTTTATGGTTTATTGCCCTTTCACTCCCTCTTCCGTGCCCGTTTTTATCATCAGGTTGTGCGGAGTGAAGCGGTAGTAGGAAAGAAAAAGATTTATTGTTGTCTAACGAAAACGTTTCCCATGTCTCTGTTTATAAAGATAAAATCTTGGAAATAATCCACGAAAGTATTCTTCCCTCCTTAGGGATGTGATAGGAAGCGGTCTAAATCGAAATCAACATTCTAAGTCATCAGCTGCTAAGGTGTCTTATTGTGTAAGTAGCGTTCTTATATTTCGTATTATTGTCAGTTACTTCAGGGTGAATGTGTACATGTATGGCTGATTATGAAATTCCAATGAACATTGTCATCCTAGGTTTAGTGAAAATACTTTTTGATTGCACACAACCTAACCGATAAGATGGAACTCAGGATGAAGCAAAGTGGTGTAGGTTACTTTTATGGAGTGCGATAGTATCCTCTAGATTTCTTAAACAAGCCTGTCAATCCGTGAAAAGCCTTAGCCAATAATAGCATTTCAAACGTTCGAGAAGAACCGCGTGATTATACGTGTGAAACTCAGATTGTTTAGAGAGCTCTCCAGAAAAGTGTAGAACTTCTGAAGACCATCAACAAATGTAATATAATCTGTTGGTTTTTGTACATATTTTACTGGACGACAAACCTTTATCATTTTTACCAGCTTCTTTCTGTTTTCGAGGAACCGAAGGATCATCAATGGTGAAGTCTATGGTTACTATTCAAGAGTCCACTCATATATATATATATATATATATATATATATATATATATATATATATATAATACAAAGGTATATCAGTTACTATCCAGTAACTGATTTGTACGTTTACTTTTGTCCTACAGTGGACTACTCAGTACTTGACTTGTGAACTGGTTCCAGCGCCTTCGTCACTGGAGCTGTGAGTGTTTAGGAGTGTTTACAGCGTTCACTACAGATTACCACTAATAGTAGTGTGTGTGTATTACTTGTTTTTGTTATCCTATATTCCACAATTATTTTTTATTGTATTTTCCTTTCTACTCAGCTTGCTAGATGTAGTTCAAATCTTTTCCAAGGGAAAGATAGTTTCATTACACTCCGTGATTTATTTCGGTGGGCTGAACGCTATAGGCTGGCAACATGTGACAAAGTATCCAATCAGTCAGATGATACTGATAAAGATATGACAAAAGAGTCAATGCAGTTTTTCGATTGGGATGCATACCTAGCTGATCAAGGTTATTTATTACTTGCTGGACGTGTACGTAATGAAGCTGAAGTTCAAGTGGTTGCGGATGTCATTGAAACTGTTTTTAAACGAAAAGTTACAGAGTCAAGGTAATTTTATTCACCCATTTTTAATCACATACACCTTCAACATAATTCTGTTTTTATTTCATTAGATAATTACTTATCAAAAAAATTGGTGTTCATTCTTGAACCCATGACGAATTCACAAATGCATATATATTGTAAATGAATGGTTATTGTCCTTTAATTTCGAATTTATTCCTATTCTCTAGCTGAATTCTGTGTATTGAAGGTGTATTATTCTTCTTTTCTAGACTGTTCGATTTGAATGAGAATACATCACCAGCTGTACGTGAATTCCTACAACCTATCCTCGGCAAGAATGTTGTAGTTTCTCAATCTGGCTTTGAGCATATTGTATGGACAAGAGATATGCGCCGTCTCTTAGTTCTTATCGGTAATGCATTGAAGTATGAGGAACCAGTTTTGTTAGTTGGTGAAACAGGGTGAGTAAACTTTTGATAAATTACTAGCTACTCTAGTCATATGAATCAAAGTTATATTTAGGTATTGTATTTTATCTAAAATGTTATGTAAGCCTCTTCTTCACATTGAAAGTTTCTTGTATACACTTTCTGTGAATCTTAAGCATTATTGGTGTGAAAAAATAGTGTAAGATAGAACTTTTAGTGATGGAATGGATTAGCCAATCCATTCTATATTTGTCTGTTATAGTCTGGTCAGTGAGATCATTGACTATAGGTTTGCATGGTGAGAAGAAGTGTAGGTTAAACAATTCGCATCGTAAGGATGTGACAAATTAATTATCGAAAACTGTATGTTCACATTCCGCGAAATAAGCAACTTCACTCACACTTATGACAGTTTATAAAACCCAATCAATCATAACCTACTTTCCTTAGCCTTATATCTCCTCCTTAGTCTTCACTTTCTGCTACTAACATTAAAATACGTACAGTTTCTGTAACTTCCTAAATTTTCACTGACCTCAATTTTTAACAATCTTTCTCCTTCCATAAACTTTTGTTGATTTTAATATTTATCTTCTATCCACTTGTTCTTTGGATACCGCTGTGTGGAGTGGCAGCTTAGAGTGATGAACTTCTGTTCTGGGTTCGTCGTTGATTTTTTTGTTCGTCTGCATATTTCATGTCTCGGAATTCCATAGTAGTAGCACAGATGTATTCTTATTTTGGAATTATCATATTTCACTTGAATTGTATCTTTGTACTACAAAGTTGTTCAAATTTCATTTTTTCTCTAAACATCCTGTTACTTCTTTTGTCCGTATGTTTTTGTGTACTTTTGTGAGGTTATGACAAAGTGAACCAATGCTCTTTTGTGCACTAGTTAACATCTATCTTTCTGTTGAACTGGAGTTTAGGTATCTAAGTTGTTGTAGATATGGTTATATATATTCACCCTCCAACAGGTTTGGGAATTTAGGTGTACCTGCTGACTATCTAAATTTTCCATATTCTTTGACCTAAAGGCGGCTCTGTCAACCTAGATTTATTGGGTAATGTTTGACTTTTCATCAAATACCGAACAATTTTGTGATGCTAATCCATGCTTCCTAATGGAATTAACGCAGTTGCCTTAAAGGCAGAGAGAGAGAGAGAGAGTTGTCGTCTAAAAAGACGGCCACCTGTAATATCCGCTCAAAATGCCCACTGTCACCACTCTTATTCAACTTTGTTATAGACGTAATAATGGATATGACTATAGGTACCTATAACTTCACAGCGATCGACTTCCAGCTGGGTACTTGGTGCACGCCAACGACCTTATTGTCTTGTTAGACAAAGACTGATAAAAGGCAGAGTTTTCTGAACAGCGATCTGAATATTTTTGGCATACGTTTCGCACCTGTCATTCTAAGATGGTATGTTATGATGCGGAGTTGTGAGGACGAACGGAAATATTTAACGTTTACTAGTCGAGAGTTGAGACGATGCAACCCGAATGCTTTGCAAAGAGAAATCAAAAGACTGGAAACCAGATGACTTCATAGTATCTCGGACTGAAGCGTTTATGAGTAAAATCCGAACCTATTTATAGACTTTACAATAACCTTGAAAGACAAGGAATCATTAGTACATTTAAAGAGTCAGGAGTCAATCAGAACAATAGCAGGTCATACGAAATATAACCCATGCGCAGGAAAAGAGCGCGAATAAACAGTTCAAATATATACATAACCGTAAGTGTGGAATGTAAAGGATATCGGTATCCCCAACACCCCCATTTCTGAAGATTTAATACCATCTTCGTTTCGGATTGACTTGTGGACGCACTGTCGGTTGTCGGCAACGGTCAGTTTAACGTCGGGGGAGTAGGTTTGTGTTTAACGGAGGTTCAGGGCTCTGTGGACAGTCCACGGAAGCTGGTGGTAATTTGAACGTATCCAACAGCAGATCCAGTGGTAGGTTGTTTGGATTTTTAACCTTTCTTATTGCTTGTCGTCGGCGCAATTGGTTGTAGGGACGCATCCATATTTCGCGTCCTACTCGAATACCATACATAATCCTACCACGTTGCTGGATAATAGACCTTTCGACCCAGACACCCTTTCCTGGTCGGTAATTTCGTACAAAGACAGTCACACCTACCGGTAGCACTCTTGCATGATGTTCGGGATGCGGTAACTTTTTGCGGGATCATATAGTGATGTGTAGTACGTAGTTTATGTCCTATAAGTGCTTCTGCAGGTAATTGCTGGTTTGGTACCGTTTCGTTCGGGGTGGTGCGGTACGCAAAGAGTAATTGTTAAAAGTTTCCAGCGGAAGTCCCTTCCCCTTTTGCTTTCAACATACCTCTTTTGAAGGTATCCACGAAACGTTTTGCCTGGCCATTTGACTGTGGATGATGGAATGCTGTTTGCAGAAATTATCGAATTTGTGGACCATTGTCGGTGGCGATAGTTTCTGGGAGTCCTTGATGGCTGAAGACATTCGTCAAACAGCGTAGTGTCATCGTCGTTGATGGGGGGATAATAGGCCGGTCATTTCGAAAATGCGTCCACGAGAACCGTGTAGGATGTTCCATCAATCGGGCCAGCAAAATCAAGATGAATTCTGTCCCAGGGACGTTCTGGTTTCAACCATGGTACCGGCAGGATTTTTGGGGGCATCCCTAACATGCTGCTTACGAACTGGTGTGCAGCTTCTTCGAGTTTGAGGGTGGGGATTGAAGCGATAGGTTGCGTTGACTACTGGATTCACTTGGGAAGTTGCATCTGCTCAGATACAAAAACCAAGTGAAATCTTTATCGATTTGCGTCATCTCTGGCACCGGCAGGATACTGAATACCTATCAAAGAATGAGTATGCTGGGTTGCAATCTGCGTTGTCCTAATGTACAACCATTAGATATGACCGTCAGAAACAGGAAGTATGAAAAGGTTGTAGGTTATTGACCAAACGTTTCTTTGCAGCACTGTTTGGGTGTGGTGAGATCACCATGTGAGCAATGTCGAGATTAGGCGTGGAAGGCAAATCATTTGATGACACTGTGAGCCTTTATCTAGCCTGAGTGAAACATGGGATTACTGCATGAAGTCCTTGACTGTTGGTCTGAGCCATCCAAGGAGATGCAGACTAGCCGGTTGTGGTCCATGTGGCAACAGAAACCAGTGGTTGGAGGATTTTAGGTGACATGACTCAAAATCGATGTCGCTGTCGCAGAAGTACGATTGGGTCATAGGTGGGCCCAGGTCAAGACATGACACTATTCGATGAAGCCTATGACCGTTGGTTTGAGTCGTGCGGGAAGTGTGCCTGGTTTTAGCCATGGAAATAACAGGAATCAGGAGTTGGAGACTCCTGGCTGAATGACTGGAAGTTGATCCCAATAGTACAGATGTATTCACTGCTTGACATCTTCTATTTTCACTAACTTTCACTTTAAGAGTTCGTTGTAATACTATGCAGTCTCGTCTACTTTGATGTCACTCTTTTTTTTATCAGTTTTTTCTTTGTATGGTACTGTGCTTCATGGCACTCATGTGTAAGGCTTTGTGCTGATTTTTTATGTCTATTCTAGGCATTGCAATGTGTCACCAACAGTTCAAGTTTGATGCAAAGCAGTAAACCTGTTTCCTTTGCGTTGCTTTTGTTGCATACTTCCCCCCCCCTCTTCATTTGACATCAAGAACTGTTTGATTGATTAGTAATACAAGTTGCAATTTGTGCTTATACTTCTTCGCTGCTCTAATTTTTGTGAAGTGCCAACATGGATTGAGTAGTTCTGCATCTTGTTTACAAGCCGCTCTTTCTATCATTATTCTGTTCGAATCTAGTGATTGCTCACAACCGATGAACTATGTGTGTGTAATGTCTAGTAACTCATATTAATGGCTTTTTAAGGTTATTTGAAAGGTTTGCGGACTCTGAAATCAATCCATCCTTTTTTGTCTTAATTTGTTTCCTTTAGTTGTGGTAAAACTACAGTTTGTCAGATGATTGCGGCTATGCATAATCAACGATTACACTGTGTGAATTGTCATCAATGTACAGAGGCTTCAGATTTTCTTGGTGGACTACGACCGATTCGGCATTCATCAGTTGATGAGAAAAAAGTGAGTCATACTCATCTTTTATCTGATATATACATTTATTGACTGGTTAGTTGTAAGAAGTCATCATTTAAAATGATTTTAGAAAGGTGTAAATTATATACAATCCTGTGGACCAATTCGTGGGGGTTTTCTGAACCCATCTACTGGAGGTTGAGCGCCTTAGTCAATATCACGTAGTTGTATGGGGATACCTAGCTAGAATAGATATTTACCGTTTTATGTTGATATTGCGTAATCGGATGAGTTACAAGTTGTTTAATTATGCACAGTGTTTCAGCTTTCGTTGCTGACAAAAGAATTTGTGGGAATCAAAAGTAATGCTAATATAGACCAAGTAAGTTTAGGTATCCCACTATGTTGGAAGCTGTGGAGGGGCAAGTTGGTTCTGTCTGTAGACTTTATAGAGGCTTTTACAAACTGAGATAGCATTAATTGACAATTCATCTATGCGTATGAATTGGTCGTCCTATAGAAAAACAATATAGATGTCAGGTCGTAAGCGTCCAGCGCTTAAATGGGGCCGGTTCGTATCTTCGAGAAGACGTGGATTTTTCTCAAAATTGCAGATACAGCACTCCTTGTCAGTTAATCGGTAACCCTTAACATCAAAAGAGTTATATGTACCTAAATGAATTAGCCTAATGACTGCAGTTAAGTAGAAACATGATTCGTATCATGCATTAGATAGTAGTCTGTTGTAGGTAGCCTAATTGACAATTTTCAGTAGATAACGTTTTGGTGTAATTCGCCTTGATTGATCGTCAGGCAAAACGCTGGGTGCTCGTATTGAAATTATCTCACATACTCAACAATTCAATTTCACAAATATGTGATTAGTAAATTGCTAAGGCCGTTCGGTCTTTAAAACTTCGCAATCAAATCTACCAGTAGTATTACTAGTATTAACCTCTCTGCATGTTCGAGAGTTTACACTTGCCAAATGCACGTAACTCTGGGATATTTTATTCAATCTTCCATCAATACAGACTGTTGTTATTATTATGCAACTATAAAGATTCATTGTCTGTCTATTTTTATCATGCTTTCGCTTTCTCGTTTATCCCTTCTATCAGTCCACTGATGACTGTCATCTATTTGAATGGGTGAATGGTCCATTAGTTGTGGCTATGCTGAATGGAGATGTATTTCTTTTGGATGAAATCTCGTTGGCTGATGATGCTGTACTGGAAAGATTGAACAGTTTACTGGAACCCGAACGACAGCTACATCTTGCTGAATGCACTGAAGACTTACTGGATGGTTCATCACTCGATTCTACCCAGTTAACAGCTCATTCAAAGTTTCGATTTATTGCCACAATGAATCCAGGCGGAGATTATGGTAAAAAGGAGCTATCACCTGCATTGCGTAATCGTTTCACTGAGATTTGGTGTCCATCACCAATATTTACGCCAATACGTGCATCAACCACTACTGCACCTGATAACCCAAACCACTTGTCTAATTCTTTGTCGGATTGTATAGAAATTGTTCTGCATAATTTGAAGTTGAAAATTCCAGCTTATTTCGGTAATGAAAACAAATTGGCTAAACCGTTCTCTGAGAAGATGGTCGACTTTGTGCATTGGTTCGCTGTGACACAAGCTGAATGCAAATCGAATGGTTTTGTTTCTTTGTGTCATAGGTAGGCATATTTTTGTTCACTATGGTTATAGTCTCTTCATTGGAAATAGTCTTTTGAAATACTTGTGAACAGACTAACTTTTGCTTCCCTGTCTTTTCTCTGACTATCTTTATGTGAGGTGTAGCGAAATGGGCTGTAGTGCAGGAATGTCTGGTTCTTTGTTGATAACATCTGTCTCTCAGTTGGTGCTGGCGAATCCTACCATCACAGCCTTCATCGGTCACATGCAGTGTTAGGGACTCATTATTGAGTTTTTTACGGAGGGGATGTTGAACACAGAGATATCTCTCGGCGATTGTATGCGTTCAGTGTCCACAAATTAAGATTTTATCGGGGCCTGCTGCATGGTAGCACTGTGGATTATTTATATACTATTATCTGTTACCATCAAGTATAATGTACGAGGCACCAGTCTAGATGGAAGTTCCAAATTAGATTAGCCTTTTCCATTTTGCGCACAATGGTATAGTGGTACTAGTATTTACTAGTTGACATAATCTAGTGAATAATACCATTTCACTGTGTTCTATGTCAGATGGATTGATCTAATATGAAAGTGCACTCTACTACAACGCTCGAATTCTGTACTTACATGAGCTAGGTCCCAGTGGTTTAAGGAGATGACTTCCAACCATTGGATCGCGGGTTCGACCCCCGCTCCTTCTCCTGAAGTTTGGTCAGTTTAAGTAGTATCACTAGCCCTCACACAATTGGTGTGGCTGGTTGCCTGCTGCATGGATATGCACAAGATAGCCGGGTGAGTTTCGTTTCATACTTACATAAATGGATACAAGTTCGTTAGGCTGATATATACACCTTTCTTTCCATGTGTCTGTCGATCGTCTTCTTGTGGCAAAGTAGCACTGGTCTATGTCGAGTTTTCCTTGTTATTCAATTTTTGCCCTCTTAATCTGGTTTTTGTAGGTCTCCGCCGACTATTCGCGATTTAATTGCTTGGATTGAATTCATTCGTGTAGTCACAAGCAATGGACATGTTTCCAATTCAATAGGCAAGACAATGGATCTATTTACCGCTTGTATACACGGTGCATGCTTAATATTTTTGGATGCTCTAGACGAAACGACAGTTGAGAAAAGTGATGGTATGTCATTTTTATTTTCTTTGTAACTTGATTCTTTGGTTACTTCATATATCAATGAAGTACTATATTTCTTTCGATACCAACTTGTGTAAACTTTCATTGAAAGATCTAACTTCAGTAAAAATATGAATCTATGAAGATTTTTCGTCCGTACATCTTCAATAATGTTAATTGATTGGAGGTAGTCGGCAGGAAGTCCTTAACGGAGGTGTCGTACATGTTGTCACTCGTTAGCAAGATGGATGTACAACGGTAATGAAACTTGTGTTCTCTCAGGGATTCAGACCTACGTCTCTCAATCGCTGGAGAATAACCAAGTCCACGTTTTCGTCAATAATCTTTCTAATGAAAAACAAAAGGTATATTGGGTGGTAATTTTTATCGTCGTTGTCCACATGCATGAGAGTAATGAATTTTCAGTTGTTTTTCGGTGTTCCAGTGTATATAGGTCATTTTCTGCTTTCCGGATGATTGTAAATACAAAGTGATTAGTGAACACGTGATATGTAAGCGTATCCTTTGATCCATGACATTTATGCTAATCTGTGTACAGGCCTTCACGTCAGAGCATTATTGGTGTGTTGTTTTATGAATCATGATACTTGATATTTATTAGTTGGTAATGATGATGAGCCATTCACAACTGATTATTCAAGCTCAGCAAATACTAAGCAATAATTATACTTGTCTGTACTACAGGTCTTGTGTATTTTGCTTGAACTTAGTGGGGATGTCTCATAGGCGTTTAACAGAACATAACAGACTGTACAGTATACTCATCCTTTGATGTTGACATTATCATTGGAGTATCTCTATTTACTTTGTTTCTTCGTCTCCATCTAAAGGGCATGTGAAGTTGACCTGAAATGCTGTCAAGATATAATGCTGTTAAATTTTGTAGATACTCCATTTCCCATACCTTTAAAACAGTAATTCCGAGTTCCGTTGTGACGTTTTATGCAGAACAGGATGGGTGGGGATGAGTTGATAAGATCATGAATCATCATCCTGTTTTAAGCCAACTGTCGAGATTCAAGAATATACTCTGATAAAGATAAGTTTTCGATTCTCATCTTGAGTGTTTAGACAAATTTATTTTCCTTATAAATGCCGAGAAGCCATAAGAATGCGATGCTTCATGGTTTACTTATGATATACCTTGGAATCTATCATTTTACTATACATACCCCTTACATACTGCCTTTCATATCGTCTGAAATATTCCGTTAACTTACACTTATTCGTTCGGTTTAGAATTTCTGTAAAATTCACTGGCAACCTTTATTCATAAAATTTCTTTTTTCCACATTTTTTCAAGTTTAATATTTTCTTTTTTGTTAGAACAACGGAACAATGATAACGATGTCGATTTCCATTCCATGACCATACATTATTTGATTGAACAATTGACTTCAATTGATAACGCCTTAATTCAGTCAATTACACCATTGTCAACTACCAATTCTGATGTGATTTATGCTGAATTCTGTACAAAAAGTAATGAACAATTTATGCTTATTAAAAGCAATGAATTATTTGGTTGTGAACCATTTTTCATATCAACAGGTTCGTTTCTTTCTTATACTTTTGTGTTTTTGTGTATTTAGAGTCGATCATTTATGCTATAACAAGCACAATTGTGCCATTGATTGAGAATAATGATAGTTGACTGTGGCTTCAGTATAACTCATGTAATCAGTGTTGCAATTACACAGGGCTAAAAGATGTTTTTATATTTGCAAGTGTGTTAGTTTAAAGCTACTTGGATAGGTTGATATTTTCATATACTTTCATTTCTGAAGATTGGTCTGGTATGCAACAGCGAGTAGTTTTTGGAATAACACTACACAACTAGGTATTATACTACATTCTGATTCTCATTGGCCTCTTTACTTCTACCTGTCAACATCTAGCAGGAAATTCTGTTCCAACTTCCGAAAGTTATGTAGTTGTTTTCGTGATGTTTGTCCGGTTTTTCTTCTTCTTTTGATTTCTGCTTACCGATACATTTATTCTTTTATCTCATTAGGTCCATATCTACTGGATAATGACGAAACAGCAGATACTTCTTTCATTTTTGATGCACCTACACCGGCTTCAAATTTAAAGCGTTTACTTAGAGCTATGCAATTGCCTGGAAGAGCACTACTGCTTGAAGGCAGTCCAGGTGTTGGTAAAACGACACTTGTTTTAGCCCTGGCTAAAGCATCTGGACATAAGGTGATACGTATAAATTTATCCGAAGCGACCGTAAGTCAGACGATATGGATATTTTTCTACGATTAAGATTTTGAATGCATTTTAAAAGCATTAGGCTAGTTGTTGATTGGTTCTGAATTGGTTTCTGTTTTTTATCTTTCCATGTGTTGTATCAGCTATGCTCATTGACTGCCATCTTGTGCACATTCTTGCAGAAGCGCTGAGCCACACCTATTGTACGAGGTTTACTGATACCACATGACTGCCCAAACCTTGGTAGGTGGAGCGCGGTCCGAATTCGTGACCGGTCGATCGAAAGCTATCTCCATAAACCAATGAGTCACAGCTCCACTTGTATCATTTAGAGGAGTTTTGAATGCTAATATTTGTATGACGGCAATTGACATCTCCCTCTTGCCCATATCGTGGAAGGCTATTTGTTGATGTAATTGGCAAAAAAAATGCATCAATAACGGTGTCCTATATCCTCATAGCCTAAAGCAGATCTATTTGAGCTCGCTGACACGGTGCTTTCTTGGTTTTTTAGAATTTCAGTTTCATTGTATTGAATTCAGCTTTACAATGTTATACCTCTGGCACCAGAAAACGACAGGGTAACGAGGAAACGATTTTTCCTAACCTCGTTCTCCTTTGCAGAAGACAGTAATGTGGATGGACTGCTAGTAATTCGTGAGAAACACCTCACCGTTGTCATACTCCATCCAGCTAGCAGTATGACTCTATCCTCGAACCCCACTTCTAGCGCAGCCGTTTACACTACGTAGGCAATTGCTTTGTTTCCTTGTATCCAACTGCCTTTTCCGGCAAGATAAGATTCCAAGGAACGCATGTTTCGGCATTGCTCGTTGGGTCATTTTGATGTACAGTTCTGACCACCACGTCAAAATAGCCGCTATCGGTTGGCACCTATGTGCTGTGCGTGTAAATTAAGTGTGTTAGTTAGTGATATGCAATGAGCTTTATCCTTCTGAATCTGTTGTCTAGGTAACTGTGTTCCACTGGTATTTGAAATTTCCGCTTCTTTGCATTCTCGATCTAAATGACTGAATTCATCAACCTCTGTAGGTTTTTAGACTCCTTGTCATGACTGCCGTAACATCACTTGTGATTTTCTCTGCAAATTTAATAGTTGTGGGCTGTAGGATCCAATATACGAGTTTCGTCTGAGTTGTTCCTCGTCATATGGATGGATTTATATTTTCGTGTGTTGGTATTTAACCTGTAACTGAAGCACAGAACATACTTGTTCAAATGCTACTTCGTTCTCCATCATATTAGTGATTTACGATAGTGTCTTGAATCTCGTTTCTAGTTAGACAAAATCGCTTGAATTTTTATCGCTGAGTGTAATTCCTTGTGGATATTTTCTTAAGTATACGAATTGTTTATCAGTAGGCAGCATTAATCACTGATGTTAGCTTCTGGGAGTCAATTGACAGGAAGCCTTGAATGTTATTTTCATGCCTAATGGCATTTATCAGTACCTCCTGATAATAACCAATGAACATCAAACTTAGGTCCAGGGCCTCCTACTGATCAGCTCCGAACATTTTCTACAGGTCTTCAGGTTTTATAGTGATATCGGAGATGTAGGAAGGAGAAGAAAGTTTATGCTTTTAAACTGTTATTATAGACACCTAGTTAGTTTAAGCGTCTTTTATTGCAACTAGTAGTAAAACTTATTGATTTAAGTAGACCTTTTAAGGTTTCTTTATATCTTAATCCATGTTTTTTTGAATTGTCAATGATTTAGGGTTTTTTAAAAACCGTTTTTATATCGAATTTCTAGGAAGCTAGTGATCTGTTTGGATGTGATCTACCTGTGGAAGGTGCGGAAGCTGGTGTTTTCGCTTGGAAATCGGGTCCATTTTTGCAAGGCCTCTGTGAAGGTCATTGGATTATACTCGATGAAGTGAGTTAACTAAATGTATTATCTTATGAAGTTGGTACTCAGTGATCTTTTGAAATTGATATCCCTACACCCATTAATTATTGCAGATCTTGATTATGTCTATAGATTAGTCATTTTGAATTCGATCGAGTCATTTGCATATTTATGTATGTTTAATCAACTGCTTCAATTATGAACAGTTAACATCGACTAGCAATATGCATGGGGACATGAAAAGGAACTATAAACCTCTGCAAATCCAAATACACATATTCCTTAATCTAATATAAAACTTTCGGTTAGGAAGACAACCTATCGATGGTTATTTATTTTACAATGAACTAATAATTTCTTGACAAGTAACACTGAAATGCAACGCTCTGTATTGTTGTGTCATTTAGGTTTAGTGACTAGATTACATACTTTGATTATTTGCATTGATTATCCTATGACAAATTCTATGCATTTCATTAGCTGTCAAGCTAAATAATAAGATTATGTTAACACTTTTTCAAATTTCAATGATTTACAAGAACTGAATGTTTCTTTGAAAGTTGGTTAGTGAATACAATAAAATATATCAGATGTATGTGAGAGGATAGGAAAAAAAAGTTGTGTTTAGTCATAGTTCCTATTATAGCCCCCTATTATTTGACGCTTTACTATAACAGCAGATAACTAAGTTTACTATCACGTCACATTGTATGATATCTACAGGCTCCGGATGTATGGAAAATCTTACTGCCCACCTCACAAAGTGATGAGAAAAATTAGGACTATATAAAGGATATCTCAAAGTTGTGTAGTTATCTTGATATGACTATGGACAAAAAATTATGTCCGAAACTTAATCCAGTAAACAATACTGTTCCTTCGTTGTGTGATAAATCTAATAAATTAATAAAAATGGAATTACATTCTACCACAGTGCACAAGTTTTACTCTTATATTAATTAAAGTTTAGTTATTTGTTGTGTAAGAAAGAGTAAAAGTTTGGCAGTAGTGGAATATACTTCCATATCATATTAATCATATGCTACAGCACACTGTGAAACCGTATTATATACTAGTTGACGTTTCGAGCAGACTTCACTACTGACAATTATATGAGATGAATATGAGCGACAAATTCCGCTCGAAACGGTATCCATTAAATATACTGTATCTCTATGTACTATAGAAAAGAAACAATCTCATATGAAGTTACCTCTGTTCAACTGAAAATGAACAAGCTTCAAACACTATTACAAATTAACATCAATCGGTCAATTCACGAAAAGGTTAAGTAGCCACTTTCTTTTTTATTTCTGATGTTTTAATTTTGAATAAAATCATCTCTGTTTCTTATATGTTCTTTTTTCAATCAAATACACAGATGAATTTAGCGTCTCAGTCAGTTCTGGAATGCCTGAACGCGTGTTTAGATCATCGTGGTGAAGTATTCATACCTGAGTTGAATACTACCTTCAAGATTAATTCACAAACAACGCGTCTGTTTGCCTGTCAAAATCCTCTCCGTGAAGGTGGTGGGCGTAAAGGATTGCCGCGTTCATTCTTGAATCGTTTCACTCAAGTTAGTGGTTGTTAGTTTTAGCTTTATACACTATAAAGTCTTTATTTAAATTCAGTTCACTTCAGGTTTGATTCTTTCAGATTGATTTTCACCATGAATTGAGATCACTCGGCGAACCATTGGGTACCTGGGAGCACTAGACAACCGTTTCGTCTCCTCAATAGTGCGCACCCATGATCGCGCAAGGGGTCGAACCCAGGACCTTCGGGTTCCGCTTCCAGAACGTTACCATAGAGTCACTGTGTTACCATCCAGTGGTTCACGTTTCCTACTTCTGTCAGTTCATGATATAGCAGGACGTCCATCCAATATCATCGTTGAGTAATCGTCCTCACGTCCGCTGATGAAGTCTCCTAACTTGCTGATGAAACGTCCAAGGTTAGACCTCAAAGCTTGGATAACACCAGACAGGTATCATCCTTATCCCAGGCTATAAAGTCTTATTTACCATTTTACTCACAAAATGTATTCAAATGACAAATTTTTATGACAAATTATGTTATGAAAATTTTGTAAGATGATTTAGCGAAAGAAGAGACATACAACATCAGGCGGCAATACATACTATGTCATACGAGTTACTTGCGTCCGGGAAAGGTTCACTTACTTGAGTTGAGTTTAAGATTCATATTATTGCTGTAATGGTATTGTATGGTATTGCTGTAATCGATTAAAAACACGCCAAGTTTTGACTACCTGTAAGCCGTCCATATATCTTTCAATTGAAACTAATGTTTTCAGTGGGTCTTTTGTTGTTACTTTGTTTATCACTCACTGTTTTTTTTCATTCTGCTGCTTGAAAACTTACTATCTTGAACATTTATTTAATTTCCAGGTATATATGAAGTCTTTGACAATATCAGACCAAGAATTTATCCTTGTTCAGTTGTACCCTGGCATACCAAAAAGTTGTATTCATTTAATAGTTGCTTTCAATCAAGAGGTAAGCAGTTAATATTCCTCCTTTTTGTTTCCTTTTTGGAATTAGCACTAGGTGTTTTAGTGTTCTCAATCTCTCATTTGATTTGATCATCTGCATAGATGAACAGTTGAAATTGTACTCCATTGTGTTCCTATGTGAAGGAAGAAAGATTTCGCCAGTGTTATCATCTTTTCGTATAAGTTCGTTTCAAAGCTTGCTTAGTAGACAGACTTATGAGTAACTGTTTTACTTCTGACAGTTCCATGTTGTCTTGTTTCTATTAGTGTTGTTTACACAAATCAACGTGTCATCATGAAGAATATCAGGTCCATCTAATTTTTTGTCGCATCTGAGTAATGCGAAAGATCCAAATATTGGTTTAATATTGCCTTTGTAATGTTGTCTATGTTTATGAATTGACATGTGAGTAGTAAATTAGTTGAGCGTTAAATAATGGGTTAGTGAGGCAATGATTAAATACTTTCTTCAGGTAGAAACTTTATTGATTTTATTTCAGAGAAATATTGTTTTCAGTGAGTTCAATCTCTCTCTCTCTCTTCCGTAAAGATGACGTAAATAAGCGTATCTGACGTAAAGAACTAGTTAAACCCGAATAAACCTTTGTTATAACTGAATAACAGAAAAGTGGTTGTATCATAATCATTATTATCTAACAACTTTGTCATTTGAATATACTACCATGAATTTATTCCCGAAAGATTCGATACCGAAGCTAACAAGCGACTTCTCAACAATAAACCAAACGCGCGAGTTACGTGTAAAATTCAAAACACTGGATTTGTCTATATTTATAAGCAATATTGAGTAACAAAATACAATCCTTGGATCGTGAGGTATCTGCGGGTTTATCTCTATCAAGGCACTTTGCAAAGAGTGCGTCAGCAATAAAAGTAGCAAGGCTGTGTTCAAACAACCAGAAGGGAATATAAAGAACGTGCGTAAGTTCCCATGATAAGGTAAAGGTGCAAGATGAACAAATGTTCAAGGTAAAATAGGACATCATGGAACAAAAGAAAGAAATTACAACACCATCATGAGCTGCGAAAGACATTATTACCTACGGATGTTAAGTGGTGAACAAGATACGACTGAACAGAATGAACAGTCATGCATGTAGACGAAGCAACATTATAAGGAGATATGAACTATACTACCCAAAGATTTTAAGTAGTATAAAACTGAAGGTATAAAAAGGGAATATGAAGAGAACATCAGATAGGGTACGCTAGAACATGTAGGAAAGGAGTTAACAAAGAATGAAACAGCTCTATTTCAGCATATTGTGTCCAGTGCTTTAAAGATGCTCCTTTGAAATATTTGCTATATTTCGAGATTATGCAACCTTCTCCGTTTCCACTTTACAGTGATTAATCATTGTCAAACCTTTTGCCACTGAGAATTGACTGTTGATCAACAGTAAAATCATTAGGTGGAGTGAAGTTCAGACACGTGATTCACTGAGCTACATCATAGTCTTGAACTAAAATGTGAGTACTTGTTCCAGAGTGTTGTCTTCCTGAAAACTGTCATCTTCAAATGTCATTTTGTTGTCACATAACTAGACAGCCAAGTAATGTTAATTCCCCTTTATCTGATTTTATATGTGGCTAAACTCGTTATATTCAGTAAAACTGTGTGAACAGAACTATAAGCATATTAGCTAAAAACTGAAATTTCCTCAATTATTCAGAAAAGTAGATAAATAATGCAATACAAGCCACAATAAATTTGTTTTTTAGGATATGAGCCACACTTATTGCATCATCCTCCATGGTACTTCTAAGCATTTGAAACCTAGAGTTAATGAATTGTGGTTTAGAACCTTGACTCAGTGTGGTGATCAAGTCAGTAAACCGCTTCTTTTGTTGCATCTACTTGTCGAGTGTTCTTTTTGTTAATTTTTCTAGGTGAATAAACGTATCAACATTGAGCGTGAATTCGGTAGTCAAGGTGGACCATGGGAGTTTAATCTGCGTGATTTAACTCGTTGGTGTGATCTGTTAATGAAAGGGAAGGTCAGTGTATTTAAAATACTTTGTTTTGAAATATATGTATCTATCTTTGTTTTTCTTGATGTCTCTGAGAATTGACCTATCAGTCTACACAACTAAACCGTTACTATGCATAGTGGTCACATATGAGAGAAAATGGTTTTCTACCCCGCTTCCTTTCTAGATTACTTCGATCTGTTTCGCCTGGTTCGATGAATGATCTTATTACGTTATATGTTCGGGTGAATTCACCTTAGTTGCGTTGATTCGATTTATACTTATACATTGTAATTTTCTGGACTACATATGTTCTCTTTACACAGACATCTTATGCAGTTGCACAATTTTCTGCTTTATGTTGGGTGTTAGTTGACAGAAAACTATGCTTTGACTCGCTATCCGTTGTTTCTTATCGTACTAGATGTATTGGGAAGAGCTAGAAGCGAAAAACGGAGATTTGAAACTAGACGAATTAGTTTTTAAAGTTAGAGGTTTCAGCAATTTGATATAAAACTGAGTTGTATAAACTGTTCTTCGCGCGATATAGTCATGAATACAACTGTTTAATCCTTAGCACTGATCAAAGTTTTTCGACCAAGTTTCATCATCTACTTCATCTATCCAACGGTCTGTAAGATGTGATCAGAATATGCATTGACACAAAACAATATGATGAATGTCAGCGTTTCAATTTTAATCTGTGATACTTAATAGTTACAAAATATGAGTGGTTGAAGGGATTCATAAATATTTCAACAGAAATGGTATTTCAATTTGAAGGTCTGTCGGGATTTATTTATTATTTTCAAGTTAGCATTCATCATGAGCTAACATAATTTAGAGAACTATTGAAAATCTGAGGAGACTAGACAGCTGTCTCGTCATGTTATGGGATTCTTGGGTTCGATCCTCGGCGAGGTCATAGGTGAACACTGCCGACAAGCCTCGTGCTAGGATGAAACAACTGGTCAGGCCTACCAGGTTCTCAATTTTTCTTCAACGGATGTCAATCCATGGTGAATACCAACCTGAAACCAACAAATGGTACTTGTTTATTTTTAGCATTGAAGTGTGAACTATATCGTTGTGGAAATAATCTACTGTTCACCATCTAGTAACGTAATGTATACCACCTGCTTATATTATTGACGTTTTCCCTGCATTCTGTTTCATATAGTGTGTTATGCTTTATCATCAAAGCTAGATAGTCAATATTTCTGTTGGTTTTTTTCTCTATATTTCTGTTTGACTTTTTCTTTGTCTAGAGTTTGAAGGTCTCAATCCTGGTCTTTATGTCCACCTCCTGTACACAGATCGTATGCGCACAGTGCAGGATAAACAAAAAGTAATTCATGCTTGGTATTTTTTACTTTTAGTACTAATAAGTGACCGTTGCTCAGTTCAGCTTCTCATAATGAAATGATAACTTGATTGAGTAACCATTGGTAATTAAGTAGTATAGTGGAAATAGGAGATACGATAAATAGTTACTATTGGGTAACCTATATCAGTTATTATTTATTACTTACCCTCTAAGCTAAATCAAACGACTTCCACCCCGCCTGATCTAGGCTGCATGCCTATTGATAGGGCTTATCTGCAAATATGAAGCAACTGATGTATTCCCTAAGTCATTACAATCAGCATCAAAACAAGTTCTACCTCTCAGTTTATATATCACCCCTTGGTTGACATTTTTTTAATAATCACAAATCGACACGTATATATTGCGGTTGAAATTGATTATGAAACTTTTTCATACGAATTCAGTATCTATTTTGGATAATATAAACTGGATTTTTCTGGACGTTTCGCTGTATGTCATATCCTCCTTAAGTAGAATGCTGGGATTGTTATTAGAAGATAGTGTTTTATGAGTATGGTTTTAGATGGTTATATGAAGTTAATGTATCCTTAGTTAAGCCAGCACTACATTTTCAGGTGATGAATCAGTATGTTTTTTTCCACAGTTTACCTTGACTCCCTAATTCCTCGGACAGCTCTCTCGTAGGCAACTCAAAATCTATCATGAAATAGATGAAACCTAGCACCCATTCGGCATATTGTTATCCTGGAAGCTGTGGGCTTAATTTCTTCTGATAAGATTTAGATTACTGTCTAGTTATCCTTATTTTTTAGGTTCCTAGAACAGGTTAGGTACCTGTAACCCTCTGTCCAAAAGTTATAGGGAAAAACATTGTGATTTGTCAAATATAATGCAAAGTCCAGTACACTAATATTCACTATTCATCTGCTAATGTGAACGTCACTGACTGCAACACTCGGCGATGCGGGTTCAAATCTCCATAGGGATATCATCTACCTTGAGGGTGTGGATTCGCCTTGTTGACAAGTGCTGATTGTCTCCAACCAACGAGTCGGTACCATGGCTTAAAATTCACTTCTTTTATCTGGCGATCACTATTTCATTAATATCTTATGATGCTGATCCCGTCACAATGTAAGCACCTGGTTACTGTATTTTGTCCCATATCTTCCTTCTGGAATAATAACGCAATGATTCCTTTTCACAATCGAGTAAACCATCTAAGCTTCACTATTCGTAACTGATCTGAGTGGTTAGTCATATCCTAATGTGTTACCTCATTTATTTGTATGTTTTAATTTCTATTTCTATACATCTTCAAGATTGTCACTTTATGGAATGAATGCTGCAGTAAACTAGACATGCCTGAAATGTTCTACTATGAACCACATGGAGATATTCGTCTTATTTTCAATGAGTCTATTCAATGCGGATTTGCACATTTAAAGCATCTTAAGTCGGCAAAAGATTACTCAACTTACGATGAATATAATCATTTATTATTGCTAGATCGACAACGTGGTGTAATGGAAAGTTTTTTGAAAGTTATTGAAATGGGTTGGATGGTTATGTTAATCGGACCACCTGGTTGTGGTAAGTAATTTTCATTTTTCAGTTCTTCTTTTCGATCCTGTTCATTTACTGAATGTTTGAAATCATGTATTGCCTTCATTGATGTTATCACTTCTATTCTATATACAAACGCCAACTGGTTTAAGAAGTACAAGATAGATTTTGGCATTGAGGAAATTAGGACATTGCCATTTCACTACCCATCTTGGACAGTCATTCACTTTTAATTTATCATGGAAGTCAGTTCACTTATTTTCCTGATTGTATAACATCTCGACAAATATTTACTTGTTCCAGTTAGTTCATTGATTCAATTTTCAGCGAATAGGAAATTCATTTCATGATAGGGAAGCTGATTGGAATGATACCACACTGTCTACAGAATCCTAGTCCTTCTAACGATCAGTGTCTACCTGAACTGTTTATCCTTGAAGTCTTTTGACTTCGGCACTGAGTTTCACATGTTTCAATCTAGTAATCGCTGACAAGAGTCATAAAACCGGAAACAAAGAAAGCTTTATACCGACTCACTCTGAACATTTTCCTTCAAAGTTAAGAAATCAAAAATGATGGCCATACATTGAAAGAATGAGGTGGCAAAAAGTGCTCTAACTCATCAGAATTGACTTCAGGCAGTTTATTGCATCGAGACTTCAGATAAATGAGAGAAGACAGAGGTGATGAAGATACCTAACCACCACCACCATCATCATCATCATCAAGAACAACAACAAGCACCATGATCGGAAGAAAACTAAAGGAAATTGTCTCTTTCAACTACCTAGACAAGGCAGCATCGTTCTAACTACAGGTGGTGGCGCCGGCACAGATGAGGACGTCAAAACCAGGACCGGAAAGACAGGAAGACAGGCCTTCCTATATTCATCTGAAACCAGTGTGGAGATCTACTGCACTCCACTCAGCATAAAGCATGAACAACATCCTGATTTTCAAGACTGACGTCAGTCAATTCAGTGCTTCCGTGAAATGGTTGAGAGAGTTGGCGCGTTACGAAAAGCATTTGCAATAAACTGCAGATATTCATCAACAGCTGCTGCCTTGGTTCACTCGATACTGAAGATGGAGATCAGATGGTCAGAATAATAAGAATAAGCAACAAGGAACTCTGGTTGGCAACGAACCAACCATGAACCTATCAGCCAACAAATATGTGAAAGGAAGGTGGAGATGGACTGGAGATACAGTGAGAAGGAGGATTGGGGATATCATGTGCCAGGTGAGGCCGTCGAGCTGAGTTCAAAGGGGAAACGACGAGTTTGGCATTCCAGCTGAGGATGACATTGAGTAGATGGTGTGAGGAGTAAGTGAAAGGTTGTGGACAGTGGTGGAGTCAGGTTGAAAAGACTGTAGAGAAGGGAGTGAAATGGAGATGCGTTACTGAATCTCTGTGTTCCACTGGTAACTCAAAGGACAAATAATATTCATAATAAGTTTAATGCATCACCTCGCGTGATCATAAATGATTTCGTCTATTCTTTCTCATTAGTTTTTTCAAGGGCTGTACGAACCACTTCAATTTTTCGTCCAATAATGTCACAGTAGAGCTTTTTGTAACTCGTAACACTGCAGGTTCACTTACTTGTAGGTAGGTGTCATTTTGCGATCCAATTGCTTTTCCTAATATTATATACCCGAATGAAGTACTTTGTACTCAGTCTATTTATTAATTAAATACTTATCAAGCATTACTGAGCAAGTTCCTATAAACTTCTTACTATTGGCTGGCAGGAGGTGTGACGTATTGGTTTAGGTACTTGACTGACTTTCGACCAGATAGATCACATGCGTAGCCAAGCTGTATCACTAGCCTACACACGCATTAAGTGTAGGCCATTACCTACTACGAGAACATGTATGTTGTTGCTGAGTGGATTTTGATTTTCTGCACACAATAAAGTGTAATGGAGATGTAGGCTCTTTTCAGTTACATCGATAATTTTTATTGTAAGACGCTGAATATCTTAGTTTTACGAATTGTTACGCATGATCTGTTTTCTTCTTTTTACACTAACTAGTTCATGTCCATCCATCTTCACGATGACATCGTTTTCTGATGGTTGACTGATACATTGTTATTTTTTCTTTGCTACAAATAGGTAAACGTACTCTTGCCCATATTGCCTCAATCATTCTTGGTCAAAATATTCTAAGCATGTGTTTGTCACCAACGTCGGATACCATTGAGTTACTCGGATCTTTAGAACAACGAGAAGCTGGTGGTTTATTTGAATGGGTAGATAGTCCATTGGTGAAAGGTATTGTCAATGGTAATTGGGTGTTAATAGAGAATGCTCAATTGTGCAGGTAACTACTATGACTACGTATAACTATTTGACTAGAATTCTTTTTTACTTTACACTGACAGATAAAACTTCATTTGGGTATATCTGGGAGTACTGAAACACTATTTTATCACTTATTCGTAACACAGGTAGTACTTTCGAAATCTTTTAGAGTTGTGTCCATCAGTTGTAGATTTTTATTCGAAATGTTTCCTAATAACTACATAGTTGAAATTTTCTCCCAACTTCAGTTCCCATGTATTAAGCGTATTTCATCTCATGAAAATAATTAGGTATTAAATTAAACCTTACATTAGAATGATGCTCATATTAATATCACTCTTATTATTATCATTTGTCCTTTGCGTTCCTACTAGAACAGTAGCACGTCTCCATTTCACTCACTTCTCTACAGTCTTTTCAACCTGGCTCCACCACTGTCCACAACCTTTCACTTACTCCTCACACCATCTACTCAATGTCATCCTCAGCTGGAATGCCAAACTCGTCGTTTCCCCTTTGAACTCAGCTCGACGGCCTCACCTGGCACATGATATCCCCAATCCTCCTTCTCACTGTATCTCCAGTCCATCTCCACCTTCCTTTCACATATTTGTTGGCTGATAGGTTCATGGTTGGTTCGTTGCCAACCAGAGTTCCTTGTTGCTTATTCTTATTATTCTGACCATCTGATCTCCATCTTCAGTATCGAGTGAACCAAGGCAGCAGCTGTTGATGAATATCTGCAGTTTATTGCAAATGCTTTTCGTAACGCGCCAACTCTCTCAACCATTTCACGGAAGCACTGAATTGACTGACGTCAGTCTTGAAAATCAGGATGTTGTTCATGCTTTATGCTGAGTGGAGTGCAGTAGATCTCCACACTGGTTTCAGATGAATATAGGAAGGCCTGTCTTCCTGTCTTTCCGGTCCTGGTTTTGACGTCCTCATCTGTGCCGGCGCCACCACCTGTAGTTAGAACGATGCTGCCTTGTCTAGGTAGTTGAAAGAGACAATTTCCTTTAGTTTTCTTCCGATCATGGTGCTTGTTGTTGTTGTTCTTGATGATGATGATGGTGGTGGTGGTTGGGTATCTTCATCACCTCTGTCTTCTCTACATTAACCTGAAGTCCAATCTTCCTTCGTTGCCTCTTCCATAAACTTGTTGGTTGTTGCTTGTAGATCTTCCAGTGTATGCGATAAGGTAGCAGGCATAAATCATCGTCAGCGAAATCCAAATCCACTTTTGGGGGTCTTTTCATTGGTCCAGCCAGCATATGCCCCTCTTCTAGCTCTTCACGGTTTGCTGCATGATCCAGTCGAGTCGAGTCGACCATAGTCAGGAAGATAACCGGTGATGATAGTAGGCAACCTTGTCTTGTCTTTCTCCTGTTTTCACTTCAAAGGCATCACTCAACTTTCCATTGTCAATCACTCCTCGTGTAGAGTCATATAGCATATAGCTGCTGTTGAATGAGGTTTATAAAGGTTTGTGGCACTAAAACTGTAGTGTTGAAGCAGCTGCCTACCAAATTACTTCTCGGTTGACGATATCGAAGTTGATGAAGTTGAGGTTGAGTTGAATCGGCCGCCATTCTACACTCTGTTCTATGATGATACGTAGCGTAGCGTTGCAATTTGATCCTTAAATGATTTGTTCTTCCTGAATCTAGCCAGACTGTTCCGGTCGTACTTTTGAATCTAGGGTATTTTTCAACCTCTCCAGGATGATGCGGCTTGAAATTTTGCTTGGTGTGGGTAAACAGGAGCACGATTCCTTGTTAGTTCTTAAAAAGACTTAGGCCTCCCTTCTTTAGGAGTTTGACAAGGTAGCCCTTCTTCCAATCAATAATCAGTTACCTTTCCTTCCTTCCTTGGAAACCTTCTGCAATAGTGGTGTGAGCATGTCCACTGTTGTCTCTCCGCCTGTTTGGAGTGCTTCTGGTGGAATTCCATCTGGTCCTACTGCTTTCCCAGATTTCAGCAACTTTATGGCGTTCAGAACTTCACTTCTGCCTTTAACGGAGGGCTTGTTTTCACTGAAAGCTAATAGTTCTGTGACTGGGCTGCTGGTGGGGGTATTTGTGGATGAGTTGCAGGTGGTAGTGGTGGTCGATTCAAGAGTGTTTTGAAGTGGTCAACCAATTTGTTCCTTTGTTTCTCCTCTTTGGTAACTAAGTTGCCTTCACTATCTTTCATTGATTACGTCTGCCTTGATGTCTTCTTTGGTTATTTGATACGGTGTTGTCATGTCTCTGGTTCTCCTACCTGTAGCCTGTTCTGCTTCACTTACCAATGTGTCATAGAAGTGTGTTTTGTCATTGGTCGAACTCTTCTTCACTTCTTTGTCTAGTGCAGAATTTTAAAGGTTGTGTTCAGTTTCTTGATTTCGTTGTTCATCCCTCCTTTGCACTGGTTTATCTTGTGCTGCACCATCTTCCTCGTCCTCCTCCATCAGCTTCCATGTGTCCGTCGAAATCCATCCATTGTCTCGCTTCTTCTTCTTCTTCGTCCTACTTCATAACACGGTTATTCAGGTCTCCTTCCATGTCACTCTCAAGGAGTTCCAGTGTTCTTCCACACAGGTTCCCTCAGGCATGTTGTTCAGTGTCGCCCATATTGTCCTGATGGCTGAGTGGCGTGAAGATTTTCTTTGTAGTTTCGTCCTTCAGTTCAGTTTCTGTTCCGGGTGGTTGTTGAACTTAAACTGCAGTCCGTCATCACCAGCTACTTTGGAGGCTTCCAACTTGATTTTGAGGGCAGATTCCTTCTACTAGATAGTAGTGAGTGGTGTGAATCTACATCTACTCCTCTTCTTTATCTGATCTTGTGTCAAGTAGGTTGCGTCTCCACTTTCTTCACATTGAGATGAAGTCCACCTGAATTCGATTCCAGTGTGTCCATCTGGTGAAATCAAATCCATGTCGCTGCCTTGTGAATATCCTTGTGTTTGTAGACACTGTCTCCAATCACCAAATCGTTGAATGTGCAGAATTCTGCAAACAGTTCTCCATTCTCGTTCATCATTTTACCGAGTGCTTGTCCAACCATGATTGGTCCTCTCCCTGTGTTGTCCACTCCCAGTTTGGCATTCACGTCACCCCACTCATCAGAATGAATTTTGATGTAGCCAACTGGAGTGGGGTCTTGTTCAGTACTGATTGTAGTTGTCTGTAGAATTCCTCCTTCTTCTCTTCATCTGCATTATTTGTAGGTGCGTAGCGTAACGTAGCATTGTATGATTTCGACTTTCTTCCTTCTGAGTTGAGTTCAGTTGAGTTGAATCTTGTTGTCATGATCGTGATCTTGGAAGAGATTGGTTCCCACCTCATGAGAGACAGCTTTCGATGCTGTCGGGGACATGATGATAGCCACTCAAAAACTCAGTGTGCTCGTGGTTGTCGTCTAGATGACAATATCAGAGTAGATAATTGACTCCTCTCCAGTTGACAGTTTAGAGAGTCCATTTCCATTCCATCTGGTTTCGCAGATTCCTAGCACTTCCATGCCCCATACCTTCTCATCTCTTTGGAATCTGGACAGCCTTGCCAGTCAACTTCAAACATTGTTTGGACATTCCATGGCCCCATGTTTACTTTAGCTTTCATTGAGAGAAGTGAAGACATATCGTGCAATTGGTTTCCCGAAGGCCTTCACCAACCGGCGTTATTTAGTCTCCCGATTCTAGCGAGGAATAAGTTTTATTTTGTTTTTGTATTTTGTTTGTGCTTTATAGCGATTAGATTGGTTTTCCGGAGTAGGGTTGCTCGCCCTTTGGCCAAGGTTTCCTTTTTATCTGGGCTTAGTGGCGGATAATTACTGGTGAACTAGTTAAGCATGCGATGTTATGATGCTCATAGTGTTAACTGAATCGTATTAGTGAAAACTAGTACTATTTCTTAATCTTTTCTTGGTGAAAAACCTCCTGCTGTTGCTTGGTGGTTTCGTTATTCTCTTGACATTGTCACTTTCACTGTTCTGTGAATTACATCAGTTTCAGTAACCCTTGATTAAGTCATATTAGCTGTCAGAGATTTTTTCTGTTTACCGGATGTACTGCAAAACCTTTTTATCTGACTATAGGAGCAATGCGACGAAAAGCATCCATTATTGAATGACAAGTTTGCAAAAGGGCTTCATAGGATGTGAAATACTCTTTTTATTTCCTTTCATCATCGGTGTTATTTCGGTCTCTCGTGTACTTTTAAGTCATGGGGATTGTTGTAGAAATGTCCTAGTAGGAGTTTAGCAAACATTTGTTATGGCTTTTTTGTAGGGTTATTCTATCATTAAATGGAAAGTACGTAGTCTTGAGCTTCTTGAGTTTTCGTATTTGATAACTATTTCTTGTGATGCGATAAACGCGTTGTAGTAAGTTTAATGCTTTCTTAAGATAACTGATCCAAGATGCGATCTTCAGTTAATTGTCAAACTTATAGACGTACTTTGACCAATAAGTATCTTGTGTGGGTAGCAGTGTAGCACATATCCAGCGCCGTCGAAATTGATGACAATCACTTGGTGAGAAATCAGACATAGTGAAGAGAAATCCAGCAAACACGTTTAATAGTTTATTGAGAAACTGCAACTTGCAATGGTTAAGTTACTAAACCGAGTAACATTTTATCCATTTGCAAATTATCTTTTGTTCTGAATATCCTTTAACGTAGTTCTGCCGCTTTACATTGTCATCCAATAGTGGGTATTCTTAGTGTCTGAGGTCTCACCAGTCGATCGTTACTGATGTCAATGCGGCTGTATATACTACTCACATATATTCTCATAAGTAACTCTCACCACACTAGACTATACAAGTCAATTCAATTTTTTTCGCACACAATTTCGATGATTTAATTGACTCATTTCACTTGAATGACACTTGACACTAAATGATTAATAATTCAGAAATTGACTAGTCATGTGGATTGTGTATAGACACGTTTTTCTTTGGTGATATAAACTACAACTTGCATATATAAGGTAGGACGAAAGTGGTACAGCAGCAGCTTCGTCATCAGATAACAGATGGAATCAGAACTCAGTTATTGCTGATGATGTTATCTAGAAAGACTATGAAAGCTTAACGGTTCAACCATGTAATCCAGACAATACCACAAAATCAAGATCGCTTATTTCAACTACTAATATTTCCATTATTTCAAAACATATAAGTGTATATGTTTTCACTTTATTCAAATTCACTAATTCATCCCATGCAGGTCAGCTGTTGTGGTGCCAAATTGGTTTGTACCATTGTGTTTTTGATTTTGGATATTGATTGTAAATACGGTTTCTTTGTCTGTATAGAGCTTACTATTTTAGGTGTTTGTAAAGGTTGTAACTTTTTAACTGATGTTTTTCTCTTTACTTTCTAATGATTAGTCCTTCTACACTTGATCGGTTGAATAGTCTGCTTGAACCAAACGGAGAGCTGTTGTTAAGTGAACGTGGACTTGATGCAAATGGCAAACTTGTAACGTTGAAAGCACATCCAAACTTTCGTTTAATATTAACTATCGATGAAGTTGGCGGTGGGATAGGTGGTTGTGCTGGTTCAACTGGCATTTCTCGAGCAATGCGTAACCGAGGTTTAGAAATCACTTTCACAGAACCAGTAAGTATATCTATAATGATATCATCGGATAACTAGTTTTTATAAAAACGTGAATCTAAGTCGACTTGTCAACATAAGGGATGACGAGTAGTTAACTGACGAATTGTTTCACATCTTCGTGTTTATCGACTGTCTGTGTCTTTAAGAGAACAAATCTATTGAAGGTATACTCACCTGTTCATTCTGTCCTATCGCGAATCGACCTCGTGTGTATTGGATTTGTTGAAGAATTTAGATAAGTAGACGTTGTTGTACTGCCTAAATGCCGGAGTTTTTCCAATAGTCTAATGGATGAACATTCGAATGTTCGAAATTGTTTCTCGCCTTTTAAATAAAATTTATTTTTTCAGGATTGGTCTTTATTGATGGCTTACTTGTCACTAATGAACAAGGTGATGAAGCACACTCTGGGCTGTGGGGATATCTGCTAGCTCAAGAAATTGCGGAAATGATTTTCTGATTTCAATTGAACTCTGTCACTTACCTCGGCGATAAATAGGACGTCACTATTATATTCTTCTCCTTTATTCGACTGTGAAATATAGCAGTATGTGATCATTGTCCGAACTTATGCTCCAGAAGGAGCACCAGTCTTTCACTGACCCTCTCTAGCAACAACTGATAACGGTATTTTATGTGTGTCCACCGCCTGAATTTTGTGCTGATCAGCGATAGGTTGCTTTTTTGAACACAGCTTTGAAAGGTGATCACCGTTAACTGTTTGTTGGACTGGAATTGCGAAATTGTCACATAAGGGCGTTGCTGCCTGAATTAGCCCACTCACTTGTGGATTAAAATCATTCGTAACAAAAACCATGTGTAAGCGTTTGACTCTCACTGGGAGACCACAACATACTTTTTAACAGGACCCATCCTTCACTTTTTTCGAGTTGCAGTCAGTGGGTGTCTACAGAGAGATTGCGAAGAGAACGGCGAGTTTCACTATTTTTTAAAATCCTTACTGTGAAGTTCACTCGAGCAGTGGACTTTCTGCCCAAGGACTCATTGCTGTACGTACATCTGCAACACAGCGAGAACTAGCCATCGAATCTCTAGCAACATAAATAGTGGATTTTACAGGTTCTCTATATTGGTCGACTTAGGCTAAGTGAATGACTCTACCTGGGTCTGTATGAGTGTTTCACAAACACAACACACATCCATGACCCGAGTTGCTAGAGTTTTGGCTAGTGAAGCTTGATATGATATATGAGGTTAGTTGACACTTTCGAACTACCCTTGCGGAAGGCTTCTTGAGTTGAGTGAGTTTGTGACGATAGAACCTTAATGATATCTTCTTGAGGTCAGTCACTCACTGTCTTTTTATAAATTTGACAGTTTAGTTTTTTTTTGGTGAATCGGAACAGGAACGCATATCGCCTCACTGGTATGTCGTGGGGTAGGTGGGGAAGCATACTATTTGTAGGGCCGACTGTTTCTAACTCATCTCACAGGGAACGTAGCATTAGTGTGATACTGCTGGTCATCCACGAGAAGTGCTTTATCACTACCCTATCTTCATCCACCCACCAGCCCGACTTCGCCCTAGCCTGAAATTATACACTGTAATGGTAATTGCTTTTTTTCTTACCACTGTCAAACTGATCTTTTTAATATGATTGGACCTCAATAAACGAACATATCAGCCAACATAGACCGATTAGTCTTCGTGATATCCAAGGTCGACCATCACATTAAGGTATCAACTATCGGTCGGCTCATAATTGACACATATATCAGTCATTCCGATTCACTGTACATGCACTATTTTTTTTTACTTCTAATGGATTAGATTTTGAGGAAATTTTCCAGTCGCTAGTCGAAGGTAGCAGCCTGTATTGATTTAAACCATGCATTTAGGTGTCTGTCTCCTGGTCGAGGTGTTTGAGTCAAATAAAGTAGTGGACTGGAACCTAATTAGGATATGGTTCAAAGTTTACTGGTATCTACAGTTTGAAGTAGTAACACTACAGCTTTTGCTCCGTTCATCTTCTTCTTACTTGTCATCTAACTTTGTGCGAATGTTGTTATTTTTACTTTTCTGCCTTTTCGCGTGTTTATCCAAAACTTAGTATGATGTTTCAAAGCACAGGAATGTAGAGTGGTACGTGAGCATACTGTGTTGTATGTTTATTTTAGTCTCGCTACGAAATTTCGGAAAACGATAAAAGTTGTCTTTTTTTCTTCGTTCTAGATCTCCCAACCACACTTAGATTTACTACGCTTATTCACTTCCATAAATGTACCGAAGTTGATAGCCACTGGTCTAGTTGAATTCAGTGTCCTCTTCTTAGAAGCATGCGAAAATACCAACCACTTTTTTGAACATCATCCTACTTTTTTGACTGAAATCCAAGCATCAGTATCGTCATCATCATCATCAACTACCTTCCAGTCGATTGCTTGTCACAACTTGAAAAAGCCGCCAATCGGTGCTTTAATCTCTGCTGGTCAGTACGCTAAACAACTGTTAACGAATCAGAGTCAACTTGATTCAGATGTTTCAAATGGCAGTGAAACAGAAAAGATTAAAATGACGAGAAATAAGAAGAGAAAGTTGAATGACCAGAAGAAAAAGAAGACAGAGAAGAAACAACCTCTTGTTGATCTTGATGATAAGTATGATATTTCTGTTGAAGTAGATTTCGGTAGGATTCTTAAGCATGTCCTCCATGTTGCCTACTGTCAACGCCAAATGAATGCAAAATCCGTGGATGTAAGTATAGTTGTTATGTTCTTTTGTTATGCGGCTTTCCTTCCAATATAAATTTTTTCTATATACAAAAAGTGAAATAAAATCCGCTTAGATGCCTGTTGCTATTTATGTGCTAGACTACTAGTCAGTTATTGTTCCAGTCCTTACTTTACTATCTTACTCTGTAAGCCCCAGTAGGTTGACTGTGTTCATCTCGGTGAATAGCAGTGGAATATAGGACGTGCGTTTTGTCTTATTTAGGATTCGTCAGCTGATGTACCTTCATTCAAATGAATGATGTCGTTCTCACTGAATCTAGAACTCTGTACTCACCGCTTCAGACACCAAAGCTTTACCCACTAATCCACCTTTTGTACAACAGGTATCAGTTTTTAATGCTTGAATCTTGTGATTTCCCGTTGCTATTCGGGGTCGAACTGCTCGATTGATTGCTTGATTGCGGTTGTAACCCAGGACCGGCTCACCCATAGGTGGGAATGGTTAAGCCAATAAGTTACAACCACAAAGTTGGGGGCCTGCACAAAGCATAGCGTGTTTATTGAATCTCACAATTTGGCACACATTCGTATACCGTCGTATCACTTTAGATGGATTTATCAGCGAATATTCGTGGGACCATCATCGTAGCCTATGACTGTAGGTGCATCAACAACAGTCATCCGGTTTAGGGCTATCAATTGCCGTTTAGCAATAATACTCAATTTATTCCTTGTCTTTGGGTCCTCCTTTGTTCTCTGTTCCCTTCTTATTTGTAGAGAAAATTGCAACCGGATTTTCCTCCGCTTTTTCCTTCTACCTCTAATAAACCTTTAAAACACTGCTAAATTTCTACACAAATCATTTATCGATCGCATTATTGCTCTTTGTACCATAATATCTACTAGTAGTTCATTTCGAGTAGAGTTGTGGCTCACTCATCTAGACTGTCACCCTCCAACTACTGAGTCACTGTCTTAAACCCTTCTCCACCTACCAAGGCTTTGGTAGCCAGGTAGTATGAATATTTCTTGCATAATATATGTGTCTCATCGCCTACTTCACTCATGTGGATATGGTTGCTGAGTACTTTTCGATTATATTCTGAAAGTCTTTACGTCGTTTAAACTGATAAGCGTCAACCCTAAGAGATAGTGTAACTGATCCGCAGATCAGCACTCTTTTCAGTCTTTCATGCGTATGACTTTTCTTTGTGGTCAATGGATATCTTGGGTTTTCCCTTAAAACTCGCTTCATACCAACCGTCTTTCGCTTAAACTCCTATCTTAATTAAGCTATTTTATTCTCTTGGCAGTCACTTTTGTTGCTTCGATTACAGAATTTCCTGAGTAGTTTCTATCAAAGCATTTTAAAAAATCTGTTGGGTTATATAAAGGATATCGCTATTTGCTCGAATATTCCAACAAAGTAGGTGTGTGAATTCGTAGAGGTGTAGTTCATCAACTTATGTACCTGGTTTTCTGGCGGTGCGTCTTGGGTTGAAATCCTGCTTCACCTCCATTGATCTCTGTAAATGGGCTGTCAAACCACAAGTATGGTTTATAGTCGAGTACATGAACAAACTGTACCTGTATGAATTACACTAAATATCAATTAAGTGGTTCAAAGTTGATTCATTTTACAATCACCCTATGATTAGGAAAGATAAATGTAGACAATCTTGAGGAAATTCATTTGGAAGCATTTCATTAATAAGCAATAGATAATCATTTAATTTTGAGGTCTGTGGAAAGTGATTAATTTTAAGGTGGTATTTATGGTAAACTGACATCAATTGGAAAAACATTGAAAACATGGGAGCACCCATGGAGCTATGACTTAATAGTTTAGAGAGATGAATATCAACCATTGGGTCACTGGTTCCGACTCCACTCCACCTACTGAGGTTTGGGTAAGAGGGTAGTACCATCGGCCATCACACAGTAGGTATGAGTCATTGCATAGATATACACAAGTTGGCTGAATGCGTTTCATTTCATCCTTCTTTAAACTGGACAGCTTTTTTGAGCTAGCAGGTGGCACTTCGATCTCACGTATAATTTTAGCTAGGATCTCCAGGTCTAGTAACGCTCTGGTCACCACTCAGCCACTTTGTCGAAAGTAGACTTATAGTTACTCTGTGAAACAGGAATTAGCTCATATTCATAGTAATGTATCGACCAGTTTATGAACAGTAAACTGTATGAATTTTGTGGCGTCTTACTTCTTTTAGTGTGGTTGAGTGAATATTCTTGAAACAAATGCGCTGAATTTGACACACAAATCAAAAATGACTAGAAAACGGAACTTGATCCGCACCTGCTATATAAAGGCTGATAATATTACCTAGTTACTGAAATCTCAGAAGAAAAAGTTAATTTGAGACTAGTTACTTACAGGTTCGGATGTTGGTTTTTCCACTCGATGGATGAGCTGTAACCTCCACTTCTTGGATCACAACTGGAAATCCAGTTCTTATTCCCGAAAAACCCATTAAGAAAAGAAATAGGCGAAAGCGAGAATTTTAGCGAAGAAATATTTTATGCTGATTCGATTTTTTACAGCTGTTCACCGACAATTTTATACGTTTTTTTGTGTTTGCGTACGGATATCCAACGCGATATATAGGCAAAAGCTCTAGACTTAAGTAAGAGAGAGCTATACCTATTTCAGTTTCAGGTCGACTTCATTACTGATCTTTTTAACTTTCTAAAGAAAACTGTCTTTGCCTTAGCCTTGAGGATTGCTTACTCCAACCATCTAAGGATTCCTGGCAACCTGAAGGTTTGGCTTCTGCATCTAACCACTTCTATATGTATTTATCGATTCACCTGCTCCTGGGTAGCCATTTATGTAGGTCCGTTTGATATGTATTCTTTTCCAAAGGGTTAGAAGACCTTACTCTATCTGAATACAAAGAGGTGCAAGTGAGTCCATCATAGATACAATAGTTGAGCATCTTGTCAACACTGATCAGGACATCAAAACTGATTCAGTGTCCCCAGTTATCTACAAGGTATGAGGAAAGTTTCTGAAAATGATACGTTGTTATCTTCTCTTTACTGCCAAAACTCTTATCATATGCATGGATCAGCCGGCAAAAGAAACTTGTTGAGCCTTTGTTACTACCTAGGTAGCTAAAAGCGCCCACTTCTATCTCTCTTTGAATATTCGAATTTTTAACACTATATTACATACTTTAATAACCTAACCTCTTCATTTTGTTCCTGTGCTAACCCCTGATCACAGTCTATTTTGAAAAAAATATTTCTACATATCCTACAACTTTGTGTTCTATCCTGTTAAATATGTTGGTCCCTATGCTATTTTATGATTAATATCCAACTTATCATCACACTTCCAACTTTTTGGCTTTCATTCAACGTGATCTTTATTCCTGGATTCAATGAAATAATGCCTTTAACTATTCACTGCAGTTGGACAGAAAGATGTATGAAATTGCAATTGTACAGCTGTAGTGAATGAAATCGCTGGTACAAAGACATCTTCAGTGGACTTCCCGTTTTTTCCAGTAGCATTGCCATCAACTTTTTAACACAGTTGATCGATTCCTTGTCTCTCTAGTGTACACCAAAGGCGGCATGAACTTACAGTTTTGCATTCAACGTTGTTATGTTTATGCACATACAATTCCCTCCATTTGTTTTTTTTATTTTCAGTTTGTACAACATTTGATCACATATTATGTTGAGAATATGTTTACGTGTAAAGCGTCAAATAATCTTGGTTTAATGATTCATCTACCTACCAATTACTTTCATCATAGTGTAAAGGAGTTAATTGAAAATCGGCTACCAAATTCTTATCGTCAATTTCACGCTAGTCTAGTTAATTTAACATTATCTGAGTATTCCAGGCCGATTAATCCCGCATTATTATTGTTAGCTAAACGTATACTACTAGAACAAGCTAATTTAACGGATGTCTGCGGTAACAAAGATGATCAGTTAATGAATTTACTAACACAGTCAACCATGGAACAGCCAATTGTACAACCTGATTGGATGGACTGGCCAGATTTACGTTGGATACCTGGTTGGAAGCATTTGATTGGTGAATTAGATAGGGAATCTAATCAATTGATGTATACATGGAACAAGTAGGTTTTGTCATTGTCATTTATTTTATTTATTGGTGGCAAAATTCATATTGATCACTTTGATTCTGCATTTCTGTGGCGTGAACTGTTTTTTTATCTGTGTACGCATCAACAGTTCTAATTAAATAGCTGATTTTTGGTGAAGCTATTGTTAACACAACACTGGTAGAATGGAGGTTTTGACAATCCTCTGAACTTCGATCGATTTCTTTGCCATCTTTATGCGTGAGTGTGTATTGTCTGGATTCGTGTTGGCCAAAAGGTAGTTGATTTTAAACTGATCGATCTCGGTATCGACCTCCTCCCTCCCGTACCTATTGAGTTTCAGGCAGCTAGGTAGTATCATTTGCTCTCATACCAAAGGTATTGTTCATTGCTAACTTTATGAGTGCGCCCGTAGTCGCTGGAAGAATTTCTTCTTATTTCTTGGTCAAAAGGGTAGCTTGTTTGTCATCGACGTGGGTGTTTCCTCACATGTGTTATTTTTCTGCTTATTTTCACAAGTTTCTCATTCATTATTATAACGTCGTGTTTATTTTCTGCATATTTTCAAGCGCTTTTACTCATAAGTCATTGTTTGGTTCTTGATATATAGTTTGCGTGATAAGCGAATGCGTTCCTATCATCTGGTCTACATTGGACTGCGTTCAGATCATGTTAGAAATCAGAAAGATTTCAGCAACCAAATGGACATCCATGTTATCAACAATGAACTGCACCTAATGTATGAGACCTAATGACATTATCAGGTTACCCAAACTGGGATAGTTGGGGTGAGTTTCGAACAGACCACCTATCGTTTGCAAATCGGGTACCCAAAGCACTAAGTCATGGTTCCATTTGAACCTTCACGATGTAACAGAATAAGCCTAAAGAAATAACAGCACAGAAAGTTGTTCAGATAACTTATTCGTTGTTCCAGATTACAACTACTTTCTCTGGTCCATCTTTTTCTATTATACTTTGACTTTCTGATTGCCTGGATCTAGGAAGACACAACAACGTTGAAACTGTAGACTTTTTACCTTGACATTACGTGTCTGATTAGATGATTTACATGTCGATAAGTTAGTAATACTACTACTACTACTACTACTAATAATAATAATAATAATAATAATAACAATAATAATGATAATAATAATAGTGATAATGATAATAATAATAATAATAATAATAAGGTATACATGCTGAATACCATCTCATTCCAGGTGTGTGAATGCTGTTGATAATCATGCTTGCATCAGTATTGCAATTTATTAATTCCAGTTTTTAATAAATATTTTTACAGATATTTATACTCTCTGTTGCTGAATGACTTGTTCCATTCTACCAACCAGTTCATCAATACTTCATCATTTGACAGTCAATCGTCCGCCTGCATCAAGTCATCCGCTGATTTGTGTAACATTCCACTTCTTCAAGTAATAAAGCTATCGAGTGGTAACAATCTTCCAGTAATGTGGTTAGATAATTATCCTGGATTAGTTGATCTTTGTAAACAGTGGATAAATTATTTAAATCTCCTGTGGACTCAATTCCCCAGCTTTTGTGATGCTCAGCCAACTGATTTATCTCAACTCTACGAGGTAGTCAGTAAAGCATGGTCATGGATACATTTATTTGGCTCTCGTCCACTTGGTGATTCATTTGATTGGCCTGAACGTTGTGCATTTCATAATAAACGTGTTATGTTAACTGTAGATGATCAATTTGAGTCACGTCTTCCACAATTATCAATGATTCTACAGTATTTGCATAAATCAACGCCATCTACCATTGATGATGAAAGTCAGTCAGAAGTCAGTGTCCTATCTTTTAATTGGATACAATTCGGACAGTTTTTAAATGAATTTCTTCTTCGATTTAACAGTGAACTTACTCTGGAAAAGGATGTCAGTGATGAAAGTAACGCTGAAGATGATATGATGAATGAGGAAAACACTGATGTTGGAAGTAATGATTTCACCACTTCAGGGACTAACAACTTCAGTGATGATGCAACTGGGAATGATTTCCTAAATTTCTATTGTCTATGGCCTTGGACTATGATTCTAGTGTCAAAATTCATTGAATCATACCTGTTTATTAATGTACAGTGTCATGAAGATTTTTATCGATCAATGAAGAAATCTTTGCGTATCTATTTCCGTTGTGTATTAATGACGTTAAATCGTCCAAATTTATTAGCCTATTTAGTTATGGCACAGTCTATGCTTAAGGGATCAAGTTATAAACAAATTCATGTGGTGAAACAGTTGACCCAAGAATTCACTATGACTTCATCAGAAAGCAGTTCTTCAAGTTTGTTGCTATCTTCATTGTTTCAGCGTTTGGATTGGAGTCTTCCAAATCAAATCCTTAACTTTCGTTCTGTAAATCAGGTAAATACTTAACTTTTTCCTTTTTTCAAAAGAGTGTGGGTGTGAGAAAAAGAAGTATTTTGTGTTACCTGACTCTTGATGATTACCAGACTTCTGAATATTCTATCGGCTTTCATGTATTTGTTTTATGTTCCCTTACACATACTTCTTTATTATTTTGATGTCATTTTGTGACTATATGGAATCTCATACCAACGAACCGACAACGGTGATCGTCTCTTGCAATTTTCTTCCGGTACTCACTTGTCTTTCACCAGCATTAACTCTAGGCATAAAGAAAGACACTATCTCAGCGTCCGCCGATATCATACCAACGATGGAAACAGATGGATCACATTACTATTAGCCATCATTCGATAGGGTCGGTGGAGGACTGCTATTTTTTCTGGGGTAACTATATGAACTCCGATCATGTTAACAGTGCTGCTACGGTACCTATGATCAAAACCCTGTGACTGATTCATTTCTTATACTTTTAATGGACATATCAGCCATATAACAGGACAGAACGGACTGCAGCGCAGTATGCTTGTCCTCTGGCAGGTAGTCGGATAGCTTACTGGTGCCATATATGACGCAAGCCAGTAAAATGCTAAATGAGCCTTCTATATCTGAGCTGGGATTTCGTCATCAATCAACCTGTTTGAGCTGATACAACTCCCCAGTTAAGTTGATTGGTCGACGTGTTTCACCACTTAACTCTTTTCATTAAACTGGGAGTGGTTGCAGACCCGTCCTTGAGCATCATTTTACATTTGACAGGTGCCAGCAAAACGCATGTCAAATATACTCAAATATACGCAACGCGTTTAAAAGACCCTGAGTTTTTCAGCGTCTTCACTCAGCAGGGCGAAATTGTCTGCATACTCCAAATTAACCAGATAAACTTCAGGGAAGTCACACGTACCTAATTTTATGTCCCGTAATGTTATAACGAAGTTGAATAGGAGAGGTGACAGTTGGCATCATTGGCGAGCACCACTAGTTGTTGTCAATTCACATGACAACTCTTTTTACGCCCTGAAATGGCTGCATGAGTTCGAGTATCGAGCTGTGACTAGCCTTATATACTCGCTCCATATTTCCTTCACAATCAAACACTGCCATGACACCACGGTCAACGGAGTCAGATTCTGCCTCCAGGTGTAGAGATATGACCGGTAGGTACGCCGGTGTTCCATAGCCTATCGGAGGTTAAAAATATGATCGATACACCCTCATTCATGTCTTAAACCTGCCTGGTTTTCTCGAGCTTCAGCTAGGTGACGGATAATTATGCATCCTAGGATCGTGGACACAATGTAAGTCACACTAATTCCCCTTCAGTTGTCACAAGAAGATTTCTCTCCCTTAATATAGACTGGGATGATCAGAAAAGTAAACCAGTCTGGTGGGACTATCTCTGATTTGTATACACAACCTAGTACTTCCGCTACATTTATCAGCAAATTCTTACCGCCATCCTTGAAAACAAGTGGCACACTGTCACGCCCTGCTGCTTTACATAAATGTAGGTTAGAAACTGCTTTCTCAACTTCAGGGAAAGTTGAAGGACCAACATTTATATCTCATCCAGGTTTTGACTGGACATTGGGCAACTGAGGCGTTGTTATGGGTCAGTTGAACTGTGCTTCGAAGTAATATGCCCAACGTTCTACTCTCCTGTCCTCAGTCATTTTCTGCATCCCATCCTTTTTGGTGATGGTTTCACTCACTATCGTTTTCTTCTTTCTTTACTTCTCGTGAATAAGCCTAAATAATTTCCGGGTGTTGCCTAACACATATCTTCTCTACCTGTCTCGTTTTTGCTTTCTCTCTTCAATTTGGTCAATGACAGCCAACTGGAATCAGTCTCCTCGTATCAATTATTTCGAATGATATTGCGGAAATCCATTGACGTTTGCTAACCTCTCGGGCGTAGGTGACTGAATATCTTCATCACTGTTTCTACACCCGACTTGATATCACGCCAGGTTTCATCTAGATGAGCTTTTTTGAGTTATGTACAGAGTATATCTCCTATTCTTAAAGGGCTTAAACTTGCGAAAAATCAGCTAGTGAATAGCAATTTTTCTCTGACTGTATGTTCATAGTGTGTTGTATATACGAACAGTTGTACTTATTGTTCGCTTTTCAAATTACTTTTTTTTCTCCCCATCGTAATAAAGCCTGACGTTTTGGGTGAATGGCGTTCTATAAGTCATGCACTAATCCATCTCACTTGGCCTATGTTGTCTGATTACGGCGCTTATGCATATTGTGGGAGATTGACAGTCTACGGTTGGAGGAACCGTCAACGTGCTGTACAGAAAGCGAATCATTTATTGTTCTTGTCACCTTCAAAGTGTGAAGAGCTTAATGATATACCAAAGGAAGAGTTTTCACAGTGAGTTACTGATCCATTCAATTTTTTTCGGGGAATGCATCGGACGTGTTAGTCTTCAACGAGAGCGTCGATCGGCAACTATTAATATTGTGGGTGAGTTTTCCCCTAGTTTAGGGCAGGGTGATTAAAATCGACGCCTTATGACACAGTTTACTGTACTAGTTGTGTGTATTTGAGCACTACTTAAGTGTTTTCGGTGGATTACAGTAATAGATCGCCCCTTTATGTGCACTTGCTGATGGCTTTGAGCTCAGTTCCATCTACTGATAGTTTATTAGTCTGAGAGCATTTTCAAATTATATTTTTTTGATGTTTTGTTTATAATATTAAAACTATACATGATTGTTGAGTTCTGTGTATAATCAAGTGTAGATCTTTTGAAACAAGTTTTTAGGCAGAATGTCAGAAGCTTTGCCGTCCATTTTCTCACAAGTGTTGAGTAATCTTCTGAGAGACTGTACCACTGCAATCTCTTTAGCTGGTTTTATTTAGGTTCAGCCAGTTGCCAACGGGATGTAAAATTATACCTCATATCACTTGTGCTCTACACAGTGAACTGCATGCACTTCATGTACTTCGCAGTTGACATTGAACTACTCAGGCCGTAACTCATATAAGAACATAAGGTATTGAAGTTTTATTATGAGTTTTTGTAACCTCACCTAGGTAACTCTTTCACTAGTTACTAACCGGTCGTAACCCTACATGAAGGGGTAAAGTTGGGGATGAGGCGAGCAACCCTACTCCGGAAAACCAATCTAATCGCTATAAAGCACAAACAAAATACAAAAAACAAAATAAAACTTATTCCTCGCTAGAATCGAGGAGACTAAATAACGCCGGTTGGTGAAGGCCTTCGGGAAACCAATTGGACGATATGTCTTCACTTCTCTCAATGAAAGCTAAAGTAAACATGGGGCCATGGAATGTCCAAACAATGTTTGAAGTTGACTGGCAAGGCTGTCCAGATTCCAAAGAGATGAGAAGGTATGGGGCATGGAAGTGCTAGGAATCTGCGAAACCAGATGGAATGGAAGTGGACTCTCTAAACTGTCAACTGGAGAGGAGTCAATTATCTACTCTGATATTGTCATCTAGACGACAACCACGAGCACACTGAGTTTTTGAGTGGCTATCATCATGTCCCCGACAGCATCGAAAGCTGTCTCTCATGAGGTGGGAACCAATCTCTTCCAAGATCACGATCATGACAACAAGATTCAACTCAACTGAACTCAACTCAGAAGGAAGAAAGTCGAAATCATACAATGCTACGTTACGCTACGCACCTACAAATAATGCAGATGAAGAGAAGAAGGAGGAATTCTACAGACAACTACAATCAGTACTGAACAAGACCCCACTCCAGTTGGCTACATCAAAATTCATTCTGATGAGTGGGGTGACGTGAATGCCAAACTGGGAGTGGACAACACAGGGAGAGGACCAATCATGGTTGGACAAGCACTCGGTAAAATGATGAACGAGAATGGAGAACTGTTTGCAGAATTCTGCACATTCAACGATTTGGTGATTGGAGACAGTGTCTACAAACACAAGGATATTCACAAGGCAGCGACATGGATTTGATTTCACCAGATGGACACACTGGAATCGAATTCAGGTGGACTTCATCTCAATGTGAAGAAAGTGGAGACGCAACCTACTTGACACAAGATCAGATAAAGAAGAGGAGCAGATGTAGATTCACACCACTCACTACTATCTAGTAGAAGGAATCTGCCCTCAAAATCAAGTTGGAAGCCTCCAAGGTAGCTGGTGATGACGGACTGCAGTTTAAGTTCAACAACCACCCGGAACAGAAACTGAACTGAAGGACGAAACTACAAAGAAAATCTTCACGCCACTCAGCCATCAGGACAATATGGGCGACACTGAACAACATGCCTGAGGGAACCTGTGTGGAAGAACACTGGAACTCCTTGAGAGTGACATGGAAGGAGACCTGAATAACCGTGTTATGAAGTAGGACGAAGAAGAAGAAGAAGCGAGACAATGGATGGATTTCGACGGACACATGGAAGCTGATGGAGGAGGACGAGGAAGATGGTGCAGCACAAGATAAACCAGTGCAAAGGAGGGATGAACAACGAAATCAAGAAACTGAACACAACCTTTAAAATTCTGCACTAGACAAAGAAGTGAAGAAGAGTTCGACCAATGACAAAACACACTTCTATGACACATTGGTAAGTGAAGCAGAACAGGCTACAGGTAGAAGAGCCAGAGACATGACAACACCGTATCAAATAACCAAAGAAGACATCAAGGCAGACGTAATCAATGAAAGATAGTGAAGGCAACTTAGTTACCAAAGAGAAGAAAGAAAGGAACAAATTGGTTGACCACTTCAAAACACTCTTGAATCGACCACCACTACCACCTGCAACTCGTCCACAAAAACCACCACCAGCAGCCCAGTCACAGAACTATTAGCTTTCAGTGAAAACAAGCCCTCCGTTAAAGGCAGAAGTGAAGTTCTGAACGCCATAAAGTTGCTGAAATCTGGGAAAGCAGTAGGACCAGATGGAATTCCACCAGAAGCACTCCAAACAGGCGGAGAGACAACAGTGGACATGCTCACACCACTATTGCAGAAGGTTTCCAAGGAAGGAAGGAAAGGTAACTGATTATTGATTGGAAGAAGGGCTACCTTGTCAAACTCCTAAAGAAGGGAGGCCTAAGTCTTTTCAAGAACTAGCAAGGAATCGTGCTCCTGTTCACCCACACTAAGCAAAATAGTAAGCCGCATCATCCTGGAGAGGTTGAAAAATACCCTAGATTCAAAAGTACGACCACAACAGTCTGGCTGGATTGAGGAAGATAGCAGGACAGGCCTTCCTGCATTCACCTGAAACCAGTGTGGAGATCTACTGCACTCCACTCAGCATAAAGCATGAACAACATCCTGATTTTCAAGACTGATGTCAGTCAATTCAGTACTTCCGTGAAATGGTTGAGAGAGTTGGCGCGTTACGAGAAGCATTTGCAATAAACTGCAGATATTCATCAACAGCTGCTGCCTTGGTTCACTCGATACTGAAGATGGAGATCAGATGGTCAGAATAATAAGAATAAGCAACAAGGAACTCTGGTTGGCAACGAACCAACCGTGAACCTATCAGCCAACAAATATATGAAAGGAAGGTGGAGATGGACTGGAGATACAGTGAGAAGAAGGATTGGGGATATCATGTGCCAGGTGAGGCCGTCGAGCTGAGTTCAAAGGGGAAACGACGAGTTTGGCATTCCAGCTGAGGATGACATTGAGTAGATGGTGTGAGGAGTAAGTGAAAGGTTATGGGCATTGGTGGAGCCAGGTTGAAAAGACTGTGGAGAAGTGAGTGAAATGGAGACGTGCTATTGACTCTCTGTATTCCACTAGGTATCCAAGGGGCAAAGACGAATAATAAATGAATTTTTTTGTGGTTCTTTTTCATTTTTTATTTACTGGGCTGAAATGACTCATTTTAGTGGTTCTTTTGATGCCTGTGGTCATATTGTAGTCGAAATGTGAGGTGACGATCGGTGGATCCCGAGATGTACAACTTATCACATTCGAAACTCTTCAGTTTTTAGTTACCAGCATGTTGCTGCGCGTTTCGTAGCTCATTGATTTAGGTAGTCGAAATTAGACCACAGCATCGGTGATTCTAGCCCTGTACCACCTACTGACACTCTGATAGCTCGGTATTGTAACGGTCACGACTCACTGCGTTGTGCATATATCTGCACTTAGTTATTTAATTATCTTTTGCCATCCCTGCGCTTTGTGGTCCTCAATTAGCTGGTACCTGTCTTTTTGAGGATCTGTGTGAGTTGAAATTTATTCAACTCCATATAGATATATGTACGAGAGTCACACCATGTTTTGGTTTATAATTACTTGGTTGCTGTGGTTATGGTAGAATAATAAGATAAAACATGGAATGTATTAGACATCTGTTCTAGACTCCACTATCTGCCACTTACAACTATAATCAACAGGGAACGCCTCATTAGTCCGCATTTCTTATGATGATATTCCCTTCTTGCGAAAAATTGATTTCTTTGACTTCAGTGAAAACCTGTTGTTAGTACTACAGATCTCCGCTACGTAGAATGGATAGACATATGGGGTTTAATATTCATTAGGAAGTAAAAATTCTAAGCAATTGGTTCATATCGCTGATTGTGTTAACGAGTCATTATGTATATTTGGTTGTGGAAGAATTCTTCGCTCTTAAGAGTCGGACCTTGGCTCAGTGAGTACTAATTTACGTGGTAGTGACTAGCACTGAATTTCAGGACGCATGTTACAGCCTCTTTGAGATTTGTCATTTGGATGTACCTATATGTCTATGAGTGATATAGTTCCCATTGAAACTTGAACCTGACACCCATCGTTTGAGTGGTCAGAGCAGTACTCACTAGGATACCGAGGCGGTAGGTTACCCACACAATTTGTTCATTTGGAAGACTCATTGTTACTCTTCTTACATCTGCGCTTGTCATCTTGATATGTAGACGTGTGTAATTACTGTGTTACACATTTTGGATGTATAGGTGTGCAAGCGGAATTTCGCTTCACTTATCGTGGTTTCTACAACCAGGTATCATAGAAGAAGTATAGCTGATTGCCCAGTGTACGCGTGTGGTCGCTTAGTTTATGCGAAAAATATGTTTACTATGACATTCACTACAAAAAGATTATATCAGCTCTTTTGTTTCACTCATTCATGTATATCAAATTTATCCAAATATACAGGTCTCGTGATATGAATTCACTTGTTCAGCATGCTTTCAATATCCTTCATGGAATATACAAATCAATCAGTTCAGTCTACAAGTCTACCAATAACGAGCATAATGATGCTATGTATTCTGTAGCTGTTTGTGATAATCTTGTGGATCTGGTTACTTGGATCCACTCCTGCTTAAAACCATTAATCAGCATTATCAAGTCAGATCTTACCAATCGTACATCCTCCAATTGGTATCGTATTGCATGTCTAGTGGAATTACTAACTAATCAACTGAATGAGATGTTGGTACCGTCATCTGTTCAGCCAAACATTGAGAAAGCTATAGTGCATACTAATTTCTCACTATCCATTTGCTGGCTTCTCATTGGCTGTTTGTATTTAAGATGTGTTTGTCCACACAGTCCATTAGATCCATATTTAGTGATACAGGTGGAAGAAGAAGCGGTTCACTATGAGGTGAGTGGTTTTTGAAAAATTATCCTCTTTTAGTCAGAAAATTATAAAACCAGTTATAGGTAAGATTACTCACTGTCGATGCTTCTGTGTCGGTGAATAGATATAATTCAAAGGATAGGAAGTTCCAAAAGAATATACAGTCACAGTCAGACAGTGGAGATAAATCTAGCTATTGAGTGTATGATCGTTATGTAATATGACTACAATTCTGTAGAGATTTACAAAGTTGATGAATAAAAGTTAATAGACAGCTAGCAAAATAAGTAGGACTACTTAATAAGTTTGTCTTCTTTCTGGGAAATTATAAGGCGAGTTAAAATGCCAAATTATTACAATGGCGATGAAAGTGACAATAAATACTTTTTTTGACTGCACAGTTGTGGTATGAATTTTCAGATTGCTGACGCTTTGTGTGACATCAGACACAAGTCATCGGCGAAATCCAAGTCTTCTAGGATCTTTTCTATGGTCTAGCGTATCCCCCTCTTCTCGCTACTCTCAGTGGTCTGAGCCTACATCTGCTCCTCTTCTTTATCTGATCTTGTGTCAAGTAGGCTGCATCTCCACTTTCTTCGCATTGAGATGAAGTCCACCTGAATTCGAATCCAGTGTGTCCATCTGGTGAAATCGAATTCATGTCGCTGCCTTGTGAATATCCTTGTGTTTGTAGACACTGTCTCCAATCACCAAATCGTTGAATGTGCAGAAATCTGCAAACAGTTCTCCATTCTCGTTCAACAACTGTCTACACTGACTCGTTACTGAAGCTCAGATGGCCAGAATAATCAGAATAAACAACAAGGAACTCTGACTGGCTGGCAACGAACCAACCAAGAACCTATCGCTCAACAAATATGCAGTGGAAGGAAGTGAAGATGTATTGAGCATGCACTGAGAAGACCATTCGAGGACATTACACACCAGGCCAGTTGCTCGAGTGGAACCCAGATGGGAAACGACGAGTTGGGCGTCCGAAGCGAGGGTGACATGGAGGAGATCGTGTGAGGAAGAAATGAGAGTTTATGGGCTGTCATGTAGCCAGGTTCAAAAGATTGCATAGGATAGAGTGCACTGGAGACGTGGTGCTGAAGCCCTATGTTCCACTAGGAACTCAAGGGACAAATAATATATAATGATAATTACGCTTTGGCTGCACACAAATCCTTACACCCTTTGAACAATTCGTTTGAACTCTGTAAAGGGCTTTGAATGACGTTTTAAGAGAAGCTAAATGTCTTGAACTCACCCATTACTGCAGGTGGTATTCTTATTGCTTTTCAGTAACCAAGTTGAGTAGTATCCGCCAGCAGCTTTAACAAGGGAATACGTACTGGTTTCAGTGAACTCAACTTTCCAGAAGAAATTGAATTCATAGATATGTGTTGATCAGGCCTCATGCGTTAACTTGTCCTTCACATACTAACAAATCAGCTGCTGGCATGAAAAAAGAGGGTCTTTGATGTTTGTTTACGTTGAATATTGGTTACCATATGCTTTTTGAGTTAAATGTTCAAGGGAAAAATTTTCGTCATAGCTAGATGGAATGGTTTCGTATTCTTCGATTAATTCATATCGCAATCTGTAAACCTGAATCAATAATCGTTCTGTAAATAGGGTTTCAAAACAAGCTTCTAATTCATGCTTCGCCGTGTCACTAGTGCCGCAAGTTTGGTATGCGCCTTGCTTTAATGAAGTACAAAGTACTTTCGCAAGATTGGCGGGAGCCTGTGCTTGCGCTCACTCTTGGTGATGAGCTGTTGGAAGTAGTCGAAAAGTTCTTGTATCTGGGTGATTGTGTGAGTGCTAGAGGAGGTGTGGGTGGTGAAATTTTCAATCACATATCGAAAGCCAGAGTGGCATACGTCAATCTGGGCTACCTTAGGTGCCGTCGTGACGTTAGTCTGTCCGTAAAAGGTCGGGTTTACAAGGCTTCGGTGCGAAAAGTTCTGCTCTACACCTGTGAAACTTGACCTCTCCAAGCTGAGGGTGTGCGATTACGGTGTGTTCGAACATCATTGTCTCTGTAGGTTTTCGCCAAAAATGAGAAATACGTCATCCATATATCTTTTGTGGATGTAAAGTTGCTTGGTTTCTGGAAGTAAGTTTTTGTTTTTCAGGTTAGCCATAAAGTCATCGGTATGAATCGACCCAATGGGCGATATCACCGCTATCTCGTCCGTTCGTCCGTAGATTTCTCTATTCAGTCTGAATTGAACATAAGCATTTGAGAAGACCTTTCAGGTGATGGTCAATATCTAGATTTTAGGATTTAATGAAGTTTTACAAAGAACAATTGGTTTCTCGTAGCTGAATATTTGCAAAAAGTGACTCAATGTCTCTCGAAATCATTTTCTTTACGGACAGTTAAATATCTTTAAATGACTCAATCAAACTTTTCGATAGCGTAATTAGAAGACGAAGTTTATCTGAGCAATTTGATGTATTTGCGCCATACATTTCGAACAATCACATTGCTGAGATAAATTTCGTCTTCTAATTACGCTATCAAAATTCATAAAAGGGACTAACTGTTTCAAATTCAATCAAACTTATTTGATTCTGTTTCAATGCATTCACTTCTTTCTTTTTCAGCTCAAAAATTATTTAGCTAAAGTTGACTATCCGAATGAATAGAATACTTCCGGAATGTTGACGCGTTATTTTAGTCTGAAATAGTTTTGTTTTTTGGTTGATAAGTGTAGGCTGTATTGTCGTTGCTTCATACAAACGTACTGTAGTTTGTATTGGTAGTTTAGTCTAATACTAGTGACGTGGCTGAGCTTCACTCGTCAAAATTATCAAGAAGATAACTCATTTGAGGATTGGTCTGCCGGTTTCACTTTTATTTCGTCAGCAGTAGTGGGTTTGTAGAAAAAAAAGTATAAAATCGTTTTTTGGCAAAATATCTCAACTGTTGTTGACTAGACTTGCTTAATGGGTTTGGCTTCGCAAGTATCTACCTCGTTTTCACTGCTATCCGCTTTAGTAGACTTTATAAGTGTTAGTCATCAGCTTGTACGACACACTGAATAAACATCAGCGCACTTAGAGATATACCTGAATGTATTGGAGGGGATTGCTACATTTGTACGCCGTTGGGAAGTGACAAAGTTGTGAAGAGAACAATTTCCTTTACACAGATGTACTTTTTGAATTTTTCTTGTTCTTGAGTATGTGATTTCATTTCTACTACTGGAACTTGTATATTTCTCAAGAGTAAATAAGTTTCTTTTTCATTGTTTGAAGTGTGTAACTGATGAAATCAGCGTTTACAGATTACTGCCTGTGTCAACGTTTTCCAAATTTTATTATAAAGCTCATGTTCGTCACAGCTTTTGACTTATGAAAAGTCCCAACCTCTATAAGTGCTTAGAAAATTAGACTAGGTTTAATAAAGATTGAATTGATGATTTGACTTTTCAGAAGTTGTACTCACAGTCCACAGATTTTCAAATGCATGATGTTTTTCAAGATACCTGTAAATATAACTAATAATTACAGCAACGAGTTGAAAAGCTACACGTTTTGTACTATCAAGGAGTGACAGTTGTAGCTAAGAACCACTTGTCAAATCCAGTTAACCTAAATAATTAGTTGTTAAAGGGCTATTTTTTTTTAAAAAAAAAACGATAATATCAGGTTAGCCATCTGTAGGCAATGAGAAAGCAGCTGCATCTGTGCTTCTGTAATCGACTTTTCAACAATATGTTTGACGCAACTGAATACACATTTCTATTCCACTTTCTTCAGGCAAGCTGGTTCATGGTAAGACCGATGCACTTAGCTTATAGTGAGAAGGTAAAAACAATGCTTAAGCTTCTCCTTCGCATACCTATGAATCAGTTTCGGTCAAGAGAAAGTGATGCTTAGATTGGTAGCAAAATGTCTTCTGTTCATGAAAATTGATACCCGTTTCTTGAAAACGTCATATCATTTGTCTCATACAATCAATCTGCAAAGTATACTAAATAATAAATTAACTTAATTATTATCTATTATTTGTAAGAAACTATGTCTCTTTTCGGATTCTTCATGTTTCCCTGTCACCACACCAACTACTTCCCAGGCACGCTGATTTTGTATTGTAGTTAGAGCGCGCAGTCTGTTGAAAGTTAGTGAATCCATTTCTATATAATATCAATTCCCTGAGAAGAGCTATCAACTGTAAGTAACTTCACTTCAATCAGGTACATGTTTATCTGTCTTTGTTTATGAGTCGCACTTTTCTTGTTATAAAATCCGGTTACTTACACCAATCGGTTTGTAGCGGGATTTGATTCGGAATTCAATGAACCGCATCCTACAAAGATAAAAAAAAAGTGCATTACTCCTATCCAAAATATCACATTCTCTGGGTGTTATATGATTATTTCGTGTTTCTCGTGATTGTTGTACAATGTTTGAAAGTGTTTTCCCAATCATTTTTTTTTACCACAGATGAATTCTATCAACAGCGAGTTGGAATTTCGTGAAAGTATTCAGCGTCATGCAGTCGGATTGTATAATTGTTTACAGTCTTTGAAAAATTTACCTCCTCTTAGTGTAACTGAGCATGTCAACTCGGGTCTACTACATCCATGGTTAGGTGTTCTGGTCAATCGACAACAATATCTCCGGGAGAAAGCAGCTAATCTAAAACACCAATTGGGATCCAGTTGTAAAGACATCTTAACCATCCGCCAGAACTCAAATTTTGAGGTAAGTTTATTAAAATCCATTAAAATAGAGATATGAAACGTCATGCTTACTATAATAGTTGATAGGTGCATAATAATAATATCAGTGCTCATCTCAACAAATAATTGCTAACTCATGTATTAAGAATTCGATCACATCTGCTTCTTAAGCATCAATTACATCGCTTTGGGGACTAGTATATTTGTAGGCTGTTCTAATAAATTGAAGTGCTTAGACCAAACACCAGCGTATTATTGTATTGGTGGTTAAGACACGTATGTAGGATCTTATTTCACGGACAAGACGTGCCCACGGTCTTCTGGTGCCGGCAGCATGTTCTTTTGTATCTGGTGTTTAAAGAATCAAATCTGATACCAACACTCCTGAAAAGGCTGTGTGTGACAGGTAGATGTCCCATCGACCCTGCGGCCACACAAATCTCTTTTAGGTGCCATAAGAAAAACTAGCCTTCCTCGGTGTGGGCAGCCGGGAATTGTCAACCGCCCGCACGCTTCCAGCAGTACACAAAACTCAATCAAACATAACTTATCCTCCTCAACTATCTCCTCCTTTGTCGTCGCCTCTTGTTACTAATAGTAGGCCTCTTTCGCCATCCCCAAACTCTCATTCTGCAGCTGTTGTCAGCGATCGAGGCCATCGAAACCTCATTCCTAGTATTCTAAGACCCCGCCATCGATTTTATGTAGGAGCTTTCAACGTCCGAATTCTATGCAAAATCGAACAGCAAGCATCGCTTACCAAAACTCTGGAATCCCTAGCCATGAATTTATGTTATGACACGTATACAAACGGGACGTGATTGTGGTTAATTAGTTGACCTCACCTGACCGTAGTTATGAATCTCCAAAATTCACTTCAAGAGTATCCGGAGATTCAATGGTTTGCTCTTGTGGGCTCGCTGGTGTAAACGTAGTATTGAGTTGTACAGCAGAAATCTCACTCCTTGAGTGGATACCAGTAAACAGACGTCTATGTACTATTCGATCAAATAGATCTGTAAGGATTAGGAAGTATTGTGAGACCAACCGCTGTCTATTCGTTATCTCCATGCACCCATCGATTCCAAGCATGAATCCTATGAAAAGCTTTAAATATCGCTGCAAAAGGGAATGGTTCAGATGTCTTAATAGCGGGCGACTTTAACGCTCCAGCAGGGAAACTGAGTCAATGAAAAAGACATCTTGGGGGTACTTACGGAGTCTCATGCCAACGAACGGACAACAATGATTGTTTGCTGCAATTTTGTTCTGACAATCACTTGTTTCTGGCTAGCACTAACTGTGACACAGGTGATAACACTAAAACTTTACCCGTCGCACATGAAGTGGCTATCGTGGCTCTGTTTTCTAGTGGGTAACACTCTGGCGTTTGAAGGGATCGGACCCGAGTCCGAGTCCCTGTGGGAACAAAACCACTCACTGAGGGGCAGGTACATCCAGTTGACGAGTTACAAATAGAATGAAATGCGCATCGCGGATCACACTGCTAGCGACTATCCATCATTTATATGTGTAATTAAAACAAAGACACTATCGAGGCATCCGTGCAGGAGCTCATATACCAGTAGAGACCGATCAGTTTGGTCCAATCAGTGACGTTATGATACTAGCAATAACATTAAATCAAAGTTTGGCTAGATTTCTGTTGTCATCTATTTTTAAGGGTGCATTACGTATTACTTCAGGAACTCATTGAACTTTGATTATGCAAAATGACACACATTACCTTATGCATTCGTTATCCATTTTATCCTTTTTTTGTCACTATCTCACATAGTATGTCGAAATTCGCCGCCGTATAACCACATTTCTAAGTGATTTCACTGAAGACTTTCTTCTGCCTCATTTACCTGAAATGAACAATAATTACGTGGAAATGATCGAAAAGAACTTGAAATTACATACAGTTAATCGATGGATTGAAGCCACATCGAATCTTGCTGATTGGTTAACTGATGCACATCGTTTTAATACATTTGCTGATATTATCACGCCTTTCTTGTATGGTCTGTTTTATGTAAGTTGATTACACTTTAGAATATATTTGCTTTATGTTTTCCATATGTTCATTTTTGTCTAATTCAGCGATGTAGCTCATTGGTTTAGACAGATAACTTCCTACCACTGAGTCGCGGGTTCGAGGCATACTCCATCTGTCAAAGTTTGGGTATCCAGACGGTATCACCCTTAATAATAAGTGTGGCTCATTGCCTACTGCACGGATGTGCGGAAAGCTATTTAGATGATAGCTGACCGAACGTTGTAAGACTGGAGTGCAAATACCAGTTATTCATCGGTGTATATAAAATGTAACTTTCAAATTCCTGGTCCTGACTGAAGTTTATAGATCAGGTATCCAATGTGGCCCGATTACATTTAGACAATGCTGTCTTTGGATAGGTCATAATGAGTCAAGAGCTCAAAGTTTATTTATGTGGAATCGACAAGTTGGTTGTAATACCAGTGTTTAACCATGTTACCGATTTGTCTTTACCTTGGTAAATGAAGTGGGATTTGAACGCATAACTTTCTAAATTAGAAGTCAAGTAAATGAACTTGTAACTCACAGTTTTGTATCACACTTTTCGATTTTTTGGTCGACTGCATGCAAGACGACTGCTACTTCAATACTCGAATTAGTATGTTCGTAGTACGTTTTATGGTCGAACTTTTCTCCACCATGTATTTAGAACAATAAGTAAACATATTTGATAAATCCATCTAGTACAACATAGTAATCACGTATGGATTAGTATTCCATGCGTGCCATTGTCTACCTCGATGTGCAGTTTTCACTGAATAATGATTACTGTTGACGGGTGCTAACGACAACGCGACTAAGTCATCAAAACTCATTTACCTTCATGTCTTTATTCTTCATCTTCTTTTAGAATTTTCCGTTTCTGTCCACTTCTGTTTTCTACCGGTTGGTATAGTATCGTAACTTGAAATGATGCAATTTTGTGCTCAGGCTGTACGTTGATTTATCTGCTATACATGATATTGGCAGGTGAATTCCTTTGTCTGACTATACGGCATATAATTTGTGCATTGCATTACATCACGATGCAGGCGCATCATCCTAGAGAGACTTAAAAATACCCTAGATTCAAAAGTACGACCGGAACAGTCTGGCTGGATTCAGGAAGAACAAATCATTTACGGATCAAATTGCAACGCTACGCTACGTATCACCATACAACAGAGCGTAGGATGGCAGCCAATTCAACTCAACCTCAACTTCATCAACTTTGAAAAGGCCTTCGATATTGTCAACCGAGAAGTAATTTGGCAGGCAGCTGCTTCAACACTACGGCTTTAATGCCACAAACCTTTATAAACCTCATTCAACAGCAGCTATATGCTATATGACTCTACACGCCGAGTGATTGACAATGGAAAGCTGAGTGATGCCTTGGAAGTGAAAACAGGAGAAAGACAGGACAAGGTTGCCTACTATCATCACCGGTTATCTTCCTGACTATGGTCGACTCGACTCGACTGGATCATGCAGCAAACCGTGAAGAGCTAGAAGAGGGGCATATGCTGGCTGGACCAATGAAAAGACCCCCAAAAGTGGATTTGGATTTCGCTGACGATGATTTATGCCTGAAACCTTATCGCATACACTGGAAGATCTACAAGCAACAACCAACAAGTTCATGGAAGAGGCAGCAAAGGAAGATTGGACTTCAAGTTAATGTAGAGAAGACAGAAGTGATGAAGATACCCAACCACCACCACCATCATCATCAACAACAACAACAAGCACCAATCACCATGATCGGAAGAAACCTAAAGGAAATTGTCTCTTCCAACTACCTAGACAAGGCAGCATCGTTCTAACTACAGGTGGTGGCGCCGGCACAGATGAGGACGTCAAAACCAGGACCGGAAAGACAGGAAGATAGGCCTTCCTATATTCATCTGAAACCAGTGTGGAGATCTACTGCACTCCACTCAGCATAAAGCATGAACAACATCCTGATTTTCAAGACTGATGTCAGTCAATTCAGTACTTCCGTGAAATGGTTGAGAGAGTTGGCGCGTTACGAAAAGCATTTGCAATAAACTGCAGATATTCATCAACAGCTGCTGCCTTGGTTCACTCGATACTGAAGATGGAGATCAGATGGTCAGAATAATAAGAATAAGCAACAAGGAACTCTGGTTGGCAACGAACCAACCATGAACCTACCAGCCAACAAATATGTGAAAGGAAGGTGGAGATGGACTGGAGATACAGTGAGAAGGAGGATTGGGGATATCATGTGCCAGGTGAGGCCGTCGAGTTGAGTGCAATGGGGAAACGACGAGTTGGGCATTCCAGCTGAGGATGACATTGAGTAGATGGTGTGAGGAGTAAGTGAAAGGTTGTGGACAGTGGTGGAGCCAGGTTGAAAAGACTGTGGAGAAGTGAGTGAAATGGAGACGTGCTATTGACTTTCCGTATTACACTAGGAACCCAAGGGATAAGTAATTGTAATAATTACATCATGATTTAGTTCTCCATCATTGTTTTTTGTGCGATCATTTCATATTGCATTATTCATCTTTTCAACTATCCTGTTCATCAATGTATTTTTTCAGGTGTACTGGTTAAGTTATCATATCTTAAAATGATATTCACTGTAATTCACTGCAACCCGTGAGGAACATTTTTCTTAAATAATGGTTTTGAAATAATAATATTGATGGTAATGATAATAATGTTGCCAGTTGATGTCGTAAAGTTCGAGTGATAATGAAAAAGGTTACGTAAGATTTTGAAATCGTTTATAAGGTGGATGTGGACTAGAAAGGGTAAAAAACTGGTAGAGTTAATGAACAAGCAAATGACTAGGTAATATGATTGAGACAAATTAGTTGGAATAAATTGTAAATGTTTTGTTAAAAGTTGCAATTATTAGGAAGATCAAATGAAATAACACCGGGAACAATTTAATACCAGAATAAAAGTAAGGTGATACTGACAATATAAGGGTGGAAAGATTAATCTAACAAAAGGCAGTGTGTTGAAAAAACGAAAACGGAACGATGCACACCAAAATCAAAATAAGTTAAGACGAAGGTAGAGACGAAGACCGTAAATACGTCTTTTGCACACGAAGGTCAAACTTCAGTTCATGGATTGCCAAGTTCTCTGCTGTTTTTAGAGGCTGAACACAATGGAAACGTGAGGTGTTTTAGCGAATACGATAGACAACCTTAAAATCAATGTTGGTTCGGTTGGATGGTTGGAATCGATTAAATGTTCAAGGATAGAAGTTCTGATGCATTTCCTTTCACCCTCATAAAAAACCAGGCAGGAATATGTTCTCGTATAAGTGTTGATAGTAATCTGTGACCTCGACCGATGTACCTTGCTCTACAAGAGCAGATGTACTAGTCGGTACACATGGACGTGGCCTGTCGAAGGAAATTGTCTTTTATGCAAACGGTGAACAATTTACGACTGGTAAAGATCAAGTGAAGTTTGGTTGATAAAAAAGCCCTACTAATCGAACTGGAAAGGCAATTTTTTCAGGATATCTGGTGCCGCATAACCTTTAAAATTCTGGCTTCATGAGCAAAGTCTTTTTTGGTTATCATTCAACCTTTACTTCACTAGTTAGCAACATTATTATTATAACCACTATTATTATTATTATTTCAATCCCCCATTATTTAAGTTAAATATTATTATAGCATTGTTGTTGAACGGACAGGGTTTAATAGCAGGCAAGCGTTTTGATATTCTCCTAGGCGTTATGATCAGTATGAACGTTTCGTCTTTCGCCATAACTTATTCTCCAAAGACATTTTTTCAAAGCATTCAAGTGGGATTAACTCTTTTTTAATGTTTTAGGTGTATCGTGGTCTTCGTATTGTCTTTCATGAGATTACTGCTCGGAGTAATCCACTTAATGTGAGTTATGTATCATAATGAAAACTATTGTTATTAAATTTTTCTTTTCTTTGGTAAATATGTCTTATTTTCAATAATTAAGGGGGTGCTTTCCGATGAAATATTTCACATAGAGGTACTGTGTTCTTACTACTGAGATTTATTGATGAAAAATGTGATGTGAAATAGTATCTTTTCCCTAAGCTCCAGATTGGGAATCAGATATAGGTGCATACAGATTCCCTGTTCTTTCTTTTTATCCACGCTTCACAAATGGAACATATCCTAGATTTGAATTTCGTTGATTGACGTCAAGGAATGACTGTTGACCATTGTATCGTTAATAAACGCCCATCTTTGAGTAAATCATCTTTACTTGTAAAGAACTGTTCAAGTTATCATTTTTTAGGTCTTGTTATGGAGAAATTTTCCTATGAGAAAGCTTGTTACGATTGAACAACTAGGTACGTGTCAACTTCGTAAATGTGCTTATATATATAGTAGATGGAAGTATATAGTGGGCAGCCCAGAGGGTGGTCGTACAGTATAAGGTAATGTAAATAAGTAAATGAACTTGGATGATCTCAGCTTCCTTATTTACGTCTGCTGACCCGCCATCTGCCATACTGTTCTTACAGTTCAGTAGGATCTGCTTAGACAGCTTAATTTGGTTGATCTCTTATGTAGAATCAGTCTATGATGGTTGTGATTACTGGTGACCATGTTTATTGAGTTGTGCACAACAACTAAAATTACTGACTGGAGGCATTAAATATCATTGTTCAAAATCAATGATAATAACACAAATACCTTCATCGATGCGTCTATTTGCCAATTTAAGCTATAGGGGTTTTAGTAGGTGTGTGCCTACATTCGATAATAGGTCCTGGAATGACGATATTTATCCCTTGGTCTCACTAATATTACGGTTTTGAATTTTATGAAATCACTTGATTTTTACTCCTGTCTTCTGTTTTTTTTTTCCAACTATATCTACAGGTGTCTATTTCATCAATGATGCAAATGTTGATAACTAGTCTTCTACCTAGTACGAAAAATAATACTAATATTCTCTTTCCATTAAATCAACGGTCATCACAATCAATGTCACTGGCTTTAGAATTAGCTAGTCCGAAATCAAGACGCATAATTCAACAGTTAGTAGATTCTGCGAATAATTTCACTTCATCCAACATGAACAATATTCAGACTTTGCATAAAACTCAGGAAATACAATTTCGGTAACGTTTTTTCCTACTGTTTAGTTATTTATTTTGTTTTTAAAGCAAATACTGCTACTCACCTGATTTTTCAAGCTTTTGCGTAATTATATTATTTTCAATACATATATCTATTGGTTAGCGCTTGTGCTGTTAAAATGATGTTTGTCTGCGCACTAAGATAATAGAATGTGTTATCGGATGGTAGAAGTCAACTAGCAGAACAACTTGAACTCAAGATTGGTACTTGTCAGTAGTGGGTTGTTGATGGAAAGTTTGTTCTTGTCAGCTTCCACAAAAGGCCAGTCTTGGTATGAGTGTGTCATTTATTGCCTCTGACACAAGTGTTAACGATAGGCGTTCTATATTAGATTTGTTTATTAGTTTGGTTTCTATCAATTGAACAAAATAATCTAATCTATCAAATTCCATGTAATGATTGCGAGGTCGAGCACATAGGTCAAACTAGCCAGTCGGAGTCAGTTAGAATAGTGGAAAGTAGGAATCTGTCCAAATATAAAGTGACAGATCGGAGTAAGATCAATAATCTAGAGAAAAAAACTCGGCTATTGCAATGCATGGATTAACACACAACCACACAATGGGGTGGGTGGGATGAAACCACTCTACCTAAGTCCAATATAATTAGGTGGAGAGAGAGTGAGAGAGATTACCGAATCTTTGTTCATCGAACCAACACCCAAAACAAATAATAGGAATGACGCAACATCTATACCAGAGATATGAAGAATTTTACTACCAATAAAAACAAATAATATGAAGTGACAGGACTATAAAAGTCAGATGTCGAAAGTAGTGTGATTACATTGATATGCTTATGAGTAATGGTAACTTATACTCGAGACGCCATCAAAGTGAATAATACTGTATCACTGTGTATTATAAATCAAATTGACAAGTCTGATATGGAATTAAATTCTACCAAAGTGCTCAAGTCTTACACTTATATTATTGATAGATGTTCTGACTTGAAATTGAGTATATTCGATCAATAAGTTAAAAATATACCTTACTGGTGAATTTTTCTACATATGGAAGCATATTTGAAGGATATACAAATGTAGTGTGCACACCATCTTTGTGCACTATACACTTGGTAACTATATTTTCACCTCATACCTATTAATAATTGTCAGTCACTTCTATGGAAGCTGATAATAATCGATATAGTGGGGATCACAAATGGTATGATCGGCATCTGCAGCTTAACTGATTAAATTCAGTCGAATGAGAATAGTTAACGATGCACAGATTTACATACAGACGTTGTAGATGTTCGCATATTGTCATTTTATGAACAATGTGTTGTCATTATAAGACGGATATCACTAAAATGAATAGTGTCTTTAGAAATAAGTTTGTTTGTTCATGTTTTTCTATTTATGTAAATTTGTGGGTAATTTTTCATTCTTCTTCCTTCCTTTTCTATATTTTTTTTCAGGATCAGTTCATTTTTATTAGATTTATTATGGTTACATAATGCTGAGACAAATCTTTCAAATGTGTCTGATAATTTGAATAAGTTAACCGGTCGTCTATTGAATTCAATGCTACGCCCATTAGCTCAACAATGGAAACAAATAGAAGCTGAACGTAAACGTATATCTGAAGCTCGTGCTGCTCTCTTCTTAGAAGCTGATCGACGCAAACAACTTATTCGTAACGAGTTACAGGGTATTAACAGTTCTAAAAGTAAAACATATCAACAAAATCAAAGATGTCATTCACCAGAATTGGTTGATCAATCGCTGAATGATGAACTTGACTGGCGTTTGCGTTTCTCTGAAACTGGCTCTTTGAAAGCTTTCACTGAATTACGAGGTGGTTTAAGCAATAGTGCAGGTTTAACGAAAGAAGAAGAAATTCAACAGGTGAGCTGGGTTATTTCATCGATCATTTGTCGGTTGACTTCATTTCACTTATAGTTCAATGTCAGATGCGTGTACATTATTCGATGAAGTCAGATTAAGTTAGTCTGCGCCAGAATAACCAATCTATCTTTAGATGCTGAGGGATAGAAAGTTGTATGACGTTGAATTAAGAAATCAGTAGCTAACGTAGGTGGCCTAAACTTTGATTCAGTAAACCCCCTTTGTTTACATCGCACTCAATGATGTTCTCAATATGATGAATCTGTTGATTATTGATTTCGATACTCACGTGTCACTTACTTTAGTTGCCGATGTTGGAATAGCCATATAATGTGATTTATGTCGAATCCTAAGTACACGAGCACCTGTTTTCGATTTCTGCATTATCTCGTTTCTATTGCAAAGCTATTGTTGTGAAGTGCTTTTAGTACTTGCTAACGTTTTTTTTTTCTGGAGTATTTCTCCCAATGTTAATTTCTTCTCTGTCATAAACAAACATTGTAGACGGTGAATAAATTAGCTGCAGTTGACAATTGGTTGAAGAAGTCATTGAACAGTTCTGAGAAGTATTGGATACCAGATGAGAATGAGTTGACCTATTTCATTAATCGTCTAGTTGATTTGTTACTGCTCTTCTTTTCGATCGGAAGACACAGAAAGGTACTTTGGAAAACCAAATAATAACTGTTGACCCCAACAGTGACACTGGTGGTCAGTTGGATGTCAGCAATGTATTCTCTTGGCATTGGCATACTGTTCTGTTCGGTTATAATTTAGCCAGTTGGTTATCCATCCAATCAAGAATGAGTTTAGGTGAGTTGTGTTTAAACTGTCTATCCTGTGCACCATTCAGATTAGATACAAAGTTTACTTCATTCTTGTTATGCAGCTACAAGATGTTCAGTTTTATGCACATCAGGTGATGCACCCGCATGGTTAGCACAAAGTTTTTAAAACCAGTTAGACGTAGTCATTTTTGACCTTCATAGTGTAGTTGACTTCTCACTGTCCTTGAGTACTTTTGGTTGTAGGTTATCGACATCATGTCACTGATGTTGAGATAATATGGATGCAGGCAGAATTTGGTTGGAGGCTAGATAAACGTTTACGCGAAATCCTTTGCGAATTGTTTCAGTCTTTTCGAAAGTAACTCACAAACCATCCTTCTTCGTTATATGTTATCTGAACGTCGAACTTTTCACTTCATTTCTTTGTCCTTGTTTTGCTAATGACTACTAACATCTCCATCTCGTTAACCCACTACTGCCCATGGTTATTGTATAGTCTCTTTGTCAGTTTACGTTTAAGATATGTTCCTGTCTTTTTGTGCCAGGCACCTGATTGAATAGGTTTACTTGTATCCAGTTATTAGAAGATGCAACTCAGACCCTGCGACTCTTTCTTAGGTTTTTCTGAGTGTAAGTCATAGTCTTTACCACCTGATATCATACTAGGCTTTAGAATAAGTAGTATTTTAGCCTTTGCCTTTGCAAATATGAACAAATCTTTGCATAGATGTACATCACTCCAAGTTGCCATACTTCATAGCAGAATACAAGGAAGAAGAAAAAGAAGAAGAAGTGGATAGAAAAAGTGATAATAAGGCAAACTAAAGTGTATGAGATAAGAGAGGATAAACTGGTTGAGGTTCACAAAATGTCCAAGACTTTGAAGGCACAAAGAGTGTATGCATCTGCACCATCGTATCTGATTCTGACGTATATCATCGTATCCTCCTCAGGACATCATTCAGACAGTCTGCACCTACCTAAACACGGTTTAGACCAACAGTAAAAAGCTTTATGAACTGATGTTGTATTTTGGTTTGCTCACTTTCGGCTTACTTCTAGCGGATTCCTATTTCGGTTGAAATTACGCGTCGAAATAGGTGGTACTTCGACATTTGCGACTGTTATCCAAGCAGTCTTAGTCTACGAAGGTTCACAGTCTTACCTCGCTTGCCTGGAACAGTGCAATATTACTCACGTGTTGATTCCAACGCTTGCGAGAGACGCTACTAAGACGCTTGTGGTCGAATACAACTGTCCTCTAGGTATCTACTTTCGACGGTCGTATCTCATATTAGGACAGAGCCGATTGCTGCGAAGCATAATCGTCGTTCAATGGGTAGTCAGATATCCCACCGATATCATAGGTGATGTAAGCGTTAGCAAAGGTTACATGAACCCTGTGTATCCAAACTGAGGTTTGGTCAGCGGTCAATGCATTCGATCACTTCATTGCCTGTGTTCGAACTGGGGGTCGGTGAAGAAGTGATCTGAAGTATTATCTCTAACTTTTGCTCAAGGTCTTCAGAAAACCCTGGGTTTTAGTACTTTATCAACAACCTTGATGTCTTCATGTTGAGCTCCGAATTACTGGCCTGTTTAAGTTTTAAGCCCCGGACATACGTGTATTCCTTCCATATTAGATTTGTTTATTTAATATATAGCGCACAGTGATACAGTATTGTTTACTTGATTACGTTTCGAGCATAAATTATTGCTCATAATCATATCAATGTAATCACACTTCTTTCGATATCTGATTTTATAGTCCTGTCACCTGATTTTTCTTTGTTTTTTGTTTTTTCAAAAATCAGGTGACAGGACTATAAAATCAGATATCGCCTGGTTAACTAGTTCACTAGTTACTAACCGGTCCTAAGCCCCCATAAAGAGGGAAGGTTGGGCATACGGCTAGCAACACTACCACGTAAAACAAATCTAACCGCTAAACAAACTTCACAGCACAAACGATATATAAAAATAATAACAAAATTATTCCTCGCTGGAATCGGAGAGGCGAAATGACGCCAGTTGGTGAAAGCCTTCGCGAAGCCGATTGGCCAATGTGTCTTCGCCTCTCCCGATGAGAGCGAAAGTAAACGTGGGGACATGGAATGTCCGTACGATGTTTGAACCCAGCAAGATAACCCAGATTGCAAAAGAGATGAGAAGGTATAACATCGAAGTGCTTGGAATTTGCGAAAGCAGATGGAATGGAAGTGGACTCTCCAAACTGTCAACTGGAGAGGAGTCAGTTATCTACTCCGATATTGTCACCCAGACGACAACCACGAGCTACTGAGTTTTTGAGTGGCTATCATGATTTCCCCTACAGCATCGAAGGCTCTCTCTCTCTCATGCAGTGGGAACCAGTCTTCTCCTGCATGACCATGACAGCAAGATGCATTCAACTCAAAAGGAAGGAAGGTCACAATCATATAATGCTACGTTATGCACCTACAAATAATGCAGAGGAGGAGAAGAAGAAGGAGGAATTCTACAGACAACTTCAATCAACACTGGACAAGACACCGCCTCAGTTGGCGATATCAAAATTCTAATGGGCGACATGAATGCCAAACTGGGAGGGAACAAACACAGGAAGAGAACTAACCATGGGTAGAGAAGCGCTCGGTGAGATGATGAACGAGAATGGAGAATTGTTTGCAGAATTCTGTGCATTCAACGATTTGGTGATTGGAGGTGAGGCAGTGTGTTCAAGCACAAGGATATCCACAAAGCGAGCGACATGGAGTTGATTTCACCAGACAACAGGACACACTAAAAATCAAATCGACTTTATCTCAATCTCAAGAAAGTGGAGACGCAGTCTACTTGACACAAGGTCAAGAAGAGGAGCAGATGACCACTTCAAGAAGCTCTCGAATCGACCACCACCAACAACCCAGTCACAGAACTACAAGTGAACATAAATCCTCCAACAAAAGTGGAAGTCTTGAACGCCATAAAGCTACTGAAATGTGGGAAAGCAGCAGGACCAGATGGGATCTCGCCAGAAGCACAGAGACAACAGCGGACATGCTCACACCACACCACTATTGCAGAAGGTGTGGAAGGAAGAGAAGGTACCTGGCTAGTGATTGGAAGAAGGGTTACCTTGTCAAACCCCGAAGAAGGGGACCTGAGTGTTTACAAGAACTGGCGAGGAATCACTCTCCTGTCCACCCAGAGCAAGCAAAATATTAAGCCAAATCATCCTGGAGAGGCTAAAGCATGCGCTAGATTCAAAACTACGACCGGAACAGGCAGGCTTCATGAAGTACAAATCATGTGCGGACCAAATTGCAACACTTCGCATCATCATGAAACAGAGTATAGAATGGTAGTCAACTCTCTACCTCAACTTCATCGACTTTGAAAAGGCCTTCGACAGCATCGATCGAGAGGTAATTTGGAAACTCCAACAACAACAAACTCCAATCACCATCAACGGGAGAAACCTCCTTCATTCATGTAGGCAGCACTGTTTCAACTACAGGCGGCACAGACAAGGACGTTAAAGCCAGCCAGGATCGGAAAAGCAAGACAGACGTTCATTAGCCTGAAACCAGTGTGGAAACCTGCACACAACATGTGGGACAAGATCCGGATTTTCAACACCAACATCAGTCAAGTTAGTGCTTCTGTATGGTTCAGAGACTTCGCGCGTTACGAAAGGGATTTCCAATAAACTACAGACATTCATCAACAACCGCTTACGCTGGCTCGCTACTGAAGATGAGATGGCCAGAATAGTAAGAGTAGGTAACAAGGGGCTTTGGGAACGAACCAACCAAGAACCTATCACGCAACAAATATGCATTGGAAGGAAGTTGAGATGGATTGGGCATACACTGAGAAAGCCGACTAGGGACATCACGCGTCAGGCCAGGCCGTCGAGTGGAACCCTCACGGGAAGCGACGAGTTGGGCGTCCGAGGTGAGGGTGACATGGAGGAGATCGTGTGAGGAGGAAATGAGAGCTTGTGGTCTGTCGTGGAGCCAGGTTGAAAATATTTCAGAGAACAGAGGTCACTGGAGACGTGCTACTGAAGCCCTATGTTCCATTAGAAACCCAAGGGACTAATAATAATATGGAATTACATTCTACCACAGTGCCGAAGTTTTACACTTATACATGTATTCCTACCAACAAATAGTCGCTTGCTGGGTACATACTCTTGAAATAATGGTAATCTATTCACCAAGCACCCATCACGATAACTAATGATGGCTTACTAAGGATCGGTATATCATTAAGATTTACATCATTCATTACGTCAGTCAAAAGGTTCATGAAATGCGATTACTTCTAAGGTTATCACTCCCTTTCTGGTCAATTAGCAACTCGTCTGAGACTTTCTATGCCACTCTGATGTATAATAATTTTAAAAATTCACGAGTAGAGTTCCATCGGTTGAACTGAGTAGTGGATATTTGAATCTCCGAGTGACCACTAGTTTCTACAAGAATATGGATACACCTTGTTTTGATAGGCATGAACAATCCCGGAGTGTAGGTCAAACATTTTACTGAATACTAACTGACTGCTAAGTTTTAACACTATAAACAGGATAGTTTCCGGTGTGGATAATCTACCTTTTTGTCTAATTTTAGCTCCATTTAGATAATCTTAGATACTATGCATAACTTTTCTCTCTGCCACCTTATTTTAAGGTTATTTTGTTTGTTCATTTTTTAAAAATCTTAGATCCTGCTATGGATAATCAGTATATATTACCGTATATTGGTATAACTTCTTATATGGGTCAATATGATATACGTGCACATCCAGTCCTACCTACTGTCGTCAACACATCATCCACAAAGAGTTATACTTTCTCTTCTAATCGTCATTTCAATTCAAAATGGCTAATCATGAAATCACACTGTTACAATGTTTACCATGATCCGATTCCATTAGGCGAAGCAGATAAATTGAATGTGATTATGAGAAATTTAGAGAAACAAGTTAAACATATCCTAACTCAGTGGCCTGGTCAACCGAGTTTATTACGTGTAAGGCATACTTTCTTAAATTTAATGTTTTGAGTGATTTTTCATTCGGTGTTAAATCGATAAGAAAGCTGTTGGCATTCGTCAGTAAGCTGGCATACTTTATCTTCATTATAATTTATACTTGTTGTGGTAATCAAATTCTGTGCTATTGAATGCAGTGGATAAGATTATCTTCTGTCAACTTTGTCACAGCATTTGGTTTGTTGGGAGTAATGACAATCGATTCCGACAACGACTTCTAAACATGTAACACTGAATTTATGGCATTAGCCAACACATTATGAGGGAAACGACAAGACAGAGATAAACGAAGGATTGACATCTTGTACAGTAGTCATCTAATATGGTACTCCTTGCACTAAGATAGTCATTTGCATAATGTGCTTCATTTCCTCTTCTGCTTCTATCCTCCTTTTCTCTAAATACGCTCACATTGTTTCTTACGTTTCTCTGGGCAGAATCCTTACCCAATACTTGTAATTCCCTATGATTTCTTCCGCCCTATCAACATATACTACTTATATATCCAATCTTATTAGCAACACCCACTACTACTGTTCTCCTATGATATCTACTTTGGTAAATGATTCGAATACCACAAAAGTTGGGAGAACTGTTTAATAATCAATAGGTGTAAATATTTCTATGTTGTTCTCAGTTTAATATTCTATGCAAATAAAAACAATACATCAAAGTATCGCGTGTACTGCACAGCAGTCCGCTCTGTTCTACTGTATGGCTGTGAAACATGGCCATTGAAAGTGGAAGATATAAGAAGGCTGGAAGTGTTTGACCTCTGTTGCCTTCGTAGTATAGGACGTATTCCGTAGTGTCACCATGTGAGTAATGCAGAAGTCAGGTGTAGAGTTTTGGGGAGAAGAGGTAAGTCAGTTGACGAGGTTATGAACCTTCATCGACTGAGATCGTTGGGACACGTACTACGTATGCCCAGTCACCGATTGCCTTGTCACACAATGTTGGTTGAGGTGGGTCCAAACTGGAAAAAAGCTCGAGGTGGCCAGACTAAAACATGGGACGAATGTATTAAGTCTCTGACTGTTGGTTTAAGCCATGTAGGACGATGCAGACTAGGTGGTTGGGTCCACGGGACAGGAGGAACCAGTGGTTGGAGACTGTAGGTGATATGGCTCAGAACCGATGTCAGTGGCGCAGATGTATACACGCATTATCCTCATCCTAACAACGCTATACGAATCTCACCATTTTGTCTCTCCTCTTTCTTTTCTTCTCGTACTTTATATTTCTTTTGACTGCATTCTCTTATCTTCATCCTTCACCTCACTACCTTTCTACTTGATGAACTGACGTGAGGTGTGGCCAGTCGGACCGTTACGCAGTAATGCCTGGTCCTATGTTGATATTGATTGATTGATCGGTAGTGTCACTAGCCTTCACACAAAGAGTGTGGTTTATTTCACGAGTGTGCACGAGTTTGCTGAGTGGATTTCCACATATTTTACTGCAACAACGACTTTCGCCTGCATCTAAGTAGAAATTTTCATGTATTACACTAGAATATGTAATTCAGTTTACGGGATAAGGTTTGAACCAATAATTCCCTGTTTGAAGATTGAATGCTTAAATCACTCACTTATGAGTTCTCACTATCTTTATGCGAATCTTTGCATACCAATGTTTCTATACATTAGTTTAATGTACATCCTCAACTATTATATTTTACAGCTGTTGACCATTATTCACCGAATTGAATCATTCACTGTATCTGACCCATTGATTAAATTTGTAACAGGTATTGAAATGCTTTGGCAGGAGATGCAGGTTAGTTTTTGGTTGTTTTTATGCTACTTTTTTCGAAAAATATTCATGTGTATGTATTTGTTTTATGTGCTTGAAACTATTCGTCAACTATTTAATGTAAAATACAGGATGATAGGTCTTCTATCGAATTCCTGTTTTCACATACGTTGTCGACTGTTCGTAAAAGTGTCTGTTACGATGGCGAAACTAGGGGAACTTATTTGCTGACAGAATTATGAGGATAGTTGTCACTTCCCAGAGGTCACATCGTAGATGGTTACATCTGGTAGAGATAGCAAAAAAGAAAATAGGACTGCCTAAAGTGGTGCGTGATCAGAGAACTAAAAGGGATATCTGTTTCCGGTCGTTCGCATACGACCTTTTTCGAAGTTTCTGGCTTAGCTTTGAATGATTTGGATTCAGGTATCAAACGCATGTTTTCGGCTCTGAAGGACTGCAGAGCAGAGGGAGGTGCTATTTTTGGGACAGACCTTCTTTAATCCTTCCTTACCAAATATAAGGGAGCATCAGCATTGCACCCTTCATTATTCACGGAAGACACTTAATCAGTATCCTAACTCCGTCTAACTTCCATCATAAGGCAGCGATTTGTCCTATAATTACAACTACATTCTGTCTTACTAGTTCCTAGCAGATGTTCCCTGAGTCGTAGAACCTCAAGAAACGAATGTTCTTACCACCTTAGCTCGTAGGACGTTGTAGCGTGCTTATATAACCACGACATCAAGGTAGCTGTTATCGTTCAGACCACTTCTAGCCTACTACTTGTAGGCTGTGCAAATTAGGCATATTTTCTTTCATTGTTACCTTGGTTCTAAGTGTGAGCTGTTTGTCATCACTGATTTCATTTCTAGTTGCGTCATCTTGACTACCGGCATGATAACCTAATCGTATCATTCATCCTACTGGGATTATTATTCGCAAACATTTAATTAAGCCGTTTAGAATCATCTAGAAAAGGCCTTATTTGGTGTTTCAGATCAGCTGTTGATTTCTCCACTCTATTTTTCGTGATATCCCCTGACTTCTTAATTCTGTTAGAATGTGTTCCTTAACTTCTCCGATATATATATATATATATATATATATATATATATATATTTATGTGTAATGTAGCCTATTGGTTTATGTAAACCGAAGCAAGTATAAGTTCCTGAACAGTGAGCAGATAAACAAATTTATTAAGGTTGTGAATAATCAAATTTATGGAAAAGTACCTCACTAACCATCCGTCGCAAGTATGTTTATTAGCTAATTGCCTGGTTAAAATTAGTGTGAATATTCTTTTCAGTTGTGTACATATCATCTGCTTTGGTCTATGTGCTGACTCGCTTCATGCTTTGTCTTATATGGAAGCAAACGTCACATCTCTATTATTCACACTGGAAGAGAAACATTTGTTTTCCAGTCTGCAACAAACAAGTGTTTACACCATATAATCACATTGAAAGCTGTGCGTAGGAATTATCTATGCAATTTCGCCTAGCTTGTTTACAATATCCATGTTATAGCCGTTAGAATAGAAAGTGGATTCAATAGGTGTTTCTTGATTGTTGTGAGCAAGTCTTCACCTCGTCTAAAATAAGCATTTTCTAATATCCTTATTGACATTCATCATGTCTTAGACATTACTGACAGAATTGTATTACTTTTATTAGTCTTACCTTGGTTGTTTGTTTTGAGCTTATTGGTTTTGTTACTCTGTCTATGTAGTATCTTATTCGTGTGAAAATATTTTGATAAGAACTACACATTATCTATTAATTCTGTGGGTTATTTGTTGATATACTCAACTTCCAGCTATTGGGTCACTCGTTCAGACCCAACTCCATCTACCAAGGTCTGAACAACCAGGTGTTGTTCGCCCCTCCCACAATAAGTGTAGTTCATTGCCCTACTGCATAGACGTGCACTTGTTTGTTGGGTTCGTTTTTATTTTTGAATAAGCTTGTTTCATCTCTTATGAGAGTCATCAGTTTATTCTATCTTAATAATAAATTTCCCGCATATAAATTAAACTTTTGCCTAAAAATATTATCCTCTAAAGTAAAGTAACAATCGGCTATATTATTTTATTCAAGTTTGACTGGTCATCTGGTACAACACTGTTTATTTATTCAACTTGTATTATTAAATAATGAGTGCAGTATTATAATGATCTTAACCGTTTTACAGGAATGGGAACGTGATGCTGCTAAGTATGTTTCTTTGATGGAGTCGAGTAAAGAAGTGTGCAATCTTCTGGTTAATTGGCGGAAAATGGAGTTGAGGTAGGTTGACATATACTTCAGGTCATAAAAGTCATTTTCAGAGTTGATTTAATACTTTGTACATGATTCGCTATAGATCTAGACAATGCAGTTCACTCTTCATTCCATTTTCCTTCACATTTTTTCCAGTGATAGAGTTTGTATGATCGTTATAAATCTCGATCTTACTAACGTTTCGTCACATTGTTTCATAACTGTTGTGATAACTTGATATTACAATGTCTATGATTGAATTGTTTACTTGCCTATTTTTCAACTGTCCTTTCTGTCATCTAGCAGTTATTTATTAGAAATGTCAGTCATTTTGACGTTATTTTTGTTTGTTGGTGGCTAATTGTAGAATTTAGGACGCGCATTTCGTCTCATAAGTAACTTGTCAGATGGGTATATTTACATTCCAGTGAGTTGTATCCTCACTCAACACCGATCCCTTCGAACGCAAGAGCATTATGTACTTCCTTATAGAGTGATGAGTACCAGTATATTAACCGACGGGAAATAACTAGCATCAGTATGTAACAAAAGGTACTCGTCGCATAAGAGATAGCACCCATGATTTGGTAGGTTAGTGTATAGAGTAGTCTGAAAAGGTATTTGCTGGCCCCTGAGTGTCAGGAAGAATACTTTGACTCACTCGGACACTAGCTATTACAACCATCTGAAGAGTACCAAATAAAATGCACTGCGCGTTCTGCACTCCAGTTCTAAACATCACCAAGCTAATGAATTAGGAACGAAACATCCGTTCAAAAGTCCCTATATATCAATAGATACTGATCACTTCGATCAAGCATGAATATCAACGGTAAATTGCAAGCATCACTGAGTGAAGAAATAAAACTGTTCCTCAAAGTTGTTCATCGCAAGATTTGAGGCCAGTCACTAGTATTCAAAGTTCTTCACTCTGATAGAAAGCATAATCGTGTCGTTTAAAGGATAGGGATGTAGCATCTATGGATTGACTGTTTGATATGTTGCTTTAAGATGACTTATCTAAGCCTTTGTCTGCCAGTGACTGCTCCATTTCAATTATTTTCTATTCTGCACTATTATCATCATTATTCAAATAGGTCACCACAAACTATGTTTGCCCATCACATCTTTTAGGTTGATGAGCGTTCTTACGTAGTGAGCCAACAGTATCAAAGTATCAACTCAGTCAAGTCCGTATTGTAATGTATCATCAACCACACATCAAGACTGTATTTTTGCATGCACTGTCAATTATACATTTGTGATGGATTCCTTATTTGCTGCGTCCTCCAAAGGAAAGCACTCCTCCCTTGTACATTAATCCAGTTCTAAAATGACTAGTTTAAACTACTTGTATCTTTACTATTATGTTGTGTGCTGCTGATAAGAACGCATTTTCGTAGTCTGCATCTTCGACGTAAGTTACAATAGCAGATGATCGACAGAAAGATGTTGTTGACAGAGAGACAGGAGGAATCGAAAGAAACCATAAAGAGTGATAATCGTTACACAAAGCATATTTATCCCATTTATACCTACTGAAATTTCCTTTATAAATAATCTGTTACTGTGCTCATGGATATTGCTCTCATCAGTATCACTGTTATTCATTTTTGTCCTTCGCTTCTAGCTACTGGTTAGCAACACTCGACTCAGCAGAGATCCAGATAGGTAATCGTTGTTTGACATTATGGTTTCATTTGTATGATCTATTCTTACGTCCTGGGAGCTACCGCCAACAAATGAAATCCACTGATTCAGAAGGTAAACATCAGGTGAATAAGAAATCTTGTCCAAAAGACAATGGTGATTCTCATCTTGATGATTATATACAACTGGAAACTGATCGTCTTGATGCTTTAATTGAATTATTCGAGAAAGGACCTATCGGAGAGTTTACATCTCGTTGGAAACTGGTTGCTTCTATTTATTGTGCATTGAATGTGTGGCCTGGTTTAGGTGAACAAGGTTTGTAAAAGCAACATTTACTGCATTATATTTTTTTTAGCAATTTGCGGTACAAATGTAGCTAAAACGTATCTTATTGTTATGCATCACCCTGCCAGTGTGCATTTATTAGTCAAAGTTTAACAAACATGAAACACAAAGGAACTTCTGGTTATGTTTTTTTCTCTATAGTTATCAACAATATGTACTGTAGTAATGCTTTTCATTTAACAGCTACTCTTGTCGTCGCGATCCTTAGCATGGTCAGTGGTAGACTGAGTGAAGTTTGGCAGATTAATGCGCAGTTTTTGATGTATGATCGATCTTGTTGACATTACCTCATTTGTTTTTGGAAGACATAGTGCAAGTATATGGTAACACAACTCAACCCGGTACATGTTTATGTACTAGACTACGATGCACACTTATTGTTTGAGGGCTTATAATACTACACTGTTGTTCAGGTCGAGCTGATTTTGAACCGGAAACCCAATATTCGAAAGTTATGGGACTTCAAGGAAACCCATTTGCCCTCATGGATTCGAACCTGGATCACTTGTTGCTTCGGTTAGAGACACTAGCACTGAGTTACTTGAGCCGCCTTTACTACAATCGCATCAGGCATAGTATTTGTCGAATACATTATACCACTATAAGAAGCAACTGTTTTAGCGCGAACAGTCAAGTATACTAAGCAGTCTGTCAATTTAAGGCTTCAGTTCTATAACACAAAACATTATAGGCGGTTTTTTGTATAGATTTCCGCTTCAACCACTTTTTTCAGTCATATTCACGCTCATCTGTTTTATTTATCCTACTTTCTTACTTTTTCTGACATTGACAGAGCGGCTATCGTCTAAACGTGTGGTTGGCAATGCAGTATGGTTTTATGCACAGTTTTTACCGTACGTAACAGATGAATTGAATAATCTGCGAAAACCGATTGAAAAAGAGATGAAGGTTAGGGGATTCATTTTTCGATTATTTATGCAAGTTATCCGCTTTATTACTTTGAGTAAAACGAGAAAATTGGACAAGAATGATGTAATACTACTTTATTTCAGGGAATGGCATCAACTTTTTAAAAAATATGTGAGATAAACTGGAATGAAAATCGGTGTATTTCTGTGACTGAGATTAGTCTGCACTGAAAACTAATTCAAAATCAATCCCCCTTCCCTCGTCTCCATGAACATCCCAGTTGAGTTACATTTCAGTGTTTATGAGTGAATTACTTCGAGATGGATTGCTGCAGATTTTGTTTTGTTGTTATGAGCTAAGGGGTCACTCAAGCCGGAGGTGAGCATGAGTGGTGATCACATCGTCCACTGTGAGTTAACGAAAGTAAAATGTTGGCCGTTGGATTCGAATCCATTGGTTGAATGCGTTAACATATTTCACTTGACAAAACAATCCTGTGCAAAAATCGTCGAGCTTTGGCTCATTAGTTTCAGGAGATAACTTTCAACGGATGGGCCACTGGTTTGAGCCCCCTTTTGTTTGCCGAGGTTTAGGCAGACCAGTAGTATCACTGACCCTCACACAGTAGATGTGGTTAGTTCCCTACCGCACAAATGTGTACAAGGTTGCTGAGTGCATCTCGATTCGACCAAAACTCATAATACATTGACCACAGAACTGATAATTTTCGAAGCTTTGTAAGAATAAAAAGAAGTTGAAGAACGAGTCATCAAGATCAACATAGGACCAGGTATTACTAAGTAACGGTTTGAGTTGCCTCAGCTCATATCAGTACATCAAATAAAAAGACAATAAAAATAGAAGATGAAGATGGAAAGAAAAGTCAGTCAAAGGAAGTAGAAGTAGAAAGCAGTAAAAGAGGAGAAGAAAGAATGCAAAGATAATGAGATTAAATGTAGCAGTTAATGTTGATGATAATGGGTGTATGCATCTGCGCCACTAAAATCGGTTCGCAGCCATATCACCCGGTCTCCAACCACTGGTTTCTCTTGTCCCGCGGACCCAAACCGGCTAGGTCTGCATCGCCCTACATGGCTGAAGCCAACAGTCAAAGACTTCATGCATTGATGCCATGTTTTTGTCTGGTCGCCCCGATCCTTTTTCCAGTCTGAACCTACTTCAGCGACGAGGCAGACGGTAGCTATGCAAACGTAACACATGCCCCAGACATATCAGTCTATGAAGATTCACAACCTCATCAACTTACTTACCTCTCCTGCCTAGAACTCTACGTCTGACTTCTTGCGTTACTCGCACAGTGACACCATGAAACACGGCCATGCTACGTAGGCAACAGTGGTCAAACACCAGATGCCTTCTCTTGTCTTCTACCTCTAATGAGGACTTTTCACAGCCGTGGAGTAGAACAGGGTGGACTGCAGCACAGTACACGCGACCCTTAATAGGCAAACGGGTATCACGGCGGTGCCACAGGTGGCGTAAGTTGGCGAAAGCCAACCGAGCCTTTTGTATTCGTGCAGAGATTTCATCTACCTCTGAGCCCTTCACCAGGGCTGGTCCAACTTCCCAGGCAAGTGCAGTGTACAACGCACTCAATCACTTCAGTCTCTATTATTAGTTGGGGTGCCGTCGAAAGCCAGTCCTGGAGCAACAGTTTGCATTTATGTGGCTAGAAACGCATCCCAAACATTCTCAGATTACCGCTCAAGGTGTCCAGAAGACTCACTATCTTGAACAACGAGCATGGATATATTTTTCCCTCTTTAATAATTGGAAAACCTGTTATGGAAGGGGATTGCATTGAACTCTGACCTCAGTGGCTAAATGGTTATCGCGTTCACCACGGGTTCTGAAAATCCTGGGTTCGATTTGTGGCGTGGTCATGAGTGCGTACTGTACACACTAGGACAAAAAGCTGTTCAATGCTCACAAGTTTTCAATGGTTCTCCAACTAATGTCAGTTCGTGATGAATAATACCCTAATATTGTCACCCCTTTCCCCGAGATAATTTCATGAGCTCATTACTTGGATGAGGTAATCCATTTTAAACTGACGGTTCACAGGTTTGAACTATAGTCTATCTACCGAGTCTAAGGCAGTTTGCCTGGTACGTGAGATTGCTTCGGATTTCCGATTTGTTTAGTTTTTCATAAAAAAGGGGGCATTATATTAGTGTGTAGTTTTTTTTAGGCTGATCTGTTGATGGTTTTATCATTTTCACTGGCTTGATTCATTCGAGGCATAAGTTTTGTGTATCTGAACAAATGAAACAGTTGGTGTGTCCTGGATGATTTTTCATCAATCTTGATATTGAATGATCTGCTAATCATATGGACAGAATTGTGCCTCATGTGTCGTTTTGTACTTGAATAGACTAGCTGGTCTTTAGTTCTTCAGACTTACCACAATTGTTTTTGTCTGAATGTTGCGATGCTTTACAAATGAAACTGACTTGTTAGTTATTTGCCCATATAGATTTTTCGGGCATGCATAAACTGTATGGCTTTTCAAGTTATTCTCAGTGTGTTGTTTGAAACCTGTTGTACATTTCACTCTAGATATTTGAATAAAAATGTCTGTTAGTACCTCCATAGGTATGACTTTAAAACCTGAGATATTGTTTTTCGCCTATCTTTTTTCGAGCACTTCTTATTCTACCCATCTTTTTTTCTGTCTTCTCTTCTAGGGTATTGTAAATATCACCAAATGGGGACATTATTCTCGTTTTTGGTCCGTTAAAACATCAGTTGATCGTTGTAAAAAGTTGATTCACAAGCACGTGAGTTAATATGTATATACTTCCTTGTATGTACTTCATTATAATTACGTTTGTCGTTCGATCACTGTAATAATTTCCATAGTTATTGGTGATAATGCATTTTTGTTCTCTGATTAATTCATACCCCCTTTATCCTTGTCTACTACTTTGAAATATAAAAATAAGCTCCCGGATGATATATTCATCTTCTTACTTCAACCTGGCAGGTCTTAGGTAGCTGCAACTAACCATTCTCGTTATTTTTTTGTGTTGGTTATAATGTGTCTTTAGACATTTAATTATTTTCAGTTGAAAATAATGAAGTCTACAGAGATTATTTTTGAAAATTTACTTCTGGTACTAAGTAACATTTACTGTTACACAATGGAGACTTGTGTCTTTCATATTGTAAAGTGTATTCACACTCCACATGTCTGACTTCCTGGCATCTACTCTGAATTTCAGTCAAATAAGTTAGTACAATTGGGAAAGAACCGATTGTTCAAACAAATTTGCTCAACAGGTGTCAGCAATAATCGACAATAAGTCTATTCGATTCATGCTACCCAACTTCTTCATCTTGCCTTAAAGTATATTGTTCATTTATTGTCGCAAAACTCCCAACACACCTACCTAATCTTGTTTTTGTCATACTTAAACCTTTAGTTTTGAAGTTTTCTTCTATTGACGTTAGTTATTGAAGTGTACTAATCACCTGTTTCTATTTTTGGACATTGTTGTTTTAAATTGGATTTTTTAGGTGAAAAATTGGGAATCTATTCTTCAACAACCGGTGCGACCAATATTTGAAAGTGTGATCAAAATTCCTAATTATCTAGAACCGAATACTGATAACAACGATAATCATATCTGTTCTAGTGCATGGATAAAATTAAACATGTCAGAGATTTCAAGTGTATTGAATCAGTGTTCAATTAGAAAATCATATCAATACCTACAACAATTATATTGCAGACCAAATGAAGGCATGAATGATCTCCCTTCACATCTCATGTATGTATACTCAATTTTATGGGTGTATACTTGTATATTCTTTTACTCTATTTCGCTACTTGAAAATAGTTCTCATCCAGTATTAAGGTCATTTGATGAATTGTCATTTTGTTTATAGTATCCTCCCCATTAGACTTAAATATGTTTATAGATTCAATGTTGTGGGATGTTAAAGATGTAAATTCTACTGAAATGCCTTGAGCTACAGCTAACTGGATGCTTCAGTTGTTAGTGTTTCTTCTTTTTTTTTATGAACACCGCCTACACCCAATGTTTAAATGTTAAGCATACAGAAAATTAGCAGAGAAGTGGTTTTTCACTTGTTATTTTGTTCACTGTAAATTATCAATCGGTTTAATCTAAGTTTTATTCTTGCTAACACTCATGAACAAACCATACCATGAAATCTAGAGGCAATTCATAATACACTATTGAAGATTTGGATCAGCATTATCCAGTTTCCAAGTCAGAGACTTGAACATCTAGCTATTCTGGCTGACCCAAATACCCTCTGTAACTGCAGCAGTGGGTGAGGTGGGGTGGGGTAGCTTCGAACCTCAGATGGGATATCACTTTCGTTCAGGTTGCAGATACCCCTTGCTGACCAGTACTAAAAGGCACAAAACCCTAGGTCCAAGGCTCATCTCATTGTATCGCGATGGTGAGTGGGCACATTGTGCAATGATCCATGGAATTCAATCAGCTTTTACGACTAGACAACACATAGTTGTTTATTCCGCTATGAGTGATTCATCAATGTACATACCTAGGTAGTTAGTATGAGTGAAAACAAAAAGTAGTGTATTTCATATGACAACTATTTACAATTTCCGGTCGTTAAAGTAAAACTTTATCTTTTAAAAAGCTTCATTTTGTGGTTTACTCGCACAGTTTTAAATCAATTACTCGTAGTTTTATTGGTCATGAAGTTTGTGAATACACTATCGAAGTTGCAATTGATCAACTCCTAAACGGCATACATATTTTAGAATTGTTAAAAAATTTACTAACGGTGGAGATATTTATCATAGGTTTAAATCCCGCTCCACCTCGAATCGTAAAAAAGACAACAAGCTACATCTATTGTGTAAGAGGGCTAATAATACTGCTTGACTGCACAGACCGTGGTAGGTGGATTAGAGTTCAAACCTTTGACTCATAGGCTGAAAGTTAAGTGCCTAGACCAGTAAACCATGACTCTACTATGTGATCCATTGCCAAGTGCACGAATGTGCACGTGTTTACTGAGTCCATTTCGTTTTTAAATGTCCTTGATCATTACTGTTGTTGAACATTTCTTCTTTATGTGTATCATATAATGACTTTATATTTATTTTCTCATTCGACTAACAGACGCTTACCATCGTTAACTAAAAAACTTCAGAAACATCTATTCACAATTGTACATCACTCACCAATACTTCAATGGATCAAACATATTCGGTCAGGTATTCATATGTGGATGACACTTGTCCAAGATTTGAGTAAACAAACTGAACATTTGAATTCCTCTTGTCCATCTGCTAATCAGTTGACCAAATTCAATAAACAAAAAGCATATTCTAAATTGAAATCACATAAACATAGTAGTGGTGATGGTGGTGATGATGATGAGGAAGAGGAAGAATTGAAAAAAACACGCAAATGGCACCAGGAATTCACAGCACTTCAACAAAGAAAGCGTTTAGCATTATCCGATTGGTTGAAAATTGCAACAAAGAAAAGTTCAAGCAATGATCAGTAGGTTTTTGTATCCCTCCGCATATACTGGATTACTTAAGGTGTATTTTTTTATTCATTCGAAATATAAATGCTTCATAGGATTTCGGATTTACGACTCCTCTGGCAAACAGACAGGCGACTTGATGTAGAATCCGATCAAGGAGTACATCAGTTCAAGCTGCTAGACATCAAATGAGAGTAAAAAAAATAAATTAAGGTGTATGAGAATAAGATGAAATAAACAAATAAATTATGAACTAGAGAACTTACGAGAAATCCTAATCAAAAAGGGATCCCCATTGAAATTTATAAATAAGAATCTAAAACCGAAAAACGCCATCGAACGCATGCATACTGATCCGAACAAGACTTAACTGTTGAACCTCGAATTCAAGAGGGATAATGCGGCAGATATATTCAGAAAACGACTATCAAGGTCGATTAACAGAGCATTCTCACCCCCTTCCCCAATCCTGTCAGAAACTCGTCGGTACGCAAAACATAAACCAGAGCATTAAGCCACATCAGTGTGTGTATATCAGTCTACTTACTTTTGTGGAGCCGAGTGCATCGACCTTACCATGAACCAGCTTTTGCACCCCCCTCTCAAACACTATCCAACTTGACTGACTAAAGGGGAACAGAAATGCATCCTCAGTTCTGTAACAGAACACTTAATAAACTCAGGACATTTCGATAAGTTCTTCCAAATTTTGTACGGAGTAAGATCAAGCTATTCGAAAGGAGTAAGTGTAAGACACCTGAGCATAGCTGAAGCATTAGCGACTCAAAATTCCAAACCATCATTATGAATTCAAAAGAAGTATGTACAATCTCTTTCTTTGCCATGGCCGTCATAGATTATCGATCACCCTAAATAAACCACATACGACGTAACTATTTTTATTTCGTAATCATTTTGTTTATTTCCCTGTTACGTGACTTCCCTTTGTGATACAATTTATATTGATCTTTGACCAGAACTTACTCTGGAATGTTGTATCTTTTTTACTATTTATTCACAAATGTACAGCTGAGAGAATGATTTTATCGAAAAAAAGTTTCTCTTCGTGTGTTTTCATATGTTCAAATGGGAATGTTTTGATAAATGAAGACTTCGAAGATGACAAAGAGTATATACACATCCAATTATTGGTTTCTATGTTCCTGAGAACTCTAGTCAGGCAACCAACATTTTCATGGATGTGTCAAACAAGCAGTTCGCGACTTCATGGATTGATGCTGCTTCTCGGTCTAGTCACTCTTAGCTTTCGTCCTACTTGTATTAAGTTAGCCAGTGGCATGCGATTTCTGTATATCTTAAGCGAAATATCAGTTTTGTTTTTTAAATTTATGCTGAATTAAGAAGGTTGATTTCAGCTGTAATTTTTGAGGATTAATTGGTCATTTGCTTATCTGCTTATCATGTTCTTAATATTTTCTCTTGCATAAAGTTGACGGTGTACTCTGCTCGCGCGGCAGGTGTGATTTTAACATGAAAACCAGTTTGATTGAAAGGGTTCTAGGGATGAGATATGTTAGACAGAGGAGAAGCGAGGCATTATGATGCGAAGTTGTGAGGACGGACGAAATTACTTAACACTTGGTAGTCAAGGGTTGAAACGATTCAACTCGAGTGATTTGGAAAGAGAAATCAAAAGACTGGAAATCAGATGAGTTCATAGTATCTCGAACTCAAAACGTTTATGAGTGAAAATGGACCCTATTTATAGAGTTTACAGTAACCATGAGAGTCAAGGAATAATTAGTACATCTAAAGAGGCAGGAGCCAATCATAACGCTAGCGGGCCATACAAAATATGACTCATGCGCGGGAAAAGGAGCGCGAAGAAAACCAGCTCAAATATAACCTAACTGTAAGTGTGAAATACAAGGGATTTAGGCATCCCTAACACAAAGGAATACCTGGAAATTTCTTGAGACTTGGGCCTCAAGTCAGTGAAGATTCAACATTTATATCGACAATACTCAACCTATGAACCAATAAGGAAAAATAATAAACAGGTAAACCAGTCAGGTGTCAAACAGTAAATGACCAATAGAAACGTCTCTGCCTCCGATGAATAATCAAATGCCACTTCATAATAACAGACTTCTTAACTACTCCCAGATAAAATCTTCATATATCATTTCGTATTGATATGAATGCTGATGTTGTCTACATAGACAAAACAAAGTTGGTAATTCAACTATCCAATCACCAATTTTTTCTAATATTCGCACAGAAATCGGTTTTACCGATGACTTGACATACGAAAAGGCAAAGAACATATTTCTAATTTGGACCTTGTCTAGGATAGTCGTGTTAATAAATTAAAAACTAACTTATCATTGCATACACTTATTTTTCTCCTCAACTCTGATGCAAGAATTTAAACAAAGTGAAAATGCTAGAATTTTCGGGGAGAAATTGATATTATGTTGTCGCTTGTGGTTATCATGACTCGGTGGCCTAGTGGATAATGCTATGGTGTTGGAAGCCATCAGTTCCGGGTTTGAGCTTTAGTGGGAATACCATTGCTCACTGGGAGACAAGTACATCCAGATAACGAGTCTTGAGGAGGATGAAATACGCTGCTAGCTACTACCTATCATTAACAGAGTAGCGATATCATTTGTAGTTTCCATTATCTATAAACTATTTGACATTTTATTAGCTAATAAATTAACCGTAAGCAGAATTTCACAAACATCTGGAATGGATGTTGTAGCTTTATTTTTCGAATCGGCATCGAACACTTACAATAGGAATGAATATTGACCAATAAAGACTTCCTTTTAACCTCAGTGTTCAACTGTTTTCAGTCTCTTCTACATTTTCGATGAATCTGCTAAATTATTTCAAGTTTGTTCATGCAATATGTCATTTAATCTTCACTGTAGACTGTTGTTGCCTTTAGTGTGTGTGCCCTTACTCACCAACAGATTGAAGCCTAATTATCTGGATAAAAGAGACTGTTCTTTGTGATGTTAGATGGTGCAATTCATCTGTGGCACTGCCTGCCGAGATATCCGATTATCTAACAAAGGACGAGTATACCACTTTGCACTCCGTTATTCTTGTTCTACGGCTGTGAGACATAGTCGTTAAAAGTAGAAGACATGAAGTGTTTACAGGGTTTTGACCGTAGGTATCTTCGCGGGGTTGATCGCGTTTCGTGGAATCATCGCGTGAGCGATGTTGAAGCCAGGCGAAGGGTACTAAGCAATTTGATAGGTAAGGTCGGGGACGTTCACCGGCTGAGGTAGCTTGAACGTGTGTTATGAATGCCGAGCCACCACGTACCTCGATGGACCATTGTAGGACATGTTGCGTTAGGTCGGAAGAGGGTTAAGGATGGCCAGACCGAGAGGTGGCACCAGTCCATGAAGTCCCTGATTGTTGACTTGACCGGTGTAGGGATGGAGGTGTAGACTACTTGGCTGAGGTCTCCAAGACGACAGAAAGCTGTGGTTGAGCACTCCTGGTGAAATGGCATGGCTGAAAATTGACCACAGTGGTTCAGATGTACTCACTCTGTGACGTCTTCGAAAGCTTGAATATTCGCAGTGATTGTTATCTTCAAATTATTTAATCTGTCATACAGCTCTTTCTTCACTAACATCACTTTTTCTATTCACCTGTTCTTTGGGTGCTACTTTGAAGTGTAGCAACTTGTACCGATGCACTTGTGTATAAGGTTCTGCGCTGATTCTGTCTGTTTATCTGTCTGATGAAATTCAATCAGCAAGAGCCTATTGATATCAAGATTTTGTACTTGCTTACACTCAGACAAGGTGTATCTGCGGACATGGAAAAGCTTGATAACACTTCCGACATCTGATCGATCAATCTGAAAAAAGTGTGAATTCACTTTTCAACCTTATTTGATTTAGTCTGGGTTACAGAGAAACCCTTCTCAGTAAGTGGATGCATTTATCATTGCATTGTGTATGTTTGTTCGTTTCTGTCTTTCTGACTAGGAGTTAGATAATTTAAGTGTTACATAGCATGCTAAACATAACTGCTTTGATTCTTTCGACGTTTCTTAGTCATGGAAATGGCACTTATCTGACTGTTGAATTGACACCAATCACCTGAACTATATGTTTCACCATTCATACTCATCAAGTGGTGTCCGTCAAGGATGCCCACTATCCCCATTCTTATTTAATTTTATCATAGATATTCTTATGGAGGTTTCCCTCTCGTCACCTAATTACTCACACGTTGACCCAATCACAGGTGAATTTTCCTTAGATCCAGAATATGCAGATGACATAGTCCTGTTAGGTGAAGAGGCTGACAGGATGCAGAGTCTTCTGAACACTTTGAGTGGGAATTTGAGAATGTTTGGGATGCGATTTTCACCACCCAAATGGAAATTTTTGCTCCAGGACTGGTCTTCAGCGGTGCCCCACCGCGGCTAACAATAGAGAGTGAAGTGGTTGAGTGTGTTGACCACTTCACTTACCTGGGAAGTAGGATCAACTCCGGTGGGTTAGTTGCCGGTGAGATTTCGGCACGGATACAAAAGGCTCGATTGGCTTTTGCCAATTTGCGCCACCTATGGCGCCGCCGTGTTATCCGTTTGTCTATTAAGTGTCGCGTGTACTGCACAGCGGTCCGCTCTGTTCTACTGTATGGCTGTGAAACATGGCCATTGAAAGTGGAAGACATGAGAAGGTTACAGGTATTTGACCACTGTTGCCTTCGTAGTATAGGACGTATTCCGTGGTGTCACCATATGAGTAATGCAGAAGTTAGGTGTAGAGTTTTAGGGAGAAGAGGTAAGTCAGCCGACGAGGTTATGAACCTTCATCGACTGAGATGGTTGGGACACGTACTACGTATGCCCAGTCACCGATTGCCTTGTCACACAATGTTGGCTGAGGTGGGTTCAGGCTGGAAAAAGGCTCGAGGTGGCCAGACTAAAACATGGCACCAATGTATGAAGTCTCTGACTGTTGGTCTAAGCCATGTAGGACGATGCAGACTAGGTGGTTGGGGTCCACGGGACAAGAGGAACCAGTGGTTGGAGACCCTAGGTGATATGGCTCAGAACCGAAGTCAGTGGCGCAGATGTATACACACATTATCCTCATCTTAACAACGCTATACCGAATCTCACTATTTTGTCACTCCTCTTTCCTTTCTTCTCGTACTTTATATTTCTTTTGACTGCATTCACTTATCTTCATCCTTCACCTCACTACCTTTTACTTGATGTGCTGATATGAGGTGTGGCAACTCGGACCGTTACGCAGTAATGCCTGATCCTATGTTGATAATGATGATGATGATGATGATATGTTTCACCATTTGGATCAGTTTTTTTCAGCTACAAGCGGCTACTATTCCAATATCCAATTTATTTAGTTGGATAACGAGGACTGGTTATCGTGGATTTTAGTTGTTTATTTACTTTTCTTGTGTGTTTTAGGTCTACTCTTACATTAGTACTTTTGTTTAACGCATAGATCCTACTCTGAAAATAATTATTTCCCTTCAACAGATCGCATGATATTTTTGACTATGAATTCAGTGCCCCATTCGATTCTGATGAAGTAATGAATAACAACAATGAATGTTCTGAGGCTAAGATCCATACAGATGACCAGTTTTTCGAGACATTACAATTACCTAATCTTGGTTTGTCATATCGTAGAGGTCAACGTCAAACACAAACAGGACATATGAGCCGTTTTCTGGTCCAATTGCATGGTGATCCATGGAGTTATGTTTGTCAGTATATTGGTCATTTTAATGTAGATGACAAGTAAGTTTTTTTCTGTTTTCCGGAATTTTCAGTTTTTTAAGACAGCACATCCATTCTTCAAATTATAGTGGATTGAATTGCATATGAAACGACGAAAATGAAATGCCTGACTTTCTATATCTCGGTGGGTAGAACCGAGTTTGAACCCGTAACTCATCAGTGGTTGAAAATGAAGATCCTAGACCAGTGGCTATAACTCCAATTGAATATATCATATATAATCGGTTGCATGAACAAGTGGAATTCAGTGGTCCATAGTTTCCTACCTCTGTCATCTTAGGTCTTGGCATCCGCTTCACTTCTGATTGGCTGACCCCACAGGTCACGGTTTCTCATTAGAACTTCGAAACATCCTTCTCGAAGTATGTATAATGCTCATTAGTGACATGCAATAAAATAAAGGTATTCATACTTTTAGTCAAAGGTTATGGAGTTATTAATCTACTGATTACGAGAGCAATAATAAATTGTCTCCTTTTGTATACATAATTCCAGTTGAACTCATTTCCTATAGGAAAGCTGTTGCACTGTTTAATTAGATTGAAGCTATTGTACTCATTGACTCCTGGACATGTAATTAACAATTCCAGTAGAGAACCATCTTTCTGTACCTGCCGAAGTAAGTGAATAAGAAAGGAGAGAGAAAGAGAGGGAGAGAGAGAGAAATTGTCTAACTCTGGTATATTTCCTCTTAATGGATGACACGATTTATTGCCAAATTGCTTCAGTGCTAGGCTTAAAAAATATTCTGGACTTGCTTACCAGTTTGCACATTCAAGTGTTTCGAATTTGCTGATGTCTTAATATTCTACTTTTTCCTAATAACTTTTTATAAAACATGGATAATTTGACAACGTTTTGGTGTTTGACTTTTGTTGCCTTCATACTACCATTTGTGGGCATATCACGCTAAACAGAATGTTAACTTTCTCGCACTCATACTGGCAACCATAGGGCGTAGGAATCAACAAGGAAAAAGTATGATCTTTCTGTCGTTATATTTCCAGGTGCTATTTCGTTCTCTAATTTTATTCATATGAATACGTGTTCACGTGAAAGGGAGAGAGAGAAGTTCATTATTCCTGCTAACTGTGTTACATACTGCTAAAACGGTTTTTTCTTTCTTGTTTGATTACAGTCCAGATTCCGATGAATTTTTCATTCATTCTGTATGTAACCGTCTGTCACGATTAATCGCTCTACGTGCCAGTCTACCACGTGTTCCTGGCCCATCAGATGGAGATGCTGATACAAGTGCTTCAATACTAGCTGAACTTGGAGGTCCAAACAATTTATCTCGATTAGTTGGTATCATGGACGACTTGTTGAATCAGTGTTCGGTAGAATTCAAGGTTTGCAGTGAGTTCACCAGTATATGTAGAAAAATGAATCAATTAGTTGGCGAATATGCTATTAGTTTAAATGTTTACAACTCGAAAGATGAAGTTGATGAAATTAATAAGCAGCTTGTTTGGTGTACAAATTATTCATCTGATCCCGATAGGATAAAACGAATTCGAGTGAGTGTTTCCTGCAAGTTGATTACTTACAATTTATGTTATTACGTGTTAAAAAAGCCTATTTCAATATGTATATTGTTGACTGTATCTTGTTAAAATCGTGTCAGCTGCATTTACCTACCTCTCATTGGATGGCGTTATCACCACGTAGACTCAAACACAGCACTCGCGGCTTCAAATCTCAGAGGGTTATCCACTACTCTACTATGTTATGATGGTCACTCTTTATACGACTAGTGTACTTTGACGTTATATTGTACTGTGTCTCATCGTTGGTTGGAACTAATTATGTGGACTGTTTTGAATATCTTGGGACAACCTAATTAGGAGTCATCAAGAAAATTCTACTTTAACGAAGCACGACTCATCAAGTAGATATGTAAGTCAACCTTGTCTTGAATACAGGTAGCATACGTAAATGTGATTCTGATTGACCCAGATTAAAATCCTTCAAGGATGTTGGAGACAGTTTTCACTGAGTATGAGTGCCAGGGATGAGGAACCGTAAAATATTTCGCTAGTTATGCGACCTGCACTGAAGTGTAACGAATTTTCTTGGTATGTTTTTTAATCATTTGGTTCAGTGAACACATGTCAGATCCCTTGATAAGTCGACTTTGATCAGTCGTTTAAGAAATCGTACGCTGTATTCCAGACAAAACAAAAGGAATGATAGTAAAATTCTGGAAAATTCATACATTACACTCATTCTAATTTCTTCACTGTACATTAGAGTAATTGATTACTTATCTTTTTGACTGAGATAGTAAATCTAGTTATTTGAATGTGTGTCCCAAATCTTTCGCAAAATAAAATCATTGTAAAGTCTATTTCATTTTATCAAACCTGCTCAGTCTGAACCGGCTTTGAGATGCGAAGTTAGTAAACCAGAGTGTAGCAGTAGTTTGTATCTGACTGTTTGCATTGAGTTATGATTGGTCGACTAGCCTAATTCAGGTCCGTAAAATCTGAGCAACAAATCTATAGGGTTTTTTTTCTCCTACCAAAAGTATATGCGTTAAGATATTTGCCACGACCCTCTGTCACGGTTTTTCCCCACAAACTAGACAGATACATATGCACATAAATTATTAATTCAAAATCGTTTTCGAAAACTAAGTATAGACGAATGTTTCACGTCACTGTTCTACTTCGTTTTTTTTCATATTTTACTAATATTTTGGGACTTACTAGCTCAGAGTTGAAAGCATTTGGCTGATTGCCAACCAGTTGATCCACTGGTTCAACTCTTTTACCACCTCATAAAGTACAGCTTATAGTCGTACTAAATTTCATGTTTTGCCAAGCTGTATTTCTTTGATCTTAACGGTATTACTAGGTATCAACTCAGAATTTGGATCAAATTATCAGGGAGCATATCTATCAATGGAGTGTTTTCTGGACAGTATTTCAAAAGCAGACAACGGATGAACCATTTGAACTATCTCAACTGTCTAATCTTTTTGGTACAGAAGCATGGACCTGGTTAACAGCTAATCCTAAAACTCTGTTATCCTTATCTACTGAGAATCCCAACCAGCTGAGAACTATAACTGAATCGCATTTAAATCCTTTAAAACTGGCTATGCACCAAGTGTTGAAACGTACTTCACAACTGCTTACATTGAATACATTTCTATGGAATGATGCCATACATTTATATTGCAAAGAATTATGTAGCTCATTGGAACGTTTACAGGCCATTTTGGCTGCTTTAATTGATTCATACAAACAGATGCATTGTTCCGGGTTATTCGCTTCTGTATTTCACCATCTACAACAGCAGATTACAGTTGAGTCGGACAGAATTCATTCTGAACTACAAGTCTTATGCTTTACGACCAGTGTTGAAGATGATGTTCATATGTTAGACACGACAACCATTACTGCGAATAATGATATGGGCAGTATGGTGGTGATGATCGGGAGATCAGAAAAACAATTTGAACAACTCGCTAATCGAACTATTCATTCTATGCTAAAAGCTGTTGAAATTATTCACATTTCAGACCAAACTGTCAGTGATTTAGATCAGATTAGTTTGCTGAATCACTTTTCGAAAATGCTTTCAGAATTGATGATATGCACATTACCGCAGGTAAACAGATGTTTGACGAGCTTGCGCTCCATGTTACAACAGTCATCGTCGGTTGTAGAAAATGCTAACGTTAACAGTAAAAGTATTTTTCACTCAAGGCTAATGATAGTTCGATGTATATATCCCTTAATGGATGGACTGTCGAAGGCGTTGTGTACACGTTGTATTCAATTTTGGAGTTTACTGGACGCCTGGTTTAAACTGGGCGAGTTTGCAATGCAGATAACTGGACGTTTAATCACCGAGGGATTCTGTCGTCCTGCCAATTTGCCTAGAGATAAAAATAGTCAAGCAGCAGATGGCACCGGTGCAACAAGTGGTACGTCAGACAATGGAGTAGATGATCAGTTGGATACGGGTGATGCTTCGTCAGGTGGTACAAGCCTGACATCGAATACTGGTGATACCACCGGTGCAAAAGATGTTAGCAATGAGTTAGAATGTCAAGAACAGATTGAAGGTTTGTTGAATGACAGCAAACAGGAGAATAATGATCCAGGTAAAAAGGAAAGAGATGATACCGATGGTATTGAAATGCCAGATGATGATTTTAAAGGACATTATGATGATCCGGAAATGGAAAATTGTAATGCAGATGATGACATCACAGACCAGTTGGACCAAGAGAATTTTGACGATAAAATGGGTGAAACTGACGGATCCAATGAAGACCTTGCTAACGAAATGTGGGCATCTGATAACGATGATGATAATGAAGTGAAGGATGATGCTGATTCTGGCAATGACAAAGCCAAGTCGAATGGAGTTGAAAATGATAAGTCCGGAACAGAAAAGGAGGTGAACAGAATACTGACAATGTTCAGAAGCAAGAAAAGCAGAATCCAGAACCTAAGGAGGAAAAGGATGCTGCTGATCCTTGTGACAAGACTGATAGCTCATCTCAACGTAAAAATCCTAAACGCCCACAAAACACCTCTGGTAATCGAACTACTGTAGCGAATGAAGACTGTATGGAAAATGAGTCTGACCAACCTGAAGGGTCTGAAGCAACATCGCCAACGAAACAGAATGATGATGACGATGAACATGGTCTGCCAACTGATTGTGATTCTGAATATGTTGATAATACAGAAGAGGTACCGGAACGCGATGTTGACGATTTACCTGCTGATCTATTCGACAATCAAATGGACATTGATAATGATAAAGGCGGAGAAGAAGTTGGTAAGTTCCAAACGTATGATAAAATATATTGTAAATACTCCTGCTTTGGGGTTTGTTATATATATGTACAAATCATGCAACTTAACCCGGTACAGTTGTAAATGAAGTAAGCAATAAGCCGCTGTTATTCTTTATTGGCTTATGACAATTCCTGCTTACGCAGGTTGAATTAGATGGAGCGGGGTTTGAACCCGTAGTCTCAAATGGAAGTCTTTTCAATCGACTAGGATTTTATAAAGCTCTGATTCCATGTAACTAACGATAGAACAGTGACTTCTCAACACGATACTCAGCTGACACCAACAGGAAAAGACGATGAGATTGAACGTATATTTACTTCAACTGAATAGTACGATTATAGCTAGAAGTTCAGTCGTTTCTATACTTTTCTAAGGACCTTGACCAAGAGAAACAGCATAGTGTAATAAAAGTGTAAAATAGATCAATCAATGTTTATCATCTTAGAACGTGGTAAATATAAGTTTTATTGCATGGAACAAAAAAGACACGAAAATATGGTATGGATATACACAATGAAAATATATGAGTATTGTAAGTTAGTTTTTAAGTGATCACACATCCATAACAGAATGATAATTACTATTAAGTGGAGAATATTTGTAGCTCAGGTGGATGGTCTTGGTTGTATTGTGTTCTCTGAGCTGGGTTGTTTAATCGTGAAGCTTTCATCGTCCTTTTAGATGACATCATCAGCACTTACTTCGGTATGACTTGTGCGACATGGACCTATATTGCTAGCAGATTTTATATTTTGAATCTGTACAATGACTTGAATCGGTTAGTCAAATAATTGAGGCATAACATTATTGAAAATTAACGTGAAATGTATCGATTCATTAACAACCCTTTAACTGAGCATAGATTTGACAATATTATTGTTGATACTGGATGATGACTAATGGTGAGATGAAAATTTGAACCGTGGCGCGATTCCAATCAGTGACCACCGAGTTTGTGTCCCGGTAATCTACCAACTGAGCTACGAGACCCGACTGCTAATCAGTTTTTTTACTTCAATCATTACCCAGTATCAATGCTAGTCTACCAAACCACAACTATCTCAAATATTCAAAGTGATAGCGTTTTACAACTATTTCATTTTATCGGAGTTAACTCATTCGACTGTGTAGAAAAAAAAAGAAGGAAGACGATCGTGTTGAAGGAAAACAAAATTTCGTTTCGATGGACTCATTTTTAAATCGCATGCCGGTGAACAATATAATGGAGAGGATACACTATTCTAGAGTAATTTCCAGTCCTGTATGTAAGGGAAGTTACCTAATATCGAGAAGGAAAAGAAACAAAGTTTTATACAAGTGTGACGTCATAAGAAGGTTATCTAGAATGACCAATTGTTTACAATGATGGATGATGCTGTGTGTAATCGGTTTAAGTAGTTGACTTTCAACCAGTAGATCACAGGTTCGAATCCCAATCTACCTACCAAAGTCTAAGTAGGTAAGTAACATCATTAGGCGTCAGATAATAGATGTGGCTCATTGCCTACTTCAGGTAGGTGCAAGTCGTTGTTGAAAGCATTTCGATTTACTATAGCTACGGCAAACTAAGGCGTTTCACATCCTTCTTCCAGACAATTGATAGCGATTTTGATGTCTTGAATTACTAACGGTTAGTCTATGCTCGTATGTCCTATCCTTGCTTCCTTTCGATTGATTGGTCGTACTTAATATGACATTTTGAAGGATCATTGAAAATGAACCGAATGTTTATGAATATTGTGTTACAATGTTTAGGATGGATTTTCTTTTCCATTTTATTAATTAGTCTGAGTAGTGCTCACAACCACTTTTGTAAACTGATCAGTGAACTCGGCCCTATCTGAGCAAGTAAACTGACATACATATATTATTGGTGTGACCGAATATTCCTTCGTATACTGATGAAGAACATAATTTCTACATTGATGTAAAATTAGGCTTTGTTTATGATTCTTGATACCCGTTTCCGGGTTATTGACTTTCAACAACAAAATCCGTGTTTAATTGCATAACTTTGAGATTATTATTGAAAGGTTATTATGTATTGGTTAGCAGATAAGCTTATCGAAGTAATACTGTTAAGGTGAGCTGCAATATATTTTACTTTGTAGAACCTTTTGGTCAACTAGAGGAAGAAGAGAATAATCAATCCACACTAGATGACAAAGACTTGAATTGGAATAATGAAATTGAAACTATGGATATTGGTTAGTCTACTGACTGAAATTCACTTTAATCATTGCGAAATAAATTGTGTATCCATATTCTGATTTTGCTCAATTCTAACTACTGCGAATCAGTTATTCAATGCTTCTTGATTTGGAATAGTCCAGTTCATTAATAATAAAAGTGCACTTCGTACATGTTAACAGTGTATCAACTACCATATTTCTATTATGTTATACACTGACTTATCTGTATGAAGTTGTGCAGCCTCAAGTGATTTTTTGGAATAAGCATAGTAGATACAGTTTTCCCCCAGTTTCATTGATGTGTTTATTCACAAATATGCGTATATTCAGTTTTAATTTCTCTTTCAATTATTGTCTGCGGTCATTGCATGAAGATAGTAAGACAAGTGTGATGCTCCAACACTCTTCCTTACACTCATTTAAAATTAATTCCTTTAGTGATAAAACTGAAGTATTCAAATGATGATTGAGATTAATTCTCGCATCACCTAGCTGAACATCTGTTAGCGAGCTTTGACTGTAACGATCCTTTAATTTGTGACTAATGTTGAGTACTGTCATTTGTTACTCCCTTGACATGACAAATGGGATTAAGAAAAAGTTTCGATGGTGACATCGATTCTCCATCATATCACCTAGCGTCTGCAACTACTGATTTGGGTTGTCCCATGGACCCCAACCGTGAAGTCTACATTCTTCGACATGGTTCAGACGAGTAGTCAAAGACGTGTTGCCATGTTATGGTATTGCCACCTCTAAACATTCTGTCGTGTAAACCTGTTTCAGATAGCACTGCATGACGGGGCGAACGGTAACTAGGGGTATTTAACAAATCCTGCGGCCAACTGAATTGATAAAGGTTGACAACCTCATCAACTGACTATGCTCTTCTTCCTACCACTCCTACGCCTGACATCTGCATTACTGGCTTGTTGATACCATGAAACGGTCTATGCTGTGAAGTCGATGGTGGTTAAACATCTGTTGCCTTCTCATATCCGCCACTTTTACTCGTCGTGTTTCACAGACATAGAGTAAAACATAGTGAACTACCTTATATTAAATTCCAGTCCTTAATGGTGCCATAAGATGATGGCATGGGTTAGGAACGATCAAATGGGCCTTTTGTATCCGTAAAGAAATTTCGTCTGTCACTGATCAATTGGTGTTGTTCACAAGTGAAGTGGTCAACTCCCTATCATTAAACAACGCACCAACACAAACCAGTCCTGCAACAACAGTTTATATTTAATTACTGATAAACGTAAAGTTTCCTACTTCTCACAACCGACATATATTACCACCATTATCCAATGGCATTGGCAAATATTTGTCCTTACACCCATCTTGATTGATCAAACAAAATACGACCTCATTAGGACTCTTGGAAATGCATCTTACAACGACGGATAAGACTCAACGTAGAACCTCACACACAAGTACATTGGTTCAAGTAGTGTTACGAAGACACCTGTCATCAAAACCCTGTATCCGTTCCTTATCTTCTAATATTAACGGTCACATCTCACAGCCTTATAACAGGACATAACGAACTGTAGCACAGTATACTTGTCCTTTGATAGATAGTTGGATATCTCACCAGGCGGTACTGCAAGTGACCCAAGTTGGCAAAGGCCAAATGGGCCTTCTGTATCCAAGCTAAGATTTCGAAAGCAACCAGCCTGTTCAGGCTGATGCAACTCTCCAAGTACGTGAGTTGGTCTCCCATTCTGCCACTTCGCTCCCTATCAACAAACTGCGAGTAGTTGCAGATCAGTTCTGGAGCATCATCTTACATTTGATGGGTGCCAGTGAAACGCATTCCCAATGTACTCAGATTTCAGCTAAATGCGTTTAGAAGACTGCTTTTTGTTAGCATCTTGATGCAGCAAGACAATATCATCTGCATACTCCAAGTTAATCAGATGGCCTTCTGGGAGAAGATCAATCCAAGTGAAGCCAGACGTGCCTAAGGTTATGTCTAGCACATCTGTAACGAAGCTAAATAAGAACGATGACTATGCGCGTCCTTTGTGAACGTATCTTACAGCGAGTAACTTATGAGCAGTGAACAGTAACTGAATTGATAGTTTGTGGCAAATGATTCATTTCGTGGTATTTTTGAATGCAATGCTCTGCTACTTTAAAATCAATCCCCATAAACCTTCAATTGGAAATCACTATTACTAGTAGACCATTTTTGAAAGAAAGTAGAATTTGGCAAAAGTACCGCACCAAAAATAATCATAGATACAATTTCATCAATAGGTTTTTACTCATAATTCATTATCTTTGCTTTTCTCTTAGATAAACAAAATGTTGAAGATCTTACAAATGTAGAAGCTTTTCCTTATCATGGAAGTGGATCAGGTGATCTGAATACTCAGTCTAATGTAAGCTAGATTTTTATTGAATCTGTTATATGTACACTTTGTGTTCGAATATTCAGACTATTGAGGAATACAACTTTAATCTTGTCAAACTAGGTAACCATTAAAGATAAGTTCATTCAATTTTCTTACTTCAAGTAATAACCCAGTTTCTAATAGTAATTTAACTCGCTTCTTGATTGAAAAAAGTGAAGTGACTGTAATAAATCACTAAGTTTGAATGTGTTCTTCGCTGAAGGGTAATTCTTTAACAGGAAAGTCTGATTAAGCGAAATGATGGCTACCGACCGTCTATAAGTATGCCAACGGATGTATAAAACATGACAGTATATTATGCTGTCTGATTAAAATCACTGGGTGTTAGCACTGAATACTAATAAGCAATATAACGTGTTACTGACTGTCTCTACGTATATGTACTAATACAGTTTTGAAAAACAGCGACTGTATTACTAGTATTAGTTGATGTGTGAGAATGAATTATTGTTGTCATATTGTATTTCTTTTTGCAGTACTGTCATCCTAGGCAGACAGTAAACTTCAAACATATCTACGACTTGCTTAAACGATATACTTAACTATCACTGATATTCATGAATGACTATTCAGTTCATAAACGTATAAATAAATCTTGTGTAGTGTGTTCGTGCATCATTCCATATCACCTTGTTATGACGATGGGCTGTAATTGCGATTCAAGTTCGCTAGGATTTGAAATACACGTGCATAAGACATCTCTATTTCGCTTTGAGATAATTGTGTTTAACGCTTAGAGTTTGGAAACTTAGAGGTAGAATGGTTATCGTCTTTTCGGTTACATATTTCCCAGAAACTCTTCCCGTGGTACAATGTAACTATCGTCATCAATAGTATCAGGATTAGTCTAAGGCTTCCGCTGCAAAGATGACTGTAATAGTATTCCATATCACTAACCGTTTGTTTGTTCTTCCTTACCCAATTTTGGATTTAGCACTAACCCTGAAAACTCTGTCATTCCACATAACTGTAGAATTAGAGTGTTTCTTTGGATACCTGATATGTTATGAATGGAGGATATTGTAATATTGTTGATATTGATGAAGACTTTGTGCGTTGTATAATGATTCAGTTCACTGTAAATAAACTAGAAGTGAGTTTTTAGTTTACTAGGTAGGTAGTAGTGGAAACCGGCACGCGAGTTTCGTCCCATTCGGGGCTCATCAGCTGGATGTACCAGCAACTCAGTGAGTGATAGTGTACCCACTGAAACTCGAACCCAGTACCCATCGCTTCGAACCCCCAAAGCGACTTCACCGCTTAGGGTTGTTTACACGCAGTAGTCAGATTCCTAAGCTTTGGTAATATTTTGAGAAAAGTGGGTGCCGTTGATTACCTCAGAGTTCTCATGAGCTTGACAGCATATTGTAAGAAACTGATTAATATTAGTTTTCTGGAAGAAAATAAAACTAAAGACTAGTTAGTGAATACATAGAGGGAAATGTGCAGCTTATAACACATGACTGATCAACGCATTGCCGCGGCCAGAATCAAGTTACTGCACATTGCAACAGTAAACAGGAAGGTGAAATGATGGGGGGAAGGAAATCGGAAAGGGAATACATTAATGTAGAAATAAAATGTGTGATCGATTTCAGTTACATAACTGAAATTCTGAAACGTCGGAACTCCGACCAGTAAGGTTACATGACAGAGACTTTCAGTTGTTGCCATTTTCTGAACTGATCACTGTCAGCTTTCTTCAAAGTTTATCGTATTTTACTCTATGATCGAGTTTATTAATACTCATAATACTGATGAAGGAAGGTCATTTAGCGGGGGGAAAAACCTTCCACAGTTTATTTAAAACTCTTCAGTGCATATATCCTTAGCCAAAGGATTCCAGTTCAAACTGCACAATCGTCAACGATGCGTGTATTTCTAATTGTAGAAAGCAGACTATTGTTTATCTACTTTCGAAGCATTTCTCTTGCATTAGGCTTATCGTAGATTATGATATTCCTCACCAACATGAATATATATTTATAGAGAAAGCCGGTTCTGTCTTAAGGATAAACTGTATTTTCTTCTTTGAAATTTCCCACTCTTAGGCTTTCGGAGGAGATGATCAAGACGTCGAAAATGTTGATGAAACTGTAAGTTTTTTATGTTGATTCTGTAATAATCAATAGAGACAACAAAGCTATTGGTCAGATTACGCACTAAAGTTGTTTTCAAAATCCAGTAGGGCATTCATCAGGATAACTATCAATTTCTGAATTCATGCAGTTTCATAATGATCTAACATTCCTACACTGAAATAATTCATTGATATTTTCGATTTCTTAACTATTTTAAAGCAAACAGATAATATGGGGCAGAATGCAGATGTGAACTCAACAACTCAAACACCTTCACAGACGACTGGCAATCAATCCAGTCAAGAAAATGCTTCAGGTGAAAAATACGCTCAATCTAATGGTGGTAGTCAGTTGGATACATCAAGATTAGAACCACTTGGTGGGCAAAAACAACAACAACAGAGTAAGAGAAATCAATCTCTTTCTGGTCCGAAACCTACATCAGAAAATCGAAGTTTAGCAAATCAACAAAAGCCTTTGTCTGGGGTTCGTTAGTGATGTCTATTTTGTTATACTTGATTGTTGACATTTTGCATTTTATGTGCGGTTTCTTAATCGAAGTTATTTGGTTAAAGGTAGTCTCGGGGAATACAACCCATAACCTCTAGGTTTCGTACTTGTTAGCGCTGATTGACACGACGTATCTAGGAGTTTGAGGTAACTAATGTCACCTCACAGGTTTGTACTCTTGTCACTCAGCACAACGATCTGGGCCTTTATTATTGATTTGTTTGGGTTGCAACTAGGCCTTCTCTAGGACTGGATTGGATATGTTGAACTAGAAGGAGATATTTGTCTTCCTGCAGTCATAGTTATATCATACTAACAATTTTCAGTGTCTATGAGATCTATGGTTGCACTGCGTCAACCAAATAAGTCGATCTGGATCCATTTCACCTACACCTCCCAACCATCGATCTAAATTAAGTCCACATATTTAAGTCTGTTCACCTGTAACTTTCCTCCAACCTAACCTAACTTCTACTAACCATTCTATGTTGGGGGATAAATGGGGACTCAGTATGATCTCTCCAATTGGCCTATCCCTTTTACTTAGGAGTTCTCACATGACCTTGACACTTATTTCCAGATTAAGATGTGGTGCATATTCATCCATTAGTACATCACTATGAGTCGTATTCAACGACCTAAACTGACTAACTGAAATCTAGGATAACAGAAACAGAACTTTTTAACAGCTCTACTGTGACTTGCTCTGAATCGTTTTACGTCTACTTTACATTTTCCTTTTTGTCGTTCCTCGTTTTTCCTACTACTTTTCTCACTTTCTACATATGTTTTAAAGAGGTTAGTTTGAACATGCGTTTATCATAGTGAACCATGTTTAACTTAATATGTCATGTTAGCCTAAGCAAAATTCGGCTTTCAGAAACCCAAGGCTGTGTCCATACCAAGACATGACACTAGTCTATGAAGTTTCTGACTGTTAGTTTGAGCCGCATATGGGGGAATTTAGTATAGCTGGCTTGGGTTTCCGAGGTAATAAAATCCAGTTGTTACAGACTGCTGCTGACATGTCTGAAAATCAGTTACAATTGCACAGGTGTATACACTCTTCGCTTTCGAAATTTTGAACAACTTCATTTATTTCCTCCTCTTCTGTTACATACTTTTGTCTATTTTAACATCTTAATTTCTCTTTGTCTTTTGGCTGTAAACTGTTGCACTTTTCATCAAGATTCCTTATTGATTTGTTTGTGTATCTGTCCGTCCGTTCAGCAAATGAGTGGATGTTATGTATTCGTATAAAAATTTCTATTCATTTTATTTGTTTTCCATTCTGCCTCCCTTTTTCTTTTTAGGTTGATACTTTGGAAGTGGATTCTGGACATCATCAACAACAGCAACATGATGAACAGAATTCATCTTCATATGATGAACAAAATACACAGCTTTTTCAGCATTTGCCTAACTCTAGCGATCCAAATAATACTGGTGATGAAGAGGATAATGATGCTCCTTGTGTTCGTGATTCAGCCACAATGGATCAGGTTGAAAAACAACTGAACAGTGAAGGTATGAAAGAAAGTGGGGACACTGGACTGGAGAATGATGATAGTATTAACAATCATGATGAGGATGATCATGAAAGATTGCCAACATCTGAATTGGAGGTAGGCTAATAATCCTTTCGATTGGTATTGTTTTCTCTGAGCTAATTGGTTTAATCGTGAAGCTTTTATTGTTATCCTAGTCAACATCGTCAGGAGAGACTTCAGTGTTTTTGACTACTGTTGTTGATTGTGTATATGAATAAAGTGACTCTATGCCATTTAAATACCACACGCATCCCTCTTACAGATATCTAGTTACACCTGCTGTGTGAAAGTTAATGAATACTACCTACTTTCGTTAGCGCTCAAGATGAAGTCTGGGACGTGGATCTGTGCTCTACAGTTTGAAATTCACTAGTCTTCGTCGGTGACATCATGTGGACGGTCTGTTTTACTGAACCGACCATGAAAAAAATAAACCAATAAAATAACCACAAATATTTTAAGGCGGAAATCATATCAACTCTGAGAAAATGCAATTTCCTTTTCTCCTAAATCCATTAAGGAAATTGCTTCGAAATCGATCGATTTCCAGTCAAACATTCAGTTGAAACCCACAGTAAGTTGAGCAGTTAGAAGCAAAACATTATCAGCCTAATATTTATACTTGTTGTGGTTCTCCACCTTTTATGTAACTTATCAACAACGCGATTATCGGTTAAAAGTATATGTGAAAAGATTACGGGCTTTTGATCACTGGTATCTTCACAGCACTGTTCACTTATGGTGTAAGCGTGTTGAAATAAAACAGAGGGTACTAAGCGAGTCATTCAACCAAGTTATGAACTTTCGCTGATTGAGGTGACTAGGGTATGTATTGCGCATGCGGAGCCACCACCTGCCTTGATATGTGATGTTGTCTGGGTTGAAGGAAGATTGTGTTTAACTTGGCTGAGACTTGGCACCAACCTATGGAGTCTTTGACTATTGATTTGAGCCATCTAGAGAAATTTAAACTGCTTTGTTTGGATCCTCTACGTAATTAAAAACAACGGTTGAGGATTGTTTGGCTGGGACTTGATCACAGTGGCACAGTCTTAGTCATTTTCCAAGTTTTGAATATTTTCATTGACCTTCGCCTGTTTATTCACTCTCCCCTCCTCTCCTGTGCGTTTGACTGCTTTTGTGCTTTTCGTTACCTATTCACTTCTTCTGTGTATGTTGTTATAAGGTGTTTGGCAACTTGAAGTAATGCTCCTGTGCCGGGTCCTACATCGGTCTATTGTTTGGTTAAATTTTGTTGAGTGGTAGTTGATCCAGCGTAAATACTGATGTGCTAAATAGATAGCAGAAATTAACACGATGGCAAAGTAAGGTTATATTAGCACTACGCCTCTCAACCTAGACACGACATGTGTATCCTGTTTGTTGTTATTCTGTTTTGTCTGTATCATTAGCCAACTGATTCTGCTACCAATATATTGCCAGAACAGAATCGACAATTACATCCATATGTTAAAGGAAAATATCCAGGCGGCGACGAAGCAGTTGAATCAGATCCAACAGCGGAGATTGTACCAACTTTGGGAGCCCAAAGACCGTCTCAGTCGATCATCTGTACTCGAGTAAGTTATCCTGATTGGTATTATATTTCGATGTTAGTTTTCCTAACCGACTCTCTAAGCAACCACGTGCATTTTTCATTCTATGAGCCACACCTATTGTATGATGATGGCTAGTGATAATAAATACCTTCCTCAACCTCGATAGTTGCAGCGGGGTTGGAACCCGTGACCCACTATATGAAAGTCGACCAACCACAGCTCCCTAATATTCCCACTGAAGTCTTCTGGGTGATGGCACCGGTGTCTTTGCACCACAGGATGAGGTTATACAGTTCTGCTTTTTAAAAGCTGAAACTGATGTTTGGTTTTCCTCAAAATAAAATATGTCGTTTGATGAGATGATGGCGAATGATTTTGTTGGTGTTCTGTTTTCCCTGAGCTGAATGGTTTGTCATGAAGCTTTCATTACCTTTCCAGACAACATAATCAACAGTAACTTCAACGTGCATTGAGCAATTACAATTTCTCCGTGACCAATTCACTAGCCTGGCTTGATGCAGTGAAATGTGATTGGTAGTTCCCCTTGATTGTTCTGTCACTGAAAGTACCGCTTTTTTATTGACCCATAGGAAATACAATTGTAATTGAAGCAGCTGCCTGCCAAATTACTTCTCGGTCGACGCTGCCAAAGGCCTTTTCACAACCGATGAAGTTGATGTAGAGAGTTGTCTGCCATTTTACGCTCTGTTCTATGATGATACGTAGCGTAGCGTTGCAATTTGATCCGCACATGATTTGTACTTCCTGAATCCAGCCAGACTGTTCCGGTCGTAATTTTGAATCCAGGGTATTTCTTAGTCTCTCTAGGATGATGCGGCTTAATATTTTGCTCGGTGTGAGTGAACAGGAGCATGATTCCTTGCTAGTTCTTGAAAAGACTTAGGTCTCCTTCCTTTGGGAGTTGGACAAGGTAGCCCTTCTTCCAATCAATCGACAGTTACCTTTCCTTCCTTCCTTGGAAACCTTCTGCAATAGGTATGTGAGCATGTCCGCTCTTGTCTCTGCATCATATTTCAGCGCTTCTGATGGAATTCCATCTGGTCCTACTGCTTTCCCAGATTTCAGCAACTTTATGGCGTTCAGAACTTCACTTCTGCCTTTAACGGAGGGCTTGTTTTCACTGAAAGCTAATAGTTCTGTGACTGGGCTGCTGGTGGTGGTTTTTGTGGACGAGTTGCAGGTGGTAGTGGTGGTCGATTCAAGAGTGTTTTGAAGTGGTCAACCAATTGTTTCCTTTGTTTCTCCTCTTTGGTAACTAAGTTGCCTTCACTATCTTTCATCGGTTACGTCTGCCTTGATGTCTTCTTTGGTTATTTGACACGGTGTTGTCAGGTCTCTGGTTCTTCTACCTGTAGCCTGTTCTGCTTCACTTACCAATGTGTCGTAGAAGTGTGTTTTGTCATTGGTCGAACTCTTCTTCACTTCTTTGTCTAGTGCAGAATTTTAAAGGTTGTGTTCAGTTTCTTGATTTCGTTGTTCATCCCTGCACTACACTGACACATCTTCGCCTTCACCATCTTCCTCGTCCTCCTCCATCAGCTTCCATGTGTCCGTCGAAATCCATACATTGTCTCGCTTCTTCTTCTTCGTCCTACTTCATAACACGGTTATGCAGGTCCCCTTCCATGTCACTCTCAAGGAGTTCCAGTGTTCTTCCACACAGGTTCCCTCAGGGATGTTGCTCAATGTCGCCCATTTTGTCCTGATGGCTGAGTGACGTGAAGGTTTTCTTTGTAGTTTCGTCCTTCAGTTCAGTTTCTGTTCCGGGTGGTTGTTGAACTTAAACTGCAGTCCGTCATCACCAGCTACCTTGGAGGCTTCCAACTTGATTTTGAGGGCAGATTCCTTCTACTAGATAGTAGTGAGTGGTGTGAATCTACATCTACTCCTCTTCTTTATCTGATCTTGTGTCAAGTAGGCTGCGTCTCCACTTTCTTCACATTGAGATGAAGTCCACCTGAATTCGATTCTAGTGTGTCCATCTGGTGAAATCGAATCCATGTCGCTGCCTTGTGAATATCCTTGTGTTTGTAGACACTGCCTCCAAATCCAACCTAGTATATGTTTATGTGGCAGGCTGTTAGTCATACTGGTTGTGTTGAAGGCTTATAATGCTCACGATTTTGTAGACTAAATTAAGCGGAGCGGTATTCGAACGCGGAGCCCATTACATGGAACCCTAAGCCAATGAGCTGTATTCTTTGACCTAGATTTGCTGACTAAATCCAACTTCGTCACTGAATGATGCATGACTTCTATCTTGGTTTCAAATACACCCTTATGTTGAGTACCACCAACTGACACAAAGCCGGTATCAGATAGAGTTAGCTACCAGACGGCCTGAAATTTACTTCTGGATTTCAATCATGTAGTTAGAGTGAAATCGGGATATAAATGACACAGCATTATCACGATTTTCATTGCAAAGTAAGCTATGACTCATTGGTTTAGACAGTCCCCTTCCACCTTACCGAAGTCTTAGCAACCATGTAGTATCACTATTCCTCACACCATAGGTGTATCTCATTGCGTACTGCAAGAATGTGCACAAGGTTGCTGAGTGTTTCGATTTAGGTAACTATTTTCTTTTCGAGTTAGGTCTCTTCTTATATTTATTTTAAGACCAGTATTTTTATAACTTCATTACAACTAACTGATTAATGCTTGAAATTCCAGCCTAATTAACTTAAAACGTGATTAAGAATAAAGATAGAGTGAATACGACTTATAAAATAAAAGTCTAACTCTTCGTAATTTTGATAAGAAACTGAAGTTTCAGACGAACAAGCAGTGTACAGGGTAACCTATCTGAAATGAAATGGAATTTCCAGGATATCTGAGGCATAGATGTGCGTATTTTCTGTGTATTCTGTTTTACTGATCACAATTCCTCTCTACTTCTTTAGCTTGAGGTTCTGCTTCCATCAGCAGTAGATACTTGCATGTCCGAGGTCCTAACAGACATACAAATCTTAGACAACAGATTTGCAGAAACATCTCTTGAAGGTTCTTTGGAATGGGCAGCCTGTTGTCAACGGTCAGGAGGTGTAGCCCGCCAGCTTTGTGAAGCGCTCCGTTTAGTGCTTGAACCGACTAAAGCATCACGTTTACGCGGTGATTATCGTACTGGGAAACGTATTAATATGCGTAAGGTTAGTTTGTGATGAGTTTTATTTTTATAGATTCCCCATCCCCATAAAACTTAGGATTGAATACTGAGAATAATGAATATTGTTTGCTTTTTCGTCGTAGATCATATTTACCTGTTTATTCATATCACTATTTATTGACATACTTGTTATTCTCCGTTGTTTTGTTTGATCAAATTGTCCGACCTCTGTTGGCATATAGGGTTCCTATGCGGATGCCTCGATATTGCCTGAATGTTAGTTATGATAATTTGGTTGGTTGTGGCTAGCAGAAGATTCCAGTCCCAAATAGGACGAAACGCGACTCCTGGATTCTCCTGCTAGCCACAACCAACCACTTTATTCATATCGTTTGGAATTAGATGAAGGAAAAGAAAACAGTTTCAATGATGAATTAATATGTAGACCGTTAGGGGTGAAGTAATCTTTTTTATTGAGCTACCTACGTGTTCACACACTGATACATCTGAATGTGCTATGATTCTGTTTGCTGTGTTTCATTGAATTATTATAAAATATGGTCACTTCGTGTTTGGAACACAAGGAGGTCTCAGATGCTCGACCAGCACTGCGTTTATGTCATAGGCTATCTATTATGGCAACTCTACGTTAGTAGCACAGAAGAGGTATGTCAGTTGGATAAGGTTATGAACTTTCATCGACACAGATGACTGGGACACGTGTTACGCATATGTAATAAACATAAGAGATTTTTATCGTCAGTGAATTTCAACTTCAGATCGTTCCAGACCACTTATCAACTACACAATTGTGTAGTGAAAAAGGGAAGCAATTGGCAGTAATAATAATGATAGAGACTTGATTGGTCAATTATTTTGGACAGTACTTGTGCTATTTTTGAAAGGTTGCCTATCCAGCTCAGAGAACACAATACCACCAAAACCATCCACCTGATCTACAGATATTCTCCACTATTTCAGGTTGCCTACCAGTTTAGACTGTAGTGTTACATATTTGGAAAATCTCAGCTTGGTCAACAATAAGATTCATTTCTCCTACTGAATTTCACTTAAGTAATCTGTGAGATAATGAAGATAAATTGAGCTTTAGTTCTTGAATCTTAACAGGTATCTTTGTAAAACCTTTGAATGCAGTATTTGTAATTTAGGAACATATTAGCTGTTTCTTTCTCCAAATGAATATTATGAGCATTAGGCGGTATCTCTGCCTCCTTTGATGTGAGTCATGACGTTTGAAGATAAGCTTTTTTATATCTAATGTAGTGAACAAGCAGTTAACAATTAACTGTGGGTGTAAGTGGAGTTCATCCCATCAGAACGCGTTTTTTCTTCGGAAATGATGCCATGCAATGTGTCCCAGAAAATCCCTACCCCCTGCCTTCATGTGTAAGCAAATGGTCGTCATCTGTCTGTGGAATAGTGTATACAGAGCACCTGATTATAAAAGTTAGGAAACTGTGATTCTGAACCATTTATGCATACCGACTTCATGGTTTTGGAATGTAGGAGAGGTATATTAACTTACTATGGTCGATCTGAATTGTACTGCTCATTGGATAATTTATTCCTATACTTGCATTTTGTATCATAGTCTATGCTTAACTCTATTTTAATATTTCCTTATGTAGATTATTCCTTACTTAGCTAGCCAGTTTAGAAAAGATAAAATTTGGCTTCGTCGTTCTCAACCTAGTCAACGCGAATATCGTATTTTAATCGCTGTGGATGATTCATCGTCAATGTCTGAAAATCTTTGTAAACAAGTAAGTAGTCGTGTTTTAATTCAATTGTCTAAGTATAAGAGGGATTTTTAAAACCATGCTGTTACTTCTGTGTAGAGAGATAACTGTTATTCTGTAAATAGCATAATCTTGCTCATGAATAATTTTATAGTTATAAGAACTCGCTCAAATCTCTCTCATTCCCCTATTTTCTTTTTGTTAACGTCTTGATGATGACGTTATACTGCATGTCAGTGTTTCATATGAATATGAAAACGTGGCTTATTTATCTAAATCTATGAATAACGACTATAAGCATCAATGACGGAATGTAATCACCACCTACTTCGGTCTTCTGTTCATATTTTGGATATTCGACTGCTGTAGCACAAAGCTATGCATCAGACTACTTCTCTGAGTTGATTCGCAACAATTATTTATTACAGGTGTCTCTAGATGATGTACCCTAGTTCATCGATTTAGATGTAGACTGTCTATTTCTTGTCTTGGTCTGAGACGTTAACTGAACTGGACGATGGTAACCCTAGTTGGTGAATGTATATTTGTTTATTAAGTGATTCTCATCACTCTGCTATGTACAGATAGCAACCGAATGCTGAATTCAATTTTCCTACCTGTAAATTTCCATCATTATAATCTGTTCGGATGATGTTATCATAGTCGACGACCATACAATAGAATAAGCGTATGCATTTGGTACGTCTGAGTGATTTTTTACGTTTTTTCTGTACGTTGAAAATTCTCATTTAGACACAGAAAAAAGAATGATTGGGTGAAGAAATACATTCCTTTTCAATTAGTTAGTGAAATCATCACACGCATAAAGAGCCCAGCAGATAACATTCCCAGACGCTAAACTATGTCCCATCTTCAACAACTGCGCCATTCTTAGTGCAAGAAATAAAGAAAGACTGCCTAATTTTGTAACCTCTATGTCCATTTATCAGTTCAGCTGCTCCTGTGGAGCTAGTCCCATTGAGCGTACAATGAGATAGGTCCATCATCGAATTTCTGAGCACCGCCTATCATGGGTTGTATAAGGGATAGATTAGAACAATAAAGAACTTCATATTTGCCCACTTAGTTGACGCTGAACATCAAGTGGATACTAAAAAAACATTTAAAACTATCGCATATCAATTAATCTACCATATGGACTACGTATTCCTTTACTTCATATAGCAGAGGCGATTGTGATCCACCTTTGCAAACCTAATCTTTGTATTTATCAAAAGAAACGTATTTAGTATTAACTTGCACACCTCTTGTTCTACCATTATTCATTTGCTTTCTTATTCTTACATAATTATTTATTGTTTATTACTTACTAGTCGAGAGAAAAAACTGTATTTACTTTACCAATTACTATATAGTTTGCCTGAGACTAACCTGTTTACCATTATTACAATTACTACTTTTATTTCCCGCTGGAATCGGAGAGGCAAAAGGATGCCGGTTGGTGAAAGCCTTCAGGCAGCCAGTTAGCCGATGTGTCTTCTCTCGATGAAAGCGAAAGTAAACGTGGGGACACGGAATGTTTGAACCTAGCAAGACTGTTCAGATTGCAAAGGAGATGAGAAGGTATAGTATTGAAGTGCTAGGAATTTGCGAAAGCAGATGGAATGGAAGTGGACTCTCCAAACTCAACTGGAGAATCAATAATCTACTCCGGTCACCCAGACGACAACCACGCGTACACTGAGTTTTGGAGTGGCTATCATGATGTCCCCTACAGCAACGAATGCTCTCTCTCTCTCTCTTTCATGCAGTGGGAAACAATCTCCTCCTGCACGATCATGACAGCAAGGTTCAACTCAAAAAGAAGGAAAGTTACAATCATACTATGCGATGCTACGTACCTAAAAGTAATAGAGATCAAGAGAAGGAGGAATCCTACAGACAACTGCAATCAGTACTGGACAAGAAGCCACCACAGATGGTGATATCAAAATTCTAATCGGCGACACGAATACCAAACTGGGAGGGGACAACAGAGGAAGAGAACTCATCATGGGTCGAGAAGCACTTGGTAAAATGAATGAAAACGGAGAACTGTTTGCTGAACCGGGGAAGAGATCCTAGAAGATTCGGATTGCACGGATGACTTGTGTTTAGTGTCATACAAACTGGAAGATGTACAGATGAAAACTAACAAGTTGACAGAAGAGGCGTGACAGCGAAAACGGGACTTCAAGTGAATATAGGGAAGATAGAGGTGATGAAGATACCCAACCAACAACAACAAGCCACAATCACCATCAACGGGGGACTTAAAGAAAGTAGCCTCTTTCACCTATATGGGCAGCACTGTTTCAACTACAGGCGGCACAGACGAGGACATCAAAGTCAGCCAGGATCGGAAAAGCAAGACAGGCGTTGATTAACCTGAAACCAGTTTGGAGATCTTCTGCACTCAGCATAAAGCGAGAACAAGATCCGAATTTTCAACACCAATGCCAGTTAAGTCAGTGCTTCTGTATGGTTCAGACACTTGGCATGTTACAAAAGGGATTTCCAACAAACTACAGATATTCATCAACGGCTGCCGCCTACGCTCGTTACTGGAGATCAGATGGCCAGAATAACAAGAATAAGCAACAAGGAACTCTGGTAGGTAACGAACCAACCAAAAACCTATCACTCAACAAATATACGGTAGGAGAAAATGGAGATGGATTGGATTGGGCATACACTGAGAAGGCCACTTGGGGACATCACGTGCCAGGCCAGTTGCTCGAGTGCAACCCAGATGGGAAACGGTGAGTTGCGCGTCTATGCCAAGCGTGACATGGAGGAGATGGTGTGAGAAAGAAATGAGAGCTTGTGGGCTGTTGTGGAGCCAGGTTCAGAAGATTGCAGAGAAGAGAGTGCACTGGAGACGTGGTACTGAAGCCCTATGTTCCACTAGGAACCCAAGGGACAAATAATAATAATAATAATAATAAATACTCTTTTGATTTCTGAAGCTTTTCATCATCTTTATGACTTACTCAAAATGTCTAATTATTGTTCATCAACATCCCTTCATTTGATTGGTATTTTAATTGAATTGAAAACCCCTACATATATATTACTGTAGAGCCAAAGACGAAAACCTAGTTGAGAAGGAATATATTTCAATCAGACTTTTTTCTGTCAAATCAATTCGATTCTTTTTGAAACTGTGCATTTTTAAGCTCTTTTCAGTAAATTTCCAGGATTTTATCATGATTTCACATTGTAAAGTTGTATCTTATTCTGTTTTTATTCCTAAGATGACTTTTGAATCACTGGCAACTGTAGTCACTGCATTGAATCTCTTGGAGGTTGGTCGAATCGGTGTTTGTAGGTACGTTACATTAATTTTCCTGGTGTCTCTCTATTTGATAAGGAATATTTAACTGACTGCTGGGTAAATTGATTAAAAGCACGCTGTAAACCCTTGACAAAAGGATACAGAGTAGTCGTTAGTTAGTCGACAGAAATATGAAGTTAAGTAGTGAAAAAGGATGAGGGAAGAAATAAAAATTATGCAGTCACAAATGCTTACTTGACAACACTGAAAAGAGTTGGTAATATTGTGAAATCACTCATGTATAGATGATTATCAAAACATGATTTTTCTGCATATATATGATTATAAATCCTAGTAGACTGTATGGTACTGTTGAAGTTCATATGCCGGGCTATCAGATTCGATCGGTAGTTTATATTAGTTAAACTTCTATATATGAACTATTTAATTACTTATTATCAACATTAAACCCTCCTTCAGAAACCGCTCAAATTCTGGATTAACCAATTTATATGAAATGAAGTAAATATTCAGATGGAAGAGGATTCGTTTTGACATGGCAATGTAACAATCAGTATCGCTGTAGACACTGTTAGAAATGAACTTCACGATGATCCTGAGTTAACCCACCGGTCTAGGTTACTCACTGAAGACATATTGAAACGTCTCACCTACGTAGTTTTCAAATCAGATGAAACATCTAAACAGGCGGAAGGAGTAATAATGGGACCACTAAAATCTCCATGTGGCTAGTTTCATTACTCTTTTCAGTCCTCGCTGCAACACTCAGTCGAACAGTGCACTGGTGTATTGAAATCGCTTGTTGCAACAACCATGTCTGAACGTTTGGCTTTCAGTAGGAGGCTAGATAATTTTCGGTAGGACTCATGCTTCACTTCTCTCGAGTTCCAGTCAAAGTGTGTGTTACCAAAGATTTCAAAGAGACAACTGCGAATTTCACTGCTCGTCTCATTGAGCTGTTCTGTAGAATAGCGCATCGGAGACTGTCAACCAGAATTTGATGGACGGTGTAAACATTGTAAGCCCCAGTATATCGTTTTTAGCGCAGTCTCAGTTGGCTAGGGATGCTGTGCTATATACACGAGTGGTTATTGAGAGCTGGAAGAAGTAAAGGATGATATAAAAATATTGTCTGAGAGATATGAAGAAAGATTTGAGTTTAAAGATTTTGAAGTTTGATATTGATCTAAAGGAAGATGAATGCTGACAGGTTATTGAGAGCAGTTCACATTACCTGGCTGCACACGTTATGGAAGGTTATTTTTCTTGAGGTGCGTGGCAAAGATTGGATTAGTAATAGTGGTGCGTGATGGCCGAACCCAAGGGATATGTTTTATTCCAGTCACACATGACTTTTTCGGAGTTTCAGGTTTCACCGGCATTACAAGAGTGTCTTTTGGGGCCAACCTTTTCCAAACCTTCTTGTATACGGAGTATAGCACTAGTATGGATCTACTGGTCATCCGCAGGAAACAGCGTACTGTTATCAAACGCTGTCAAATCTGTGGTACGACTACACTCTTGGACTCTCATCATGGTGTAGTTATTTACACTATGATAGTCACTGCTTTTTGTACCACCATTGTCCATCAAATCTGTTTAGCATCGTAAGACCACAGGCAACTAATGTTCCCAACAGCGTAGCACGTTGAGTCAGTGTGATGTCTAAGCCTGACCACTACATCAGGTAAATAGCTAACTGCCAGGATCAAAAGTGTTGCCATATGAGAAAGTAGCATGAATAACTAGACGTAAGATCCTGCAAAAGACTGAGATAAGTATGACTTTCAGAACTACAAATTTGTTTTTCTCAAGGCTTTTATTGATCTAATTCGACTAAATGACTTAAGCTACTCAGTACTTTGCAATGATTGTAAATCTTAATCACATAGATCAATTCAGCCGATCAAAGTTAGTCAGGGGGTATAATTTAGAATGGTATTCCCCACTAAGTTACGTAATCTAGAGAAGAATTCAGACATTGTAGTAATATACTACCAATGAATTAAAGAGAGGCAGTAGAAGTACAAAACACTAATTTAGTAGGCTATATAATCTCTTCGATATGATTTACGAACATTAAATCGTGCTTGAAATGTTATCCAGTAAATAACACTGTACCACTATATTATGATATGATACACAAACTAATCTAATATGGAATTAAACTCTCCTACAGTGTCCCTGATTGGTAGGTAGTGAAATGCAACCAATTGTCACTTTGTATTCCAATCATTCCAATCATTTTTATCCTTAAACATTAGTTTTGGTGAAGCAGTGCGTGTTTTACACAATCCAAAAGATCCCTGGGCAACAGATGTTGGTCCTCGTGTTCTAAGTCAGTTTACGTTTGAACAACCGAAGACATCACTTGTCCAGGTCAGTTGACTTATTTCATCTTTGAATATTGATAGTCATATTGGAAACATTTATTATGATTGTTTTATTTTACTACTTAAAGATGTTATAAAGTCAATAAAGAAGTTAGTAGTTTCGTGGGAAAAAGTCTACAACCAGATTTGCAAATATTTATTTATCACTTTAACTATCTGAGATAGCTGTGGTTTGGTAGACCAATTGAAGTTGAAATAAAAATTTGAACTCTAACCAGCGAACACCGAGTTTCTGACACGATGCTCTACCAAATTTTTATTTCATCTTCAATCATCACTCAGTATAAATACTAGTCTACCAAATCACGGCTATCTCAGATAGTCAATATAATGATCAATATGATACTCCCCCTCTGTAATTCAGTTAGATTTATATGAGAAGTCTTGACTAAACAGTCAGTGTGAATAAGATCAAGCGATGATAACGCTTCACGAATTCATATGGCAGTCGGGCAAAAACCCTTCGCGAAACTAAAATCAGTCGTATCTCTTAGCTCAGTTGGTGTGACCTCGGACAGGAAACCTGATGGTCGCTGGTTTGAGTTCGGCTGTGGTTCAAACTTTCATTTTACCTTCAATCATTACCCAGCATAAATATTTATTTACCAAATACATTTATTTGATGTAACTGTTTCGACTATTTTCCTCTGAGCTAGAGTTTTAGTCTGTGGATATATGGTTTCTAATTTGAACATTTTTTGTTGGATAGTTACAAGAATTATTGAGTTAAACCTAGGTAACAAAGATTGAGTTGAATGAAGATTAAAAAGTTCAAAGCTGTGATCCAAGATAAAAAGTAATCACAAAAGACCATAGAAACAAATCTAATTAACCGGATTGACTCTAGAGTTACATAATATGTGGAAATAATTTTCAAGATGAGGCATGATCAAGGGTAGGATGAAAATGAAGATATTGAGTTATTAAAGTATATCTAAAAAAATACAACAAACTTGTGAATAATAAGCGAGAGAATGAGGTCGATGTATTGTTAACAATTTACTTGGTCCAAAGTAGCAACAAAAGTTTTACAAGCCTTTTTTGTACACGTAATTCCGGTTTCTCCATTCATATGGCAAGAGCTTGTGTAGTAAAGCAAAGGCTTAAGCGCACCATTTTAGGTAAATTTCTTTCTACCCTGTAGATGATTTTGAACACTGAATTAGTTGTGATACTGTGACCCGTGTTGACAAGGTATTCAATTATTGCACTACTGATCGATCCACTCCCACCTCTTTACAGTCAGGTGGGTAATGTTCTCTAAACTGTTTGGAAAGGACGCGCATCGAGCGACTTGCGTATCTGGCCCTTTAGGAGCAGGTGACTTGATAAACACATATGGCAGTGATCAGATGCGGTAGCTTATCTTTAGGGTTATCTGGAGGCTTTAAACAACTGCAGAATACTATCCTCAAGGTTGACTCGAAGAAAGTTTTCTTCAGCGAGTTTGAAATCCTTCTTTTCAAGATATTAGCAGCGAGGTCACCTCTGAAGTCAAGATTCATGTATAATATTTTTTTTCGGAATTGGACTAGGTATCTCTTTATGGTTTGGAACTTACTTTTTTGTCCACATAACGTGCTACCTATCCGTTTTCGGCCAGATCCCTTTTTAGAAAAATGAGTTTCAAGTTTTCAGTGCTGCAAATTTTTCGAATAGAGTGAGAAAGGGACACGATAAGTGTTCTTTTTCGACTTACAGGCTCCCAACTATAGAAATTCATCAGCTGACCATTCCATACAGGTTTCCCTGTAGATAGAACTCCATAATGTCCCATCATCTTGCTTGGTGAGTTCTACATTCAAAAATGAAACCTTTGATTCCCTCTCTGCTTCAAGTGTGAATTTCATTGCGGGGTGGCAACCGTTAAATACTTGTAAAATGTAGTTTAAATCATAGCCATTATAGCAAGTTATGGAAATGCCGTCAACCTGTCTTTTGTACACTAAAAATTCGTCAATTATTGGCCTTAGACCGCTATTTTCCAAACTGGACATAAAGTAACCTGCCAATAGCGGGCCAAGAGGAGAACCCATAGAGATTCTATCTGTTCGAAGTTAGATGACATCGTTGAAGGCCCGTCCAAGCAGCAGTTCTTTTAGGTCTGTAGTAGGTATCCTAATGTTCAAGTTACTATCATCTATATATCTGCATAGGAAACAGGTTCTACATTGAATGATAATATACGTTTTCCAGTTACGTTCAAACCTCTCATGCAGTCGATGAATTCGAAAGTGTCACAGAGAGAGTGACTAGATAGCTGTTTTCTTATGGGCTCAAGGATTTTAGAAAGCCATTTTGGAATGGGATGGTAGGGTGATGTCGACATATCCAAAATTACACGAAAGGGCAGATCATCTTTGTGAACTTTTGGCAAACCATAAAGTCGAGTTAATGATCCTGTCGGTCTGAGGCGTCCTTAAAGATCTTCTCCGACCAGTCTGCCATTCTTCTTTTAGAAATATTCTTAAGTTGTTGTCCAGTTAGTTCGGTTTCATTTTTCTCGTTGACAGGTTTAGAGAATTGGTTATCGTCTGAAATTACGTTCAATATCTTTTGAATATATACGTTTCATTAGAACCACACTGGAAACTATATCTGGACACCTTATTTCTAAATCCTTATTGTATCTTAGCTCTTTCAGCTGTTGTTTATGTTCCTTGGTTAGAAGGTGATGAACCTTTGTTTTTGTGTTGAAGTATTGGTGACAGCAATCAAAGATAGTCGATTTGAATTGTTGGATTTCTCTGTCTGACACTGGGATAATATCACTCGTTTGACTGATTAGATTTTCAAACTGCATATGTTCAGTTGCACTGATGATGAAATGGTTGTAGAGTTCTATTGATTTCAACTTCAGTGAAGACTTTGGTTTATCAAAGAGGCAGATAGATAAACATAAAACCTGATGCAAAAATCTTTCTATGAAAGCTGTCACACTTCCTATTGAGGATAACACTTGACTGCAGGATAGAGGGGAAAAAGTGTCAGATATCTTCAAGAGCCATAAGACAAATGGAATAAAGATATATATAGTTGGTAAGATTTCAATGAATATATAGCATGACTGTATCTACTGCGCCTAAGATCTCCAACCAGAGGTTTCGGTCATCTTGTTGGCTGATATTATATCAACAGTCAGAGACTACATCGATTGTCTCCATTTTCTCATCTGTAAAAACTTTTCACAACCTGCCCATTGCTCGCGTGCTGGTTTCAGTGTATGCCAAACATGCAACAGTGGTCAGATTTCACAGATGGCTTCAGTTGGTGAAAGCTGATCGTGCCTTTTTAATCCATTTCCAAATTTTATCGGCCACTAACTCAACGGGATCCATGCAACTTCTCAGATAATTGAAGTGGCCAACCACTCAGCTCCCTATTATCAGATGGGGTTATTGATTACAGTTCTGGATTGAGAAGATAATTTGTATTTAGGTGAGAGACAGCTCATCTCGAACATTAATTGGCACCTTGGAAAATTTCTCGATTGATTGCACTTCTTTGTTACTCTCCATATGTCCTCTCATAAATTTTAGCTTCTTCATTGTACTATCCATCTTATGAACTCCATTGGTTACACAAATTCTTCAAATGCAATACCGAGTCAACTCTTACTAATACTGTCAGATGGTGTGTTTTCAGAAGATCCACAAAGTCCATCTTTACAGGCTGCTGTACGATTGGCACGTGATTCTCATATTTTTCCTGTTTGTCTCATTTTGGATGATGTTCACAAGAAGGTGAGTCTATTTTTATACCTCTGTTTTCTTATTCATTGCATCTCAACAATCACAGACACTGATTCATGTACAAAACTATGTGAACCACGTCTGAGATGATACCATCTGGTTGCCACTCAACACTTAAAAAAATGGAACGAGTTTTGAACTAGTGACTCAGTGATTGCAGGTCGGGTACCTAAGCCAGTGACCCACAATTCATCAGGAAAGTAGATGACACAAAATCTGGCTGCACTATTCCAACAAATGAAATCAAATTCATATAATTCAAATTGTGTATTTGTTTTATACATTTAGGATCTGACAGTATCATTTAGTTACTAATATTAATGGTAATTTCGCAACAAACACGTTGGTGGCTATGACAACTTTTCTTTCCATGATTTCGATTGGATAATTAAACCATAAGCATCTCCATTTTAAATTCCGGGGATGGTGTGTGTGTGTATGAATCCATTCAGCGTGAAACGACTCAAGTTCTTGTAAGCCTTCAAGGAGTACCATGTTGCCCATCTACATGTGTATGTGGACTCAGTGGTTTTGAGGTTGCAGAGTGTTAAACAATGTGAATTCCAGAATATCCTGCTACCAAGCGCTAAAACACTTAACGCGATGAACTCACCACAATCTGGGAATTTTTCTTAAGTAACGCTGTTTAATAATAAATAGAATATTTGCCCGAATGAGGCTTTACTACTTTGCTCTTTTGTTTCTTATGAAAAAAAAATTTTTTTTACAGCATTCCATATTTGATCTTCGACGTTATTGTGGTCCGGGTAAATTGCAGCCATATATGGATGTCTTCCCACTACCTTACTACTTGGTTTTGCGCGATTTATCCTGTCTGCCGAACTTACTTGCTGACGCTTTACGACAGTGGTTTGAATTGGAATCGTCATTTGGACGTTGAAATGTACAGTTTAACTTGTCCAATTGACAAACTTCATCCCTCTCTGTGTATACATCAGTTCGTAGAATTTCATCAACACTACCACCGATTAATATTTTTCTGTAATATGTAAATAAACTTTGTTTTAAAAAAATTCTCGTAACATCTGGATGAAGATAAGGTGTGTTTTCTTATGATATTACCTTTTATTCTCTGGTGGTGGATTGTAGAGTGTTCGATGGACTAACGAAGGAATGCCGCCTGGAGGATCTGTAAAACAAACCGGTTGAGTGATGTTGTTTAGTACGACGTTGTTACGAGGCTATCTTCCAATCAATTCTAGCTTAGCAAACATCATCATTATCAACATAGGACCAGGCATTACTGCGTAACGGTTCGAGTTGCCACACCTCATATCAGCACATCAAGTAAAAAGGTAGTGAGGTGAAGGATGAAGATAAGTGAATGCAGTCAAAAGAAATATAAAGTACGAGAAGAAAGGAAAGAGGAGTGACAAAATGGTGAGATTCGGTATAGCGTTGTTAAGATGAGGATAATGTGTGTATACATCTGCGCCACTGACTTCGGTTCTGAGCCATATCACCTAGGGTCTCCAACCACTGGTTCCTCTTGTCCCGTGGACCCCAACCACCTAGTCTGCATCGTCCTACATGGCTTAAACCAACAGTCAGAGACTTCATACATTGGTGCCATGTTTTAGTCTGGCCACCTCGGGCCTTTTTCCAATCTGGACCCACCTCAGCCAACATTGTGTGACTAGGCATACGTAGTACGTGTCCCAACCATCTCAGTCGATGAAGGTTCACAACCTCGTCAACTGACTTACCTCTTCTCCCTAAAACTCTACACCTAACTTCTGCATTACTCACATGGTGACACCACGGAATACGTCCTATACTACGAAGGCAACGGTGGTCAAACACTTCCAGCCTTCTTATATCTTCCACTTTCAATGGCCATGTTTCACAGCCATACAGTAGAACAGAGCGGACTGCTGTGCAGTACACGCGACCCTTAATAGACAAACGAATATCACGGCGGCGCCATAGGTGGCGCAAATTGGCAAAAGCCAATCGAGCCTTTTGTATCCGTGCAGAAATCTCATCGGCAACTAACCCACCAGGGTTGATCCTACTTCCCAGGTAAGTGAAGTGGTCAACACACTCAACCACTTCACTCTCTATTGTTAACCGCGGTGGGGCACCGCTGAAGACCAGTCCTGGAGCAAAAATTTGCATTTGGGTGGTGAAAATCGCATCCCAAACATTCTCAAATTCCCACTCAAAGTGTTCAGAAGACTCTGCATCTTGTCAGCGTCTTCACCTAACAGGACTATGTCATCTGCATATTCTAGATCTAAAGAAAATTCACCTGTGATTGGGTCAACGTGTGTGTAATTAGGTGACGAGAGGGAAACCTCCATAAGAATATCTATGATAAAATTAAATAAGAATGGGGATAGTGGGCATCCTTGACGGACACCACTTGATGAGTATAGCTCCCTGGACAACTCGCCATAGGCTCTAACATGCCCACAAGTGTTCGAGTAGAGAGCTTTCAATAAGGTGATGTACTTACTAGGCACGCCTTTCAGTGACAGACATTGCCATAAGGCTTCTCGATCAACGGAGTCAAATGCCACCTACAGGTCTGCCTGCCTGCCTGGTTTTCTCGGGCTTGCTGCTCCCGAGCTCCACTCAGGCGTCGGAGAATTATAGAACTTAGGATCTTAGACACTATGTTCGTCAGGCTGATTCCTCTGTGGTTATCACAAGAGGACTTCTCGCCTTTCTTGAAGACTGGGATAATGAGTGACTCAGACCAGTCGGAGGGGATCGTATTTGATTCCCATATACTAGCTAACACTTCCGTTAACCTGACTAAGAGCACTCTATCACCATTATTGTATACCTCAGCAGGTAGTCCGTCTGGTCCTGCTGCCCTTCCTCGTTTCAGGTTACCTACAGCTTTCTCAACTTCTTCTAGTGTTGGGGGGCCTATCTCTTCAGGATCTGACTGGATAGCGGGCAACGCAATCGTGGCTGGAGGCCAGTTAAACTGTTCCTCGAAGTGTTCTGCCCATCGTTCCAGTCGTCTCTCCTGCGAGTGAGTCACAGATCCGTCCTTCTCCACTATAGCCTCACTAACTATTGTTGATCTTTTCCCCCCACTCTCCTTAATAAGTCTAAATAAGTGTCTACTATTACCGATCGCCACTGCCTTTTCCATCTCTTTAGACTTCGTTGCCCACCACTGTTCACGATCGTTGCGCAGACTTTTCATCAGTCTACTTTTAAGTTGCTCTCGCTCTTCATGGTACTCAGAGCTTGCAGGGAGGCGTTCACGTGCATCCATTAGTTCAGAAGAAGCAGCCGATATCCACTGGCTCTTTTTAGCCACTGTTTTGGAGTCGGTTACAGTCTTCAGTGCTGCTTTTACAGAAAGAGAAAAAGAGTAATTTAAGCGAACAATTGCTTCCAATAACTTCTTCTTCTTCAGGCTCTACAGTTATAAATCCATGAGAATAAGTGAAATATAATAGCCGAAATAAGGCATGATGTACAATTTTACTGTATTGAGACAGTCAGTGTTATGGGCGAATGGAGATCAAATCGAATGGAATGGTGGAACTATTGTCAGTCTAGTGTGTTAGTTATGCAATGAAATCAATACTGACAGTACAGTTACTAAATGAGGAGACAAAATCTACAGATGATGATTCACTTATATACACTTATTGGGTCATGAATGTGTGTGTGTGGTTGTTTACTAAGGGTCAAATAATAATTATGTAGTGATGAATTATATTTAGCGATATTAAGCATGAAAGGTATACGGTATATCACAGAAAAGGCGTGATCTACCTTAATCTTATTTCTGGTATCTACTAGGTGTGAGAGGATTGCACTGTTGATGCCCTTTATCGTTCCTTTCGCTAACCAAGATGGCAAGTGTTCACGAATGCGTATGGATACAGCCCTTTGTGTACGGCCTATGTAACTAGCTCCACAGGAGTAATTGAACTCATAAATCCACATTGAAGTGGCCATCATAAGTAACCTATCCTTGGTTTGCTGTGTTAGTAATGGTTTGGTCGAGAAGCTGACAAAAAGTTTCGCTATATTGAATGTTCTTTCGACTGATCTACTTAATCGATGTGTTAAGATATCCGCTGCAATATCGCCTTTGAAACCTAGTCTAAGATATATATGCTTCTTAGCAACATTGTCTTTCTTTCTAAGTTTCGAAAAGTGTTTATTTATGAAGTTTAGCGGATAGAAATTTTGCTGCAACATCATCTTCAGCTTACTCATTTCTTTTTTAACACAATCATTAGAACAAATGCTTCTTATCCTGTAACTCAAGCATTTGACCAGATTTCTTTTATATTAAATCGGCGTGAAGCTATTAAAGTGAATATATTGACCAGTCCATGTGTTCTATACTGTCATTACTTAGATGAATATCCATTTCCTGATGTTATTAGTTTTACGCCCTTCTTTATTCATATCATAACCTGTAGTCATTCTCAACCATGACGTAATACTTCACATTTGTTATTCTCTATTTCGTCATAGTATTCACATGATTTTCATCCTAGTGACATGGCTGGGAATCGATCACAATGGCGCAGATGTATTCACCCCTTGACATCTTATAAAGCTTGAATATTCACACAAACCTCTATCTACAAATTATTTACTCTCCCACTCTACTTCGATATCACTCTTTTTCTTTCAACCTGTTCTTTGTGTACTTATGTGAAGTGTTGCAACTTGAGCCAATGCACTCCTGTGTGAGGTTCTACGTTAGTTTTGCCAGTCAGTTAATAAGAGAACATATAATGAAAGGAAATGTCAGTGTATAACTAACAATAAAAGCCACTGAACAAACGAGGTGGGGCTGTCAAAGAACAGACTAGAAGTTGCTAGTGACGCCTTCAGGGCATGATGTTATTTGCATCTAGTTACATTAGTCTTTCGAGAAAAAATCTCCACCGTTAGCAGCCAGATATCTATTCTCACCATCTGGTGTAATCCTTGCGACTTCATTTTTAATGTGCAAGCGAATCCCACAAAACAATGAAATTGCGTACTACAGCCCTACCGAAACAGAATGACTACTAGTGCCAGTGGTTAACTTCCTCATGGCTACTTTCACAGGTTCAGGAAGTGTAACGTTTATACAAAGTCACTGAGTAAGACAATAAGTTTTTTATCAGAAATTGATACGCCACTTAGTCATCAGTAGTTTTACAATACATCTTCACTCCAAATTAGTCCAAAGACAGAAGTGACTAACATAATTGCATGCATATATCTACATTGAGCTGTATGTCGAAGCTTTGGTGCAATTCTATAGATTTACGGATCTAAATCTTAACTTATTGATTGTAACCGTGACCGTTTGAATCGGTTGATTGTAGCTGAATAAGGAATGGACAGTTGTGTTAGTTAGTTGGTTGCAACCGATCGGCAGGATGCCATAGACCTAGTTTCGTGCTTTTTGGCACTCGTCAGCAAGGGATATCTACAACACGAAGAGACTGGCGTCGCCTCTGAAATGCGAAACCGCTTCACCCAGTGTTGCAGTCAGCAAAGTTACTACTGAGTTAACTGTATCGCACTTATAGTCCTACCACTAACCTGAGGCTGAGTGCACTATTATGCAGTACGCCCAACCTTACTGTAAGTAGAGAATCTAGACAGTGTAATAGAGTGCGATCCTATACGCAAGTCGTCTATCTGATGCAGCACAGTGATACAGTATTACGTACTAGCTGGTGTTTGAAGCACAATCTCCTTTTCAGAATCCCCTTGATATCATTATAATATGGAGGTACGCTCAATGTTAAACGTAAACTTCCAAACTTCATTCACCACAAGTAGTGGCTTGAGTTGGCAAGCTACAGGTGAATCTTATACTTCTGCCATAAAAATGATCATGAGTTTATCAGGTTTAAAATACTGGTCGTTAAAATAACTTGGCCTGTGGTCATACTGATTGGTCCAAAAGTGTTAGAAAAGAAACTTGTTCAACAGTGACTGATAAGTTGATATAGGCTTATGATGAGTACAGACTGAAATCTACCCACGAAAACTCCACTAAAAGGATGCTAGTTAAAAGAAAAAGAAAAAGAGACCAACGAATTTTCTTTTTTTCAGAAATTATGTTATATGTACAAGTTGCTTCAACGACAAATTATAAACGAGCATTATTTTATATATATATATATATATATATATATATATATATATATATATATATATATATATATATATATATATATATATATAGTCTATTTCAGATTATTTACACAGATTCCTCATAACTTTTTGACGATTGCAGTTCACTGGTAATGCCTTCGGTCTCGCCTATAGTTGATGCTTTTCGTTTTTTCCGTCTAGGAGATATTGATGACACTATGTTATGAGAATTATAATGGTTGTCTTTTGAAACACTGATATCCTGTTGACTACTAATCATACATTCCCCTAAATTAATGTTGCGAAATAAGCCATTGATAACAGCTGATGAAAGCGATAAAGCACACTTATTTTCTGGCATATGAAAAACTTTACTTGGCTTAAGTGAACGAATAACCTCCACAGTTAACAGGGAATCATTCTTCATTTGATGATTATTTCGATCACAAAGTGATTGCGTTAAACCAATTGTAGACCAACTTAAATGATAGGCAGATATAATTTGAAAAAATGCTCGACGTAGTTCCTCTGACATATTTAACATTGGTTTAAAAGGTGATATACTGATCTGTGCGATAGGCAATCGATTACAACTTTCAAAGTGTTCTGGATTTAACAATTCGCAATGTAACTGGACAAATATATACACCAGAATATCACATGTACCGTAATAAATTTTGTTGTCTGACGATAGCAAATTTGTGTGGGCGCCTGTTAGCAATCGACGATGTCGATATGTGTAGTCTATACACCAAGTAGCCATATCATGCATTATTTCTAATACTAGATCAATAAAACAAAATTTCCCATTAACCAATAAGAAACAAAGATAGGACAACGCCATAAGACGACTGCCTTGATCACGATGCTCATCTTTTACTGCATTCCATAGGAAATCAACAAAACTGATCACCAATCCACCACGTAGACTACACATATAGAAACATATCATTGGATAGGCTGATAAATAAATATTCACTGGTAGAATATGCTCGGAGAAGATGTCACGTGCCCGCCGAAATATTGAACAAAGTAAATCCCAATCAAATTCCAATGATGGAGTGTTATCTGTCTTCACACATATACTACTAATATATGACATAAGTAACCAGCAGAGGAGTTCAAGTTTCAACCAGTTTTTATCAATAACAATTGAATTTTGAATTGAGTTAAATAAAACGTTTATATTCGTTTCAAGCATACTTTTATCAAACTTTTGGAATGCTGTGTTTATCGGTGTGTTCTCAAATAAAGGCAATAAATTTTCATGATTTATTCCATCAGGATTTAGTTCTAAATCAATAACAGTAGTAAATATCACAGATATCATATTGCATTTGTCAGTATGACTTAACAGTTTTGAAGATTTTTTGGATGAAATCAAAGATAAAACACTATAAGTTGCCCAAATTAATTCGTTAGTTGGTTTACGCCAATTCGGAAATCGTTTAATCAATATATCAACAATAATAGATACTGAATTCGGTGCATTTTGACATAAGATTGTAAAAAATTCAACTGCAATAATGTTTAAATGACTACAGTTTCTGTTGTTTACTAATTGTTCAATACAATCTTTTAAATACAACACCTGTTTTACATAATATTCACAGATATCATCAACAAAATATGGAAAGTATGAGATACTAGCTACATATAGATTCATCATATTCACTGAGACTCCTGGATGTTCACAAATCATCCAATCATATGTATTTGTAATGCCCAGTAACAACTGTTTAATATGATTTGCTGTAAACTCATGCACATGTTCAGTCAATGATTGCAGAAATTTACTGTATTCACTAGAAGATATTGGTTTTGCTAATTTTTCTCGAATAGTTTTGAATGCATTGTAGTTGACTTTGGAGTGTCTTATCAGATCTCCAATGTTTTCTATATCCGGTTGATTAACACGTGAATCCATACCTCCTAATAAATAATCATTTAAAATGTATAGAAATATACATGTTACGAAGTACATTCATGCATAAAATGGAAACGTATTTACGCCAAGGTATTGATCCTACTACTGTTGAGGTTACGGGTCCCAAAGCCCTCCAAACATCTTCAACTCTGGCAACCTGGTAACGGTAAGATCACACACCCTCAAACAATAAGTGGTATTCGTACTTTAATGTACTGAGCTAAGAAGTATTGTTAGATGCGTATAAAGTCTCAAACCTCAGAAATTCAGATCCTTTATCTGCCTGAGTGCCCAACCGACAGCTGCTACCTTGACCTGGTGGTCGAGTTTATATATCACGATGACCCGGGGAGCTATACTGGCTATATCATTGTTTTCTGCTTTCCTACCAATGGAGTAAAGTCTGTTGAATAGTGGCAAGACAGGGACTAGACACATCAAAGTGAAAATAGCTTACACTTTGGTGTGGGTTCGAGGGTGAAGTTGTCTCATAGGATGTGATAGCAGTAAGCAATTTCCTTTGGGTGATAAGCAGTCAAAACTGATGTTACTTTCGTTATGGAAACGGAGTACTCAGAACACCAAATCTTGAAGTTCTACAGCACTGGAGGTAGAACAATTAAATCTCAATCTAAAGATCTTGAAAAGGCTGTCACCAGAAATAAGTAGAGCTCCTGTAGACACTATGGTCAAACAAAACTAATTCGTTTTGTCTTTACAGTACGCTGGGGAAGCAACTTCCACAGTAAGCTGGCAGGAAGTACCAACGGCCCATATGTCTTCAGCAGCACCAGTCAGTTAGCATCAACCTGGGACCTGACATTACTGCCTAATGGTCTAAAATGCCACATCTAATATTAGGACATTAAGGTACCAAGCATAAGATGAGAGAAAAATAAGAAGGTAATCAAAAGTGATAAAGATTAGTAAAAACGAGAAAAGGCAGTGGAAGATAATTAAAAAAAGGCACGAAAACTAAGATAATAAGTGGATGTATCTGTGCCACTGACATCGGCCATATTACCAAGACTGCAATCGCTAATTTCCGTTGTCTCGTGGACTCCAACCAGGAAGTCTATACTTTCTTACGCGGCTCAGACGAACGGTGAAACTCCAGGGACCGATCCAATGTCTTAGTCTGATCACTTCTAACCTTTGTATGGCCTGAAACTACTTCAGCTAGAATTGCACAGCGGAATAGATGATGACTAGGCATACGTGATAAATGTCCCAGCCAAGTTAGTCGACGAAGCTTTACAACTTCATCGACTAGAATTCTTCTCTCTGAAACCCTACTCCTGACTTCTGGATTATTGACTTAGTGGCTACGCGATACGATCCATGCTACGACGACAACGGTAGTCAGACGCTTGAAAACGTATACCCTCCAATTATAATGGCCATTTTCATAACCAAATAGTAGAACAGAGGAAACTCCACAACCACTTCATTTCCTACCGTTACATGCGGTACCAACGTAGATCAGTCCTAAAAGAACAATTTGCATTTGGGCAGAGTAAAAGCCCAAACATCCTTAAATTATTACTCCCGGTGTCCAGGAGACTTTGTATATTGTCAGCATCTTTATATAACAAGACTGTTATCTGCGCACCCTTGAGTCTACTAACGAGTCTTCTGAGACAAGATCAATCACTGTCAAACCAAAGCGCCAGAAGAATGCCTCCCAAAAGTAAGTCTATGATAGAGCTGAATAAGAATGAAAAGAGTGGACATCCATAACATACCAACTCATCTGATAACTCACTATATGATTTAACACAACCACGTACTCTAGGGAGAGCAGAGATCTCCTACCAAACCTTTCTAGCAATAACTGATAGCGAGATAGTTCGTGTCCGCCGATGAGGTGAGAAGCCTTACATTACACAATGTCTTTCTTTATGCCTACTCATAATTGTATTGGTATCACCTGCTACGGTAATCACATCAGGACGTTTGGCTTTTAGAAGGCTGCTAAACAAATTTCGGTCGCACTCATCCTTTACTTCATTTGAACTGCAATCAGTTTGTGCAATTTCTAAACGGATAGATCTGTAATAACTATGAAAGACCATGACACTCGTTGATCCTTAGTAGTAGTCTACCCTATGCAACCAACAACCGCAGTTTTGACATCGCGCAGGAAGAATCCTACCAAAGCTTTTCAATTTGAGTACATAAAGCAAAGCGTTCATATAGTCATAGCAACCAGCAACGTTAACTCGGAAATAGGGAAGCTGAGACAATCGGAAAGTTCTTATCATATCACTTGCCGATAACGGTGATCATCTAATGCAATTTGTTCTGACAAACGTCTGTGGCTAGTACTAACGTTAGGCATAAGGAGAAACACATTGCTTTAAGTGGCCTCCGCCGACACTAAACCACCAGTGGACAGATAGATCATATCGCTATGTTACTTGGTTCGAGTCAATAGCCAGGAAACCCTGTTCCCAGGCTTCGTGCTTGCTGACACTCGTCAGCCAGGCGTATCTCCAACCTCAATGGGACTGATGTTCCACCTGAGATCGGAACCCGCATCACCTAGTTGTAATCAGTGACGTTACCACTGAACCATCCAGATACCTCAATAGTGAGAAGTCGTACCAGTTGATAAAAGCCTATCAGGTCTTTGAGATCTATGAAAAGATTTAGTTCACACTGACCCAATATAACTCGCTGCACTACTCGATACGACGAAGTTAGAAGCAGAATCACTCATCTCCCTTTATATTGTCCCTGTCGGGTTATCGATGCAGACCAGTGCCCTAGGGACAATTTACATCCAAGTGGAAAACATATTGCAAGCATCGTCAATGTTCAGAAAAGTTCGTTTATGTCACTGTACTCAAACGAAATGAGCTGCAGGAATGCAGGGTCCTCAAGGTATAGGTAACAACTGACTGAAGAGTCTCAGTGATATGGCTTACTAGCAGCTACGATTGATACATATGAATCCACTTATCATCGAAATTCCGAACGTCTTACTGTTCTTTATTCGACTGTCCTTTTATTTCAAAACCCTCTTTCTATCACTGCACTCGAATGAAATGAATGAATGGAAAGCACTCAGCTACCTTGTGTGTATTCGTGCAGTAGGCAATGAGCCACACCTAGTGGTAGGGCTAGTAATACTGCCGGGCTGCAAAAACCTCGGTAGGTGGAACGGTGTTCGAACCTGCGGCTCACTAGTTGATAGTCGTCTCTTTAAACCACAGAGCCACAGCTTCTTTTACCATTGTAATATTCTGCTTCACTTTACACATGGACGTCTTAGACAATTTTGATCGACTTGGTAGCTTAATGGATCCCCTGAGATAAGACAAGGGACCCATTCATTATACCTCATTCTTAAATTGTGTGTTTCTATCGAAGAATACTGTAGTATCATCTGGACTTGTCCAAAACTACTTGGAAGATAATAATCCTGATAATTTTGCTGATAACGATGTGCTGATGAGTAACCTTGGCATTATAATATGCCTTCCTGTACTGCAGATTTCTAGAGATACATGATCAGGTGACCTTTAGAATAGGTTATAATTTACGCAGATCAACATGCCAATAGTCTAAACAGAACATTATAGAAAAGATTTAGGTCATTAGAAAACCCTTAGGGAAATGTGATGTTCTTTTCTGATCATTCCCGAAATCCTACGTGACTCACCAGCCTTTCTCAGAATTTATCGAACGTTTCTACCGTGGAAAATTGTTTTGAAGAACCAGGAAACCAATGTGATACAACTAATTGCTTTTAACAGACGTAATCCGAAGACAGTTTTAAAACCAAAAGAAATCATTGAATATCTTTCATTGTGTATACAAATACTTTAGAACTAGTTTTACTAATTACATAAGTAAAATACTTTAAAACAAAATTTTGTTGCAATAGATCGACGGAACACTATGCAAAACATTGCTATAACGTCTGATTTTAGAGTTCCAACCTGGCTGTCGTAGAAAAATCTGAATTGAGCGCTCCGTACGCATCAGACAAGCCGAAGTATGCTAAGTGAATAACTTCGGGTCTCGTAAGAAAAACTCAAAAAGTGTAACTGGAGTAGTTGAGTTACAAACAATCGGCCACTCGAAATCCAGTAGTGAGATGAATAATTGTGGGTTGACGGTGGAAGACGATTGGACTCAACCAAAGAAAGCTTCGGTGAAGCCTTTAAGTGCTTAGGTACCACAACTAATTGAAAAGGTTTCAAAGGCTGTCAATACGAGACCCAAGGACACAACCAACATTGTGTTATCTTCTGGAATGTCGAAGAATCGAAAGATATGGACTCGACTAAGCGTCATGCCCATGACTCCCATTTAGTCCAGGGCATCATTCGGCACATATCACCAGAAACGTTTCTTGCAGTACATACCTTTAAGGTGATCAGACTAGGCAGACGCAATAAAAATGAACCTGATTCAGGGGAAATATTAAAAGTGGACCTGGAAAATAAGGAGGTGAACGCAGAGAGGACAGAGGTGATGAAGATACCCAACCAACAACAAGCACCAATCACCATCAACGAGAGAAATCTAAGAGGAAGTAATCTCTTTCACCTACCTAGGCAACATCACTTCAACTGCAGGTGGCACAGATGAGGACGTCGAAGCCAGGAAAGGAAAAGCAAGACAGGTCTTCATTATTCCGAAATCTGTGTGGAGATCTACTGCACTGCACTCAGTATAAAGCGTGAACAACATCCGGATTTTCAATACTCATGGCAGTCAAGTCAGTGCTTCTATATGGTTCAGAAATTTGGGGCGTCACGAAAAGCATTTCCAACAAACTGCAGACATACATCGTCAACAGCTGTCACCAACGCTCACTCGATACTGAAGGTCAGATGGTCAGGAAAACAAGAATGAGCAACAAGGAACTCACTCTGGTAACGACTCAACCAAGAAGACCATTTGGGGACATCGTGAGCCAGGTCAGGTCCTCGAGTGGAACCCAAAGGGGAAACGACGAGCTGGGCGTTCGCGGGTGACATGGAGGAGATTGTGTGAGGAAGAAATGAAAGCTTCTGGGCAGTCGTGAAGTCAGGTTCAAATGACTACAGAGAACAGAGTGAAATGGCAACGTGCTGTTGAAGCCCCATGTTCCACTGGGAACCCAAAGGACAAATAAAAAAAATAGGAAACAAGGAAGAGATGGATACTATTTTGATAAAGCCCACAAGGTTCGTGACTTGAATGTTCGCACTCGTCCGAACTGGCCTCTTAAGCACAGAATAGAGAGACGGGTGGTCCTGACGGAACTGAAGGTTCGGAAAGAGAAAGGAGAAGACAGTATAAAACTAGTGGGTTTTCGGATAGTAAGATCTTGGAAACGAATGGTCCCAAGACCTATATGGGTGAACAGGGTTACACCCCAGATATGATTCCATGCCTCCTAGCCGGAATGTATAGCGCGTCGATATGCCGACTGTCAGAGTATGCGACCACACCAGACAGGAATGTAGATAATAACATGTGTGGAGAAAGCTTGGGGAAAATTTACAACTACATCTGACGAGCCAACCTTACCGCTTATCCTATAGTCAAATCCACGTAGACATTCTCACCGTCCTTCATGGGTTAATAAGAGCACCTTTAGACTTTTAAGGAGGAAAAAATGACTGTGGCACTTTGCCTTAGAAACAGGTACTCAGGCTTTCAGGACTCCATATTGCAAGGTTGGAAATATGTTAATCAGATATTACGAGGTTTGGAATAAGATATGAAAACCAACTTGTGACCAACTGCCTGGTCTCTCCAAAACGGTTGCTCTTGTACATTAAGAGGAAAACGAAATGTAAGGATGGAGTCCCATCTCTCCTAACAGCTGAGGATTCAGAAAAGTTGGTTGACTCTAATCTTTCCAAAGCTGAATGTCTCCTGGACCACTTTAACACAGTCCTCTCAGTAGACGGAGACGTTATCACTCTGACTAGTATTCCAAAAATATCTCAACCATGAGCGCGGTGAGCATCACAAGAGAGGTAGTCCACCGGTTAATGAACAATCTTGGATCTAGGAGATCCTCTGGTCCTGATAATTTGCGCCCAAGGTTAATGTCCTTCTTGCCTGACATTATCTTCACGCCGCTTGCTGAGCCATTCAATGTGTCCTTATTTCAGACTTGGTGTCCAAGAGACTGGAAAGATGCTGCGATCAGCCCAGTCTTCAAGGCAGACAGTAGGCGACTTGTGTCCAATTATCGTCGCGTTGACTTAACTGGCAGTTATAAAAGTATTAAAGATTATCACAGATAGAATGCTCAGTCGTGTCGAAAAGCATAGTCCTCTCACATCTCAACATCATGAGTTTCGCGCTGGTCAATCTTGCTTAGCTGACCTCCTAATGGCAAGAGAGGAATGGATAGTAGCTTATGACAAGATGATCGTAGATGTTGTAATCATTGACCTCAGTAAGGCTTTTCATAAGGTCTCGCACACTGGACTAATGAAGAAGCTCTCACGCCTGAGATTCGACACGACGATGCGGGCTTGGACCAAAGAATTTTCATCCAATATGAGACAGAGTAAGAGTGAGTGGTACATTATCTAAGTGCCAACCTGAAACGAGTGGGGTCCTGCAAAGAACAATCTTGGGTCCTCTCCTTATCTGCTGTATGTCAATGGACTCCTAGATGTGATTGACATTGTTACTATTTATCGATGATAAGAAGACAAGGAAGGTCATCCGTAGCGATGACCACAGACGTGCACTACAATCGGACCTAAATGCATTAGTCAATCGGCCCAAGCATTAATGTCTAGAAATTAATTCTAGCAGTTGTGCAGTTATGTATATTGGCCATAACAGCTGTCATCAGGATCTGAAAGATGGGGCACCAGCACTGGATTTTCAAACTAGACTTGAGAGTTACCATCAGCCACGACTTGAAAACGTTTGCACACTGAATTGGGGCCATAGCAACAGGGTAGTAGTGTGGTCCCTTTGTAGAGCATTCAAATGCTTCGATGAAGACATGTCTCGGATATCGCATTCAAATGATCAGTCTTTATAAAGGATGTTACAGCATTGCAGCGTTCAAACACTTGGTATTAAGTTGGTGGTAGGTCTCTCCAATGTACCTCATGAGGACCACCTAGAGAGAAAATCTTTTTCCATTGCCTTATTGCAGGGGAAGAGGGGATCTAATATCAGTGTTCCTTATTCTTAACAAAATGACCATGGGATTGGCACATCTCATTTTCTCTCCCCAAAGTGGTCATCTTTAAGACCACCACAAAAATCCGGAAGCCACGGTCGAATCAACACAACGTGAGTTTAAACTTCTCACAGTAGTCAACGACTGGAACTCCTTACCCGAAAACTGGTATTAGTTCCTTCACTGAACACATTCATGGGGCAACCAGATCTTCACAGAGAAACCTACTGCAATGACTAACACAGGTGAGATGACCTACTACTCTCATTACCGAATACTGAAGGAAATGAAGCAAAGTTGGACCACTTATTGCAGAAAGCGTCAGGATGGACGCTAAGTTATGCCTTACTTTCTATACAGAGAAGTTTTCTACGCAGTAAATGTCTTATCGGGAGATGGATTACCACAAATGAAAAGCTTTCTGCCGTTTAAATTATTTGCAAGTGAGCTGTGTTGCTTCATAAAACAACCAGATAAAATTGAGCTCACACTAGGTGCACCTGACTGCATAACAACAAATCTACCTAGATCCTAGACAGTTTTATAGACAACCTAATGCCATAAACCACTCATCTTGCACAACAGAAATCTACACCACACTAAGGGAAGAAAAGTTCATACATGAGATGAGGTAGCGCACAACACAAAACATCCGCATCACAGGCCTTTCTGGTTCAATTTCATCGACCTTCAGATTACAGGCTTCATGTTTTCAAATAGTTAGCTCAGTTTTCTATATCATTCCTGGAAAAATATATCTCTGTGAAGATCTGGTTTTCCTCTGAAAGATTTCCTCGAACGAACAGTTACCACAAACTCCGATAATAATTTTCAATCGTTGACCATTCCGTGATGGAATCCGTTCGACTGCAGCTTTCAAAAGCTTTATGGCAACCTCTTAGACATTGAGTCTTATAAAGAGTAAAACGACCAGGGCAATCAACGCCTACGTTGTTCTTCATGATACGATACGATAAAATAAGATTGCCGCTTTTCCCACGATGTGATAGTGATTCTAACCTTCCAACTGCTTTTACTATTGGAGGTGGAAAAAATCCATCAGTAAACTAGGACCCATCCTTTCTACCCGCTCTTGAGTACCTCCTTCTCCTCTGAAGCAAGGGCCGGCTGTCTATGTGCTGTATTTTAGATGAGGTCGTATCCCAAATACTTCTGTATCATAGCACCTAGTGGCCCTATGGAGTGGCCATGATATGTGGAACGCCTTGGCTGCAGATCCTCTACACTGTGAGATTGTCTTCAGGTTATGGCTCGTAACAACCTCAATATCGTTCTTTCTTAACCCAAAGAAATGTTGATGGATCTAATGGGAAGGCTAATACGACCCTGCACTGCTACTTGGGGTATCTTCCAGGCCCTAGCTTTTGGACCATTTATCCAGCTCGTGCTAACTAGTTTGGAGGTCTGTCCAATCACTACTTTGATCAGCAACCACCTAAACCGTAGCGCAACCTGCAAGTAGCAAGTATGGTGGATTAAGCTCACCTGATAACGGAGAAGCTAATAATACCTATGCTCGAACCCTCGCTGAAGGCTTTCAGAGACCCCAATAGATTAGCATTTAGAAGCAGAAGTGCTTCGGGTACCGCCACTCTCATGTATTACAATATTGCTCATGCTCTTGAATGAAAAGCCAAGTATCCCATGTGTGCCTTTTTAGACTATACTTCGGCACTTGATTCCGTCCCAAGACACCTTGATGGACAAGCTAACCGGAATGGGTAGTGAGTCCTGAATAATTTACTGGTTGGGTTCTTATTTCTCCGAAAGGAAACAGTATGCTGCTGACACAGGGAAACGCCTTGTCTCATTGCTTACTGTGACTGGTATTCCCCAAGTAGCCGTCCTTTCCCCCTATCTTTCCTCTTTCTTTTGCATGACTTACCATTTGTGGCTGATATCCATTACATCAAATAGGCCGATCACCTGAAAGTTTCCACATATATCTCCTCTTTAGCAGATTGCTCCCAGCTGCGTAATTTTCTGTGTACTGTTAGAGAGTGGTCCTCCTTGGAAGGTCTCATGCTTAATTTTTCCAAATGCCGGACCATAAACTTTAGTTTTAGACGAAACGTAATCCACGTAAACCGCTTAGTTCTCATGATTCTTGTTCTACTGGTAGTTGTGCATTAGAAAATGTTAGTGTGACTTATCTCGGTGCATGTTCTTCTCTGGATGTTTCATGGCCCTCCCATATCTTACTAATTTCTGAAAGAAGTTTCTGCCTGACTTTCTACTTTGGGAGGCCGAGAGTATCTGGTATAACTCAGCCCCTCCTCGTACATCTTGCCTACTCTCCTCTATCGTCCCCCTTTACTTTTTCCCGGCCTGCTGAAAGAAGACTACCGTATATTGTGTATAACTATGAAGATTTTCAGCAGAACTAGTGGTGTGCCTCTAAACCTTCTGGTTAAAACAGTTGTGGACAAACATATTAACTCATGTAGACATCTGACAGGAGTTATTTTATCAGGTGTCCAGCATCCTCTTCACTCAAAGCTCCTTGTGCATCGGCCATCTGGAAAGACAGTGAACAAGTGAATAAGACATTAAGCACATACTACAAAATATGAAATCTCTACAATATCGTATTTGGCTGTTCAGCTGTGCGATGAAGAAAGTATTGAACGTGAAGTAACTGACCAACTTCTGCTTTTGAAGGCAAGTTGGTCGATGATGATCATGTTGCTATTTAAGTATTATGAATGTAACTGTTAATATGCCTGTCTACCTAAGTCAACCGCAGGTTCTCAAGAAAGTTGTAGA